CGTGGTGTCGCACCGAGCGTCTCGTCACAATCCGATCCAGAGCCACACACATATCTCGTTGGGGCGGATCTGCTGGCTGTGTGTGGCTCTGGATCGGATTGTGACGAGACGCTCGGTGCGACACCACGGCCAGTGCTTGAATGCCGCGATTGAGCAGTGGTTAGACTTGGGTTTATCAAGTCTAGTCTTCTTTCCCTGCTACATTGTCGTTGTTGTTGTTGCTCCTGAGGATTGGAGAGCCGGGTCCAGATACCCCAGCCAGCCCACGCAACCCTCCGCCACTTGACATTGAAACCCAAGGCTGCCCCTCCGGAGTTTTTTTGCTTGGCTTCCGTCCGACCTGCACCCTGAACATCAGCCACTGCTGGATCACCAACCACGACTGCGCTTTTGCCTCCGCTTAAATCACGGGTAGCCCCTGGCTCATCGTCCACCGACTCGTGCTGCTGGCCCTCGCCGGATTTCTGTCACCATGTCCAACATCCAGGACGACTACATCATCGGTGAGGTGGTTGGCAAAGGTGCCTTCTCTGAGGTTCACAAGGGCATCAACAAGACCAGTCATTTGCCGGTTGCCATCAAAAAGGTGAACAAGGCCCGCGTAAAGAACAAGGAAGAACTCGTTCGTGAAGTCGCCATTCTCCGAGCGTACGTTGCCCACCAATATCGCGCCATAGGCCTCGGACATCCCAGCCTGCCCCTGCACCTGCTCTACCCGTTTTTCCCCCGCCCCTCCGCTTTCACGGCTCATTTGCGCGCCTGCCTGGCCTTGTTTCCTGTTTTGATTAGCATCGATCACCCTAATGTCATTGAGCTCTTTGCAGCCTATGACACTGATGCCTTTAGCTACATTGTCACCGAGCTGTGCGTGCTTGCCCAACAGCCCTTGCCTTTAACTTGTGCTTGTTCTTGAAAGAGCTTCCGACCTCTTGCTACCCGCACCCCCACGTTTCCCCTGCTGACCCGCACGAAATCACGACCCCACTTGCGCCATAGCTTGGTCGGTGGAGAGCTTTTTGATCGGATCGTCGACCGTGGCTCATACAGCGAACAAGATGCTGCCGGCATTATGCGCCAATTGCTTTCCGCCCTCCAATATCTGCACGAGCAGCAGATTGTTCACCGCGATCTGAAGGTGCGAAAACACATACATGCCGGCCTTGCTATCCTCTCTCCCCCGCATGTCTGCGTGCTTCCCTTGCTCACGATTACATCCCTCGGATTACTTTGCTCTACTCCCGCGCTGCTCAGCCAGAAAATTTGCTGTGCTCCACGTCAGTCCATGGCCCCTGACTCTGTACCTTGCTTGATGAATGGCCGGCCCGGCCTTCTCAAGTGAATTCTTCCCCTTCTTTTCAAACTCCTATTCGCGCTCACCCTCGATTCCCCCTTGGGCCTTGACACTTTAGCATGGATGCATCCGCCCGAATCGTCATCAGTGACTTTGGCCTGGCCGTGCAGCTAGGTGCGTAACCAACTGGCAGAGCTCAGCCTGCGTCGGCTGTTTCCAGTTACATCCATTTGATGCCTTGCTCACCCTCAACCCATCGTTTTAATCACCTTGGATCTTCTACATCCTAGGCCCAGATGAACATCTTAAGCAGTCCTGCGGCACGCCCGGCTACGCAGGTAACAGCCGACGACGGTCGCCAGCGTGCCAGTCAAGTGCGCTTGTGGTTGTGCACCCTCATCTGCTCCCCCATCTTGCACAGCACCTGAAGTCGTTGCGCGCAAGCCATACCGCTTTGAACCAGATGTTTTCAGCGCTGGCGTGATTCTCTACATCCTGTACGTATCCTGTTTTTGGCACCCACCCGCGCTGGCCCGAACAACACAAAGCTGACCTCAAAGCACACTGACATGACGCCCTGACCCTTGCATCGGCTTTTCATTGACAGACTATGTGGCTATCCCCCCTTCTACTCGGATGATGACAATGACCAGGAGCTATTCAATGCCACGCTCAAGGGTGACTGGTGCTTCGAAGATGGCGACTGGACTGAGGTGTCGAAAACAGGTTCGTCGACGTCCAATTCCACGCGGCAGCTTTAAAAGCTGAAGTGTGCACCCTCCACAAGCAAACCTCACCTTGATACCTGCGCCTCAGCCATGGAGCTCATCTCCGACATGATGACGCTGGATGCGTCCCGTCGGCCAACTGTCGCCGACATATTGGGTAACGATTGGTGCGTAACAACCGTTCACAACGTGCGAAAGTTGCACCCTACCTCACTCCAACGCCTGTTTGGTGCACTGCTGTTTCAGGATTCTCGGCACATCTGCTCCCAACAAGGATATCCATCGCCGTGTCTCGCAACAGCTCTCACGCTTCATGGCCAAGCGCCGCTGGCGGGTCCGTCTTGCACCCAATCTCACCACCACATGCTTCCCGAGCGTATGCCACCCTCATGCCCCTCACCCCTTGACTACCGAACAACGCCGTGTTGAGTAGAAGGCATTCAACGTCAACCGGGCCGTTGGCAAGCTGCTGCGTGCCGGCACTGATGCCGTGCTATTGGCGAGCAGCTGAGCCATTCAGAGCTCTCGCTTTAATTCCTGTTTCATCGCCTTCCTCAGCCCCGGCCAAATTAAATTGGCACACTGATTGTTTGATGTTGTTTCTGAGTGTACATGCCCTCAGTTCTGGCTGGATGGAGCTATAGCTGTGTAATGGGGCCCGTTTGTAGCCGCTCGACTCGGCTCTCAAACTCCGGAATCTCTTGTTCAATTCACCTGCAAAATGTGTCGTTTTGTGCGAGTCAATCAAAGTCTGTGACACAATTTCAATTCAGGCATGCCTTTCCTCATCCGCGCAGCGGCATGACAATTGGCTTGATCTTTGGTCTTATGGCGGGTCCGAACCCACATCGTCATCCTCACCATCGGAAGGTGGTGGAGACTCACGGTGCTCGTAGGCAAAGAAGCCGTCCACATCGGTCAAAATCGACACAACCGTACCCCCGCAGTTGCACGCCAGCAAATCTTGCACGGTGATCTTGTAAGGATCTTTGGGAGCGACCTGGCATAGTTTGGAATTTAGCATAACATGATACGCGTGGCCGCAAAGCCCCTTGGCATTGGGTGCATAATGGGGGCAATCAAGAAGAATCAAATGCTCGCAGGATATTGAACGTGCGTACCATATCAAAAATTTCGTTTTTGACATCTTCAAAGCGTGGCAACTCCAGGTCGCGCGTCAACGGATGCGCCTGACCAAATCCCGTCATCATCACACCATTGAAACATACAACGAAGAGCGAAAAGGGTGAGAGGGTAGAAAGGGATCGACGCCAGATGCCCCGGATGTGTTCCCAAGAGAGTTTCAAGCGTACCTCCATGGCACGCCAGAAATATAGGAGGGCGGTGGTCGTCAGATAGCCTCGCTGATCCACGTCGAGCAGTCGAAAGAAGAAGCGTACGCTAGCTGGATGATTTGGGTCACGGCGTGCCAATACCAGGCGCAGATATAAGCGGTAATCGACACCGCCTTCGTAAGTGGCATACTCCTGAAAAAGGCGACGCAGCAGTGCCGGTGACATGCTGCCTCCGTTCAAGTGTTGCAGTTCGTCAAGGGACAAGAGCCCGTCTTGGTTGACATCCAACGCTGTATACTGTGTGTGTACTGTGGTGACATTGGATAGCGAGAACCAGTTGTCTTGCAGAGCGACTGTGCTCAGATCGGGCTGCTGCATTTGCTGGTACTCGGCCAGCACCTTTGACTCTACCAAAGCTGATATCTCAATAGCCTGCAGCGATGCAACCCAAGCCGACCAGAAAAGGTGAAAGTCCCCTCGCGACTGCCTGACGCGACACGGTGTGTGGGTGGACGTGCACACGCGCACACGCGCACACGCATGCATGCACAAACCTCATTCGGATGATCACGACCCAGATAAAACAGAAAGCGGCTGGCAGCAAAGACAACGTAGGTTGAGCGGAACCCGCGAGCGATAGCGCGAAGCTGCTCCATCTCAAAGGCCGTGTCTTGAATGTAGGCCTCCAGCTGGTCACGAGTGAGTGAGCCCGAGCCCAGAGTGTCAAAGAGCGCCAGCTTGAATCGCGCCTGCTCCACGGCCGCATATTGCATCACTACATTGAAGAGCTGGTCCAAGGAGATTGTCTGTGCATCGTCCTTGGGAAGTGCCATGAAGGCTGTTGCACTCAGCACGGCGGAAAACTTGCCCGACTCACCGCCCAAGCGCTCGCGAACCAAACAAAGGCCCTTGTAGGCCAGTCGCAAATTTCCAGGTTTAATCTCCTTGGCCTGCTCCTTGAGCGCAGTCCAGCATGCCTGGAGATCTTCGTTGCCAATCAGGACTTCACCTGCCGCTGCCACTTTGCAATCCTGCGCCACTCGTCGCAATTTTGCAGCCAAGGAATCGGCGCGCGGCGTTTGATACAACTGATGCAATTTTAGGCGCAGGCCAAACCCCAGCTCTGCGCGTGACCTGTTGGTGTCGTTGCCCCACATCCGCCCCATACTTGCCGCAAAGGCATCGTCCACAGGAGCGACGGGGCCACTAGCATTCGCTAACGCTGTCATCACGCGCAAGTTGAGAATGCAAAACAAAAAAACAAAAAAAACAAAAAAAAAGTGGAAAAAGAATTCGGAAAATTTTAATTTTGTGGCTTTTTGTTGAAAACAAAGCTGTTGCAATGGTCACTGAAATATAATTGGCTATAATGCGGACATCTGGCGGGGACGGAGCCAAGGCTGCTGGTGAGGCAACGCACACAACACAGACATGGAATCTCATACAACAACAGCAGCAACCCCTCCCGCATCATGCCGCTCACTCCCGCCAGAAGAAGAAGAAGAAAACAAACGCACAACATTACATGATAATATTATTTTCTTTGAGGCAGTTTAGAAGCACGCTTCCAACTCAGGAGGCTCGGGACTGCAAGCAAGCTCTGACTAAAGCCGAAAGCACGTTAAGCCTCAGAAGCACGCGATGTAGCAAACTCCTGGCGAGCGCGGCGAGCAGCCTCCAGCGCGCCAGGCGCCATGCTTTGACTGCGCTTGGACAGCGCGGCCATGGATGGTAGCTCTGGCCCACCACCAGATGAGTCAAGGCGCGGCGAAGGCATTTGCAAGCTTGCCAACGCAGTTTCGGCTCCTTGTGTCGTCGCGGTGGTTGAGTGGCCGAGCAGGACGTCTGAGACATAATCTGGAAAGGCTAAATCTTGCGCATGGTCCGCGACTAGCCGGCGGAGGTAATTCCGGCGCGCTTCGCAAAAGGGCGCAGCTAGAGTCTGCATACGCAGGATGCGATCGGCGTTGATCGCCGTGGCCCGAACCAGATGACCTAGGCTTCGTCCATCGACCACAGCACCATCTGTCAGTGGACCAACCAGCCGTGCCATCTGCGATTTGAAAAGCAGTTGAATTCGAAAGAGCCCGTTGGACAATGGGTACACCACAATGGTCACCTCGCCAAATCGAGTGGGCAAGAGGTCCGTGTTGTATAAGGTATCAGCCTCACTCCACACAATGTGCACGGCGTCGTTGCCTAGATGGCGCCAGAGCTTGGTGTAGAGTTGCTTGCGCGTTTCTGGGTCCCAAGTCTGGTGCACGGCAATAGAGGGTAGGGATGGTGGCAGCAGCAACGGCGCCACGTGGAATAGCACCTCACGCGTGGCCGTGGCATAATAATGAGCACGGCATCCAGAAAACTCGCTAGGATCTAGCTTGCCCAGATAGCCTTGGTGGGATTCAACACTCACGCCCCAGCCCAATTGCTCAGCAAACTGTAGAAAGCGTGGGCTGGGCACCGTGCATGTAACCACGTCCTCCTTGTTCTGCATGTCTGGGCCAACGTACAGGACTGCCACCTTGTGTGTTTCGCGCACCGCACCCGCTTGATCCAAGTGGCGCAGATCCTTGATCAATCGCTCACTCACGCTCATGGGCCGCAAGCCGCCCCGCTGGGTCCAATTCCACAGTCCCAGGTGCTGCAGAAGGGCAGAGCATAGAGCTGCTGCCGAGGCCTTGCCGGGGACATCACTGCTGGAGGTGTGTCGTGTCGGCGCATTCGTCTCGGTGGGTGAAGATAGATCCGAAGACGCGGCCTCGGAGCGGTGTGCAGCATCAACAAGCCCTTCCTGGCACTGGCGTCGCAAGTCTTTAATCAGCCGTACATCATCGTCCGTTGTTGGGGTCACGATCGTGTCACCATCAACTGCAGCATCACTGCCATGTAAATAGGTCAGAACCGCGTCCAACGCATCGTGTGTGCCCACCTTGTCGTCCGCGGCAAATATAGGCAAGTCAAGAGAAGCGTCGAGAACCGTCATGCTAAGTGAAGGTACATTGATGGACAAACGATGGCTTCGCGCGGCACAGCGACTGCCGCTACCCCGCAGCTCGGGTCTCAATCCCGGGCTGCTGCTGGCACTGCTGCTGGCACTGGCATCGGGCTGTGTCGGCGAGCCCGGCGCGCTCTCACTCGTTGGGGGCCACGCCGGTGCGGTTACAGTGGACAACAAGTCATGTGCGGTGTGCTTGGAGTCAGGGACCGCGTCCAATTCCTCCGCAATGATGGGCGGCAGGGATGACGCGCTCGTGGCGACGCGCAGATTGAGAGACAGCTTGGATCGCCGCGGTTGTGAGGTTCGAGGAGAAGGTGGAGGCGACAGCACGTTCTTCACGGCCCATGCAAAGCACCCAGCTAAATTACGCACAACAACGTGCGAGGCGTCCGCATGAGCGTGGAGCTCCACAATGAGGGCATCATCCACGCACAAATATTCAACATAATCCGCGTTTGCGCCTTCTTGCTTTGGATCGAAGGGCAGCGGTGGCACGCACGGGGTCCAAGATACGGCAGTTGCACCCTCCACACAGGGAAAGTTGTCACGGTGGTGCTGCACCTGAACGAGCGCAGCGAGTGCCATCAATGGCACGTACTCGCGCTTAAACTCGAGCTCTGGAGCCCGATTTGCAGACACGGCATCGGGAGCCGGGCGGTCTTCAGGTGAGTGCCGCGGCGGGGGGGTGCTTTCCCCGGAAGTAGCCTCACGTCGCAGTCGATTGCGGTGACGCCGGCGCCCACGCCGATGCGTGGGCGTATGTTCTTCGGGCTCGGCCAATTGCATGTGCGACTCTGTGCGCTTTGGGGGGCCAAACCCGAAACCCACGCCCTCGGGTTGGATGCAGGCATCGGCCAAGTCATCCACGCCCATCGCCATGAGGGATGAGTCAAAGCTGGCATCTTCCGGTTCTCCGTCCACAGTGCTTTCCAGCTTGCGCGCGGTCCACGCATCCACCTCACTATCGGAGGCGACATCGGAGAAAAAGGATCCGTTGGCCGCAACACCTCCGTTTCGCCCACTCACCACACCGCCGTGTTCGGACACCATGGGCAGGCTGGTGGCACCCGGACTATAGGGAACCGCGCCAGAAAATGCGGCCGATCCGGGACTACCAACGCTCATGGCGTGCGCGCTAGCCTCAAAGTCGCTCAGAGCTTGCGAGAGAGCTGGGTTGCGCATGCGGCTCCCTGCTCGTCGATCGACGGCCACCCGATGAAGGCGATTCACTGCTGGCCCGACGCGATCCTGCGCAGCCTCACGAAGCAAAATGAGGCCTTGTTGAATCTCATAAGCCAGCTCAATGGGTGCAACCAACAGCCAATCACGCAAAGCCTCAATCAACTCTGGCAGGCATTCTTCCATGAACTCCACCTCGCCACGTCGGGTCATATGCAACCAGTAGGCCGTTGCGCGCAACAACGCGGTTACCAATTGGCGGACCATGGTGAGTCCCAATTGCGCCATGACGGCCTCATGAAGTTCGCTCAAGAAACCCACCAGCGTTGCAGCGCTGATAACGACTTGCAGATCAGCCATGCGCAATACGCTCAGCAGACTCTGAAGACATGACTGCGCCACGTGATTCTCATCTCCCTGGGCTGAATTTTGCCTCAGCATACCCACCAACATGTTATAAATACCGTGCAAGGCCAGCTGACGAATCGTCGTTTCACTCTCATCCAACACAACCGCACGGAGCGCCTCGCTGAGCATCGCGTGCACCTCCTGCATCAAATTGATGTCTGGCTCGGGCGTTGAAAGACGCTCCAACCGAGCTTCTGGCTCCACGCCCAATCGGCGGAGGTCAGGCTGTGACAGCAACTGCAGGATGCGCTCACCGCCCAAGTGCTCACCAGCCTCAGATGAGTTGGGTGATGACTTGACCGAGATGGCAGGCAGGCTATCATCTTCTTGTTCAAAGCTCTGCGCGTCATTCGGCTCGGCCTCGGCTCCAGCCGACGCTGGGCGATGGGTGGAGCCGGCTGAAGCCACTGCCGCTGCTGCGGCTACTGCCGCCCTGGCGGCAGCCGCAGATCCAATGGCATTAGCACTCGAAAATGCATGTGGCCCATTGTTCCCATCGGTAACTGTGTTAAAAGGTCGGATTGATGACGCGGAAATTCGCGAAGAGCGCGCCATGTTTTGGGCCGCGGTGGTGGCCTCAGCGGACAAGTCGTGCTGCGATAGGCTCATGCGGCGACCTTGAACCAGCTTGAGAAGCTTGTGCGCGGCAATTTGCTCAATGCTTGAAGTGCGTGAGCGAGGTCGGAGTGAATGAGACTGTGAGGCACGTGCGGCAATTGACACCGAACCGCTGCGCGAACGCGCTGGTGAACTATCTGCGCTGCGCACCGCCGCTATGGGCGCGTTGGAGAGCGTGGTGCCGTCGGACAGGCGGTGTGTCGCCTCCTCGTACTCATCACTTGAACGCCGATTGAGGCCCGCGGGCAGCGATGCAGCCTGTGCCTCCAGATCGGATGTGAGTCCAGCCGTAGCTACTGGCCCTGCCGTCAATCCGGGCACGGCCTCACCACCGGCGGGTGGGCTGATGGCATCCCCGGCCAACCAGCCTACCACATCAGGAGAGGGCATTGTGTGACCACTGCTCTCACCCACCTGCATATCAAAAGTACCCAAGCCGGCCACTCGCATGCTGGGCTCAAAGGCGTGCAAAAGGTGGACCATGGAGGTCAGAATGGTCACGCAGGCCGTGCGAGGAACGGCTTGGGCAAAGCGCGAGGGCAAGGCATCTTCAAGCTCAAAGATGGCGGCAGTAGGACCATCGGGACGGAAGAAGCCATGCCCCAAGACGCAGCGGCAAGCCAGGATGAGGTCCTGGTACAAGACGCTGGCTCCGGGCCAATTGAAAGCGACAATGTGACGACAGGAGCGCAGCACACAATGAACCAGGTCCCGATTGTGTGAGCGCAGGCAGTAAGACACAAAGTGGTAGAAACGCTGCAAGTCGTTCATGCCTAGCCGCGGTTGGGGGCAGTTGGTGATGACATGCATGTCGCAAACCAGCTTGGCAGCGAGGTAGCGGCTTTCGGCGAAGCGCGAGCTGAGGAGAAACGAGTCATAGACTGATCGAGCAAAATCAGGTATCCAGGCACCTCGAAAGTCAGGATCCGCAATTTCAAATGTGCGGTGCAAGGCCTTGTAGGCCTTGAGTAGTGCCTTGATAACGTTGGCGTGGTTGCGGGGCACGTTGATGGCATTAACATCGCCCAGGCAAGCCAGCGCCTGGCTCCACGTGCGAATGAGGTTAGTCGCATGTGTCCGTGTAGCACTGTATCCATCACGACTCTCATTGGCCACCCCCTGCAGTCCGCGGAGAAAGAGGGCCAGGTTGGCAAAGGTGGCGTCAATCTGGACCGTTTGGTGTTGGGAGTGGTCTGGACGATGATTTTCAGACTCGGGCGCTGGATTTGGGTGGGTATCGCTGGCGAGGCTAGCTGAGCGCGAGGACAGAGCAGGCGCTTGGCGGGTGAGTGCACGCGGGGATGCGGCGGATGCGCGAGGGGCTTCATTGACGGACTGCGCCAGCTTCTCGTAGCCTGCAATGGAGGTTGTACTATGACGGCGTGGGACACGGGACTCGTCATCGGCCGTCGTACCCTGTCGAAGGGCGGTGCTGATGGCTGCTGTGAGCACACGCACAATCTTCTCCCACTCGGTGATGAGGGGTTCCCAGTCGGTGAACTGGTGTAACTGCGCTTGAAGCTGTGGCCAGGGGTCGTGCGGCAGGCGGTGGCGCACACTGATTCGCACGTGTGCACAAAGAACAGTACGAAAAACCGGACCGGCCAGGGCTCGCTTGACGGTCAAAAGGGCAGATCCCGTGCTGTTGTGTTGATCTTGCAGAAGATGACGAGGAACGTCCCGCAGCACCTTGAGGAGGAAGAGTTTGAGCTTGTGGCTGGCAATGCGCAGGTGATAAAGGCAAATGCGTTGGAAAACATTCAGGCCGTCCTGTATAAGATAGATGAGCGCAGCCTGGCGCAGGCGAGCAGCCAGCTGGTGGTAGGACAGCCGAAAAAGGGAGCCCACGTTGGCGATAATGGTGCGTAAGAAGACGTGAGCCACGGTGACAGGCAGCACGCGCAGATTCATTGTAACCCGTCTCAAGCAAATAGTGGTGGGTAGCAGCCCAGGACTTTCTCCGAAGCTGTCCTCCTGAGGCGCGCCGTCGACGCTCAGCTTGGGCACCGCACCCGAATTCTTGCGTGTGCGGGAGGACGCCTCGGAAGCACAGCTGGGGCGACGCGGGGGACCTGAACTCGTGGAACCCGTCACTGTGGCCTCTGAGACAGGCGACAAAGCGGAGAATGCACTTGTCGGTTGTGAGGTGGAGGGATGGGTAGACGACATTGCTTTGGGCGTAAGCGCTGGGGTGGGGGTGGATGCGGTTGAGGACAGGGCCGTGGTTGAGGTCGGTGACGAGACAGAAGCCAAATTCGGGCCTGGGATTGCGGTTTTACTTGCGACTGCAAGCGCCTCGGCTCGAGTTGGCAAACCGCTACGAACGGTGGGTGGTTTGGGCAAGACGCGCCCACTTGACGAGGCGGAGGAAGCCAGGCTATCGCTAGAATTTGTGCCCAAAGTGGAAGTGCGACGGCGGCGTTGAACGCAAGGACTAGGATTGTTGCTGTCCCCGCTTTCACTGTCAACCTCTGGTAGACTGGTCAGGCTAAAAGTGCTGGCACGCGGCGCTGCTGGGGCGCGAGAGACAATCTTGACGGCCAGCCAATTCTGATAAATCTTGAGCACGGCCGTCTGAAGGTCAACGTTGACGGCGGCAGCTGAAGTTGAATGCTTGTAGCCTGCGTTCCGCTTGCCAGAAGAGCGCGAGGAGTCGGACTGAAAACTACTATTGTTGAGTCGTCGGAGTATTGGTGAGGCCGGGTCCAGTTTTTGACTGGCAGAACGCGCGCCGCCCGCAACAAGGCCAAAAATGGCCTGGACTAGAATCAGGAAAGCTAGATCTGTTTGCAGCAGCTGTTGCATGGCCAAAAAGTGTTGGGAAGTGCCCTGAAACCAAGTCACCAAAATACCGGCCACGACTTCATGGGCAGCCTGTGAACACCGTATACTGGGTTCCTGCAGTTGCCCGGGGGACTTGAGTGGCTCATCAAAGTTGGGCGTGGCCCGATCGGCCGTGATAGCCTGATCCAGTGTGTAGAGGCGAGGCGCAATCGTTGTGCGGAATACATCAAACATGTTGGCGAAGAGGGCACATTTGTACTCCACGTCCCCAGTCTCCAGCATATGGGCTGTGGCAGCACGGCGCAATCATACAAACCATCAGCTAGACGGCCTGAACAGTATGCGATAGCACAGAATCAAGGTCAATGATATTAGGGATGCTGGGCCCACCTTCTTGAAGACCCGATGTTTCCAGCTTCTGCAAAAAAGTCTCAAGCATGAGAACCTGCATCTCCACGTCGGACAGTGGTGCAACATCTAGGACGAGCGCTTGGTCCTCGCCAAGGGTACCGGGCTGGTGCACCAAAAAACCATGAGGTCAAGCATGTTGCAAAAAGAGGGGTGCATGAGACCCTTGATGCATCTCGCTAGTATGCGGCAAGAAACCCGGGCCCAGGCGGACTGCTGACTTACCCAAGGCTCAAGGTGAAGCGTGGATAACAAAAGAGCACAAGCTTTCTCCTTTTTTAAAACGAAAATGGGTGGGTGGGGGGGGTGAGCCGACGAGTCGTGTCCAAAGCACAACACCAAACAAGCGCAATCACAGCACCGAACAAGCGCGATGACTGGAGAATGAGAAAAGAGCATACCGCCTTGGCACTGCTGAGCAGAGTCTCCGTAAGGGTCACGAAGATGCGCAAGGCCGCGACCCGTAGCCTACAATGTGAAGCACGGAAGTGTTTGGTGAGAGAACCACCACGGGGGCCCAAAAGGATCAGGCGCTCGAGCTCAACTAACGGTGCCGCATTGTTGGGCAAGAGGAGATTTTGGAAAAGTATGAGAAGATCGTCGGCAGGCCACCCAGCCTGAATTTCTTCCCGGAGGTGCTCAACGACCAGCTGCGATAGAGACAAAGCCCAAACCACAACCCCCATCGACATGGATAGCATGAGCTCATGAGTCGAGTGAGCACCAAGCCAACCGTCCTGCAAGGTCTCCTCCATCATGACAGGGACATACCGCCAAAGCGCCCAGCAAATATTCATAGAGATTGACGCGTTGGGTTTCGGTGAGGCTCCGGCTCTTGATGGCTAGAGGAGGGAGGACATGGCATCGAGCCAAACTGGGTGAGCCGAAGCACACTGATATTTGGGGCGAGTGCAAGTCATGCGGGACATACTGCGCTGCTTGAGCTCGGGCATGAGCTTGTCGTAGCTTTGCTGAAGCACTGTGTAGATCTGGGCACGCTGCTCCTTGACAAAAACCCGTAACTGCGCAGTTCCAAAGTCGGCTAGGGAAGTAGTATACATGGAGGCAAGCCAAGTGGCGTGAGACAGATGATACAATGCTGCATCAGCATACGATGAAGGGGTGCTTTAGAAGATGGTCAAGAGGCATGTGACACCCGCATGCGCAGGCCGGGCCTTGGCCTGGAAGCGTGCAAGCGACATACCACTGTTTTGCAGGTCGATCAGCGCTTTGAGGCGGCGAATGGGCTGTTTCTTGGGATCGAGAACCTTTTCCTTCAGGTGTTCGGGTGGCACCACGCGCGAAGAAAACATGGCTTTGGTCGATGGCGCAAGTCCAAATGCCAAAAACAAACGCCAGGACGGGGACGAGGAAGTCGTGTACAAGGATGTGACCCGAGCAGCTGGAGGACGTCACACCCAGCCGATCAGGCGGGCAAAGCCACCAAGACGAGCGTTTCGCCTTGGGCAAGCGAGTAACTGGAACTGCTGTCCCAGTTTTACTTTACGCCGCGGCAGCAATAGCAGCGCCAGTGCCGACCCGTAGAAACGCCAAGCGCGGCATGATCACGCCCAAGCAACAATGTCTGACCGATACGCGAGCCAAAGCACTGAAAACGCGCGGCGCACACACACACACGCATCTACACACACATCGACGCACAATCCCGAAAAAAAAAAAAAATTGATCGCTCACGACACCGCACGGAACGACAATAACTGTCAAAGGGATGACGCAAACTTCCTATTTGGCTCAGTGGGAAGCTGCACTTGCTAAGCATTAAGCTGCAAAAAGTGGCAAGGGGTGTGGTGCTTTGGTTGTTTTCGAGTACAAGTGTTGATTTACTTTTTGATTCTGAGACTGGAGATTTGGGAAATGGTCTCTGGACCTTAAAGGGACAATGTACGGTAGAGGAGCTCGCCCTGTGCTCCTGCTGCCCCGAGCTTGGTGCGGAAACTGCGGTACCCTGCCGCTTCGAGATCGTTTTGCAAGCTGGCTACGGCCTGTCCCGGCCACGCTGCGAGTCACACGGACGGGCATCATTGGAGCCGGGCAGGATGAGGATCAATGTCATGTTGCAGCGCAAGCAGCCAGACGAGAGGATACGTGGTGGCACAGCAACTGACCGGATGGGATAAAGATGAAGGCACATCCGCCACCACCGCCGCCCGTCAGCTTGCCCGTCGTGCCATGGCTTCGCGCAAGGCTACAAATCTGACTCGAGCAAGAAACCACCCCGATTGAGAGGTCGCATATCGGCGCAGCGAGTCGGCCTGTGGAACACAAAGAGAACGAGGCGTGCATACCTCATCGAGTGCTGGATGGGAAACGCCAAAACCAGCAAGGAGCTGTTGGTTGACATCGACGTACATCTGTGCAAAAGGCCACATGCAAAAAAAATTGCGGGATGAGTGGGGGGGTGATTCACAGCAAGGTCGGCGGCACACGTGGTTTCAGATGCAATATGCCCCCGGACATGGGCAGCAAGCGCACCTGCAGCGTCTCCTCAAGTGCAAGCATGGATGCTAAGGAACGATACGAGAAATGCAGCGTCGTGAGAGGATCAAACGCAACCTCCAAGTTCTACAACAAAAAGGGACTGCGTACCGGCCGCCTGGGTAGAGGCTAGAGCAGCGTAGGTTTCCTGTGCTGCCAGGCTCAACGCGTTGATGCTCTCGAGCATGGGGCGGAAAATGGGTGGTTGCTATAGACCGAACAAACCATGAGGACTACACGATTGTGAAATGAAAGCCAGTGCAACCATGACGGGTGAGGCTCGTACCTCCTGCAGGCGTGCTGTGACTTTGGCGATTTGCGCCCGGGTGCTCTTGGGATGCCCCGACTCGACAACAAGAATGTTCAAAAGAGGAAAGCTGAGAGACAAGCCAGTGGTGGTGAGGTGAGGATGCGGAGCAGAGCGCAGGTCAGGTCATCAGCCCGGCGCATTCGGCTCGACGTACGGCTGTAGCAGATTGAAGGAGCCCTTTTTGAAGCGCACAGCGCCTCCTGCACAAATTCAATTTGCATGCATGAGTCTTCAGGGGATCGTCGAGAAGCACAGCGCTGACATGTGTGCCAAAGGCCCACCCATATGTTCGTGGAAATTTTCCTTGGTCGAAACAGGAGCCAAAAAAGAAACATACCAAAGGAGCTGATGGTGTTATCCAGGCCAGAGGGATTGCCATGAACCACCTGCTCGCCCACGAGGGCCCAGCTGTTGATATCGTCCAGATGGTCGGGCAGCTCCTCTACACAATAGCCAATCCCCCCACCCCCAAGAAAAAAAAAAGATCATTCGTGTTAGTATTGCAGTTGACGACGGCAAAAAAAGAAGCAAGGAAAAAAGAAAGAAAGAGTCTCACAACGCGTCAAAGCTGACATGACAACGCCATACCTGGTTGGCAATGGCCCACGGCCAGGAGGAGAGCTGCTGCAGTGGCAACGCATAGAGCAGCAGAGGAACCGAGGCCCGCACCAATGGGTAGGCGCGAGGTTACTTCCAATCGCAAGCGGCATCCGTTCAGATCGAGCGGGATGCCTTGCATTTGAGCTCGGCGTAGTATATGCTTGGTCAAATAGAGCAAAGCCAGGCGGGCCTCAACATGGGGATAGTCGTGAGGCATGGCCTGCTCGCCCTGGTCCAGATTTGGCAGGGCTTGGAGCTGATGCAGCTCGGCGGCATCGGGCTCTGCAAAAGACGTAACTGTGCGCCATCGCACCCGCGGATCAGAATGCAGTGGCTGGCCAAGATGGTTGGTACAAGGAAAGAGGAGGGGGACATGCAACCGGTCGTTGAGCTCACCGGCAGCTGAGGGTGTTTCCACCAGGGCACGAAGATCGGTAATAAAGTCCAGCTGCAGGTCAGCCAAGACCAGGTGCAGTTGAGTGGAATTGGCCCCATCCAAATATGTGGGCGTGGCGGTCACGGTTGTTCGCAAGTCCAATGCTGCCGCCACTGCCTCCTGTCGTCAAGGACCGGGCGTCACAGGGTCGGAGCCGAGAGCAGCCGATCAGAGCAGCCCACGTGGAGTGGGTGGGCCAAGAGGGGTGCTGGCAAAAAAAGGCAAGAGCATAGCATGACTACGTACCGTGCCATGAACAACTGCATGCTCGCCATGGAGGATGATTTTACCCGGGGCCGAGGCACGAGCCGTACGAAGTCGCTGCCCAGCCATGTTGCTTCACTGTTAGCCTTGGCGCTCTCGACTGAACCTCGAGACGCTCGGCTGCTCTGAGCACAAACGTCGCGCCCACTCACAACCTTGGTACCTCACGGGGGCAGACAGTCGAGACGAGTAAACAAACGAACAAGCAGATGGACACCGATAGACAGACACCGGCAGCACAACGTGCACACGATGGGCCAAAAGCACGCAGGGCCCGAGCACAAAAATAATGCAGGGATCAACCGCCAACAAGGTCCACGGGGACAAGCAAGAAGGCACTTGAGCACGATGTGTGTGTGTGTGTGTGTGTGTGTGCTGATCATCTGATTTCTCTCTCTCTCTCTCTCTCTTTTTCTCTCTCTCTCTCTCTCTCTTTTTCTCTCTCTCTCTCTCTTTATGATTGTCAGACAGTTTATGCAAACGGGTATCATCGTGTCGTGAATTTCGTCTGACAACCCGTCGCGAGTCGAGACCTCATTGGCTCCATTCGGTGAAGAGGAGCGAGCTGGGGCCGGGGGAAGGAGGTGGGCGGCCTTTTGCTTGTCGTCATGTTGCGGCTGGGACCGGGTGTGCTGTGGAGGGGATGGGGGCTGGGGCAGCTTGTGCGGGGTAGCCATGCTCCGTGGGGCTCGCGGGGGCCCGTTGTTGCAGCTTTGCGCTGGTCCTCCAGCCCTGCCTCAGCAAACCGTACGCGTGAGGCTCAGCTCCAAACCCTGGTACAACAAAGCATCAACCCTTCCACCATTGGCGCCGCCGTCGACGAAATTCGACGCGATCGAGAGTGGTTGATCATTTACGCGGACCGTGAGGCTTTTTCCACCCGGCAGTTTAGCAAGACGATCAAGCTCTGGTACCTGCAACAGTTTTTTGCCCCCATTTTGTCCGGTGGCTGCCGGACTTTTCAGCCCAATGAGCCCTTGCTTGAAGATATTCGCCAAGCCATCTTGGAACAGGCACGCACCGCCCTTGCCGAATACCCCGCTTCACAAGAGCTACCACCTGAATTTACGCGCTGCTTCGAAGGCGCCAGCCAGCGCTGGAACGCTCGCCCGCGACTGCTCTACCCAGCTGAACTGATCGCCCGAGACCAGCTTGTGGCCGAAGCACCCAACCTGTCGACGGAGCAGACTCCCCTGGCGGCCGAACAGGATACATGTACTGGCAGACATCACAATCACGCATCGCATTCGTCCCGGGATAACCTGGAAACTATGCTGCTCCGTCAAGTTCAGGCACATGTGCTCGCCTGGATACACACTGATGACAAGGTAGCAAGCGTTGTTAGACACGTGACGGGCCGGCAACCATGTACCACCGGGCTGAACCCCCTCGTCTCATCAGGCACCATGCCTTGCACTGGCTTCCTGCTCACCATGGCCTTGGTATGACCCTTTCTGCCACCTCTTTTGCCGTACCAAGGTGGTGCGTGCCCGCAGGCAGTCGACAACCGATAACCAAGCTCGCTTCGCGTTTCCGCATCTCACCTATCCGGAAGCCCGCAAGTGTCGACGGCGCATCATTATTCATCGAGGCCCCACCAACTCAGGCAAGACATACGGTGCCATGCAAGCCGCCGCCGCCGCCAAGACCGCCATGTTTTGTGCACCCCTTCGCCTATTGGCCTGGGAACAATACGAGCGCCTGCGCAACGGCCACCAGCGTGCCGAACTCCTCACAGGGCAGGAGATGTATACCTGTGCTGATGCCACGCACCTGGCCTGCACTGTTGAGATGACCGATTTTTCACGCCACTATGACGTGGCCGTCATCGATGAGTGCCAGAACATTGGCTCTGCCGAACGCGGCTGGGCTTGGACCAAGTACGATGCTGACCTCCCACTGCCGCTCCCGCCTTGCTCCCGTTGACTTTTGCAATACTCTCACTGGCCGATCTCGCTGCCTTTGCTCTTTCCACGTGATTCTGTTTGGGGGGGGGGGGGGGGGGGGGAGTTGTGTAGCGCCATTTTGGGTGCCCGTGCCGACGTTCTGTATCTGATCGAGGATGGCTCAGCCACCCAGCTATTGCAAAACATTGCAAAGGTGTGCGGTGATGACGTGGAGGTGATTGACCACCAGCGCCTAGCACCTCTACACGTGCAGAGGGAGCCTTTGATCAACTTCAGCCACTTGCGTGAGGGCGACTGCCTGATTGGCTTCAACCGCCGGGAGCTGTTCAACCTCAAGGCCCAGGCTGAGGCTGCCACGGGACTCAAGTGCGCCGTCGTGTACGGCGCTCTACCTCCCGACGTGCGAAAGGCACAGGCCACACTCTTCAACGACCCCCACTCAGATTACAAGCTACTGGCAGCCAGCGACGCCATTGGCATGGGCCTCAATTTTGACATTGGGCGCGTCATTTTCTCTACCGTTTGGAAGTTTGATGGGACGCAGCGCCGCGTCCTGCGTCCCACGGAGCTTCGCCAAATCGCGGGTCGTGCTGGTCGCTACGGAAGCCGCTATGCCGTGGGTGGAGAGGTCCTAGCCATGTCCGAGTCGGATACCGAGGTCCTTCAGCGAGCACTCGACCCCGCCCTTCAGCTGCCCTTGGTTGAAAAGGCTGGTCTCAGCGTCGACGCCGCCATGCTCATGCGTTGGTACGCCATGGAGTGCGCCAAACCAGCTCATCGCCAGCGCCGCCGGGCGCATAATGTTGCCTTTGCTCTAGCGGAGGTGCGGCACCTACTCAAGCCTGGTCGCCTGTACACCATGCAGGCCGAACGTGAAGAAATGGCTGTGGCACGCCTACTGGACACCATTCCTGACGTCGACTTTCACGTGAAAGCACACCTGTGTGCCGCACCCCTCAACGCCGACTCGACGCTGCAACCGCTCTATTTTGCTTATTTTGTCAGCTGTATCCGTGATGAGCTACAGATCCCACCCATTCTTCCGCGCAACGTCCGCAAGGAGGGCTTTCCCATTGCTTACACGGCCGTCGACTTGAAACTCTTGGAAGAAATTCATGAAGTCTTGGACTTGTGTTTGTGGGTTGGCCAGCGGCATGGCTGCATTGATGTGCCCCGCGTTGAGGAACAGCGCCGCTCCCTAGCCGAGGCCATCAGTGCCAGCTTGTTGCGACTTGCTCAACAGTCGCAAGCCGCAGCAGCGGCCGCTCGAGCACGCCGCGCACAGCTCGAGCAGGCAGAGCCACCTGTGACTGGCACCTCCGACGACAGGACTGATCCAGAACCGCCTGTTCAGTCGCAACCCCCTGTCCCCAACCCTGATGACTCTGATCCACGCTCGATCCTGCCTGCCCGGGATTTGGGCCGCAGCGCCGTCGAGCGCCTGTATCAGACAATTCTTCAGCGAGGCCAGTCTCTTTATCGCTCAGCCCTACGCATTGGAGGCGACGATTCAAACTCGCGCTCGGCTACTGCCCGGCGCAAGCACAAAAGCAGGCGACCGCAAAACGACAAGAGCGATTATCGCGATCCCAAACAAAAGCAGCATAAGATTGCCGACGGGGGGCACCGCTCAGCCACGGCCAAGCGCGAAAAGCAACATCACAAGATGAAGAAGCGCACTCAGAGCGATGGTTTCGCCAAGCGCCATCCCCGTCAAGCTGATTGGTGACTGCGAATGACGAAGACAGCAGATTGATCGTGTTCTACGACAAGCTCGTTGGAAAGAATAAGCGCGGAGCGCTGGGGTGTCCAGAGTCAAACGAGAAAACAAGATTTGGTGCTGATGCATTTCATTGTGCAATCGATATCATGAATTCAAACTCCATTTCTCCAACTAAAAGAAATTGGGCAGGTGGGGACTAGATGACAGTGTTAAATTGATTCTGAAAGGCGAGTGGCTGGGGCATGGGTGGAGTCTGGCTGTCATCAAAGACCAAGGGTTCCCAGTACTGGTAGTCACTCCGCATTTGCTGTCGAGGGGACGAGCCCCAGCGCGTGCCCGTCCACAGTAGACTCAAGGGGGCTTTATCGGGACTGGTGAGGAACCCCGTTTGGGCCACGTAGTTGAGCTGTGCGTGAATGCCTGAGGCATTGCCGACGACGTCTGTCAAGTAGTCATAGGGCCCTAGTGGGTCTGTGCTCACGTACACCAGGCTGTTGGAGCCTGCCAGGCAATAGCAACAAGTATGGCCGAAAAAGGCGTAGTAAAAGCCGTGTCGAGCCACCAAGGCCGGGCTCTCCACTGAGGCTGGACCAAAGACAGCGGACCGATTGTAGGTTGAGGACAAGAAGTCAGGAGCCAGCTGCTCCACCACCATGCGCACATTGGTGGCGTGCGATGTGTAAATCACATATCCAATGTCAGTGCCAGCATCAACAAAGAGGCCGTAATCGCCACCGTTGCCTTCAGACACTTGAACAGGTTTGGAGTCCACAACGAAGGGACCGAGCGGAGAGGTAGCGTCAGTTGCATAGTAGCCCTCGGCTGTCCAGTTGAGGGCTTGTCCGTTACTTGTCAGAGGCACGATGCGGATCCACAGGACGAAACGAGCATTGTTGGGATTATAGACCACCTATCAACACCCCGGCAGATGATGTTAGCATGTCTCTGTGAGAACTGATGAGCGTGTGAGAGCGGTATAATCTTTCCAGCACCTTGGGTCGAAACAAAACCCCAGGTGGGCGTTGGCTGGGATTGAGAATGGACCCAAGGTACTCCCAACTGCCTGATGTCATGTTCGGGCTTCGGTAAGCCTAAGGGAGGGACACGCCGACAGCCAATTGATCAGGCTAGACGAGTAGTTGCCTTGGGGAACCAGCTTGCCCCGTCTTTGGGAGGCGCTGCCTGCGGGGCTAGCAGGACAGACGTCGATCGTGGTGTTTGGCAAAAAGCCGCATGTATTGTTGAGAGGCATGACACAGAGGGTTCCATTTCTGGGGTGCTCCGAGCAGTCACCGTAGTTGGCGGCAAAGTAGTAGTACTGCTGGTCTACGCCCACGAGAGTGTGTGTGAATGTGTGTGTGTGTGTGTGTGAGAGAGAGAGAGAGAGCGAGCGAGAATGAGACAAGAGGAATGGTGAAAAACGTGAGGCAACAGGCAGCAAAAGGAACGGAGCGAGATGGACCGGATGGATGGAAGAGCAAGTTGCCATCGCCGCCGGTGACAATGCGCCCGATCGTATCCAGGCGTGGCTCGATATTGGAGATGTTGCAGTCATACCCCACCACAACCACCACCAGCACGGACAATAACAATAACCCACGCCTGCCCACCGGCGATGGGACCAGCCAGCCCACAGCCATCAGGGGCAGTCGACATGGACCTCAAGCACGATCTCGCTCAAGCAAAACACCGATTACGCCATCCTTTGAGATATCGTTTTGGAGGGGTGTTTATAGTTACGAGCATCGCTCTGCATGTGTGTCTCTCTCAACATTTTGTTCCTCTCTCTCTCTCTCTCTCTCTCTCACTTACGACCGGCGACATGTCTGACCGGGAAGACTCGGATGATGATGCCCGTCCCAGGCCTGTACCAGAGCAGGAGAGCGCCGCGGGCGACGCTCTGACCGGTGCAGGTGACGATGATCCTGAACCACCACGGTAAGGGTCAACCATTGCATTCACACGTCCTAGCGATCGCCCACACACACTCTCTCTCACTGTGCCCCCGCCACCCTTGTTTGAGCAGCAAAATCGTCAAGCCTGTCCTAGACATGAGCCTGGATGAATTGGCCTCTCACCAACGGCGCAAGCGCCGCGGTCATGATGATCGCCGCTCTCGTGCTGATCATCGACGCAACCGCAGCCAGCACGGCCAGGACCTGCGCAGCCAGCTGGGTGCTCGCTCGAAGCGCACCTTTGCTGATGCAAGTCAAGATTTGCGCACCCAGCTCTCCCTGAGCTCCGCTCGCACTCGTGCTTATCAATTTGATACACCCAACAACGTGGAGGTCAAAGACAGCGTAGTACCTGAACGGTCCGTCCTGCCCTCTGCAAATCCTCTTGCTCCACACGCAGCTTGCGTGTTCTCCGAGTGATCACCGGACCCATGCTGGCTGATGAATTACTTCAATGCCTCCTGGTTCACAGGGTGTTGCCCAACCTCAAGCTCGAGCTGGCGCGTCGTGATTGTTTGCAAGCAGCATTGACCCTGTTTGGCGAGCAATGCCAGGAGCGGCTGAACATCCTGCCCCCAAAGCATAATCTAGCCCGCTGGCTCTACCAACAGCTATCGGTACCATCGGGTCCCGAACAAGTGGATGCCCTTTTCCGGTGAGTTGCTGGCGCCTATTGACCAACGTGGATCCGTTCCCTCATCGTTGAGTCCCCCTGCTAATTATTCGTACAGATATCCAAAGTCGATGGCGAATAGCAAACCACTCCGTGATGAGATTGCTCGCGAGCTGCCATGTCGCATCCCCAACCGCGCCTACAAGCACTGGCCCACGGTGGGTGTGAACTCAAATTCTTGATTCGCGCTCCGTTGCCGCTCTTGGCATGACAGGCACAAGAACTGATGGAGCTTGCTGGCGTGGTGTGTGTGCCTTCCTGCACAGGGTCTCGCGGTGGTGGAGACATTCGTTACAACCGCACGCGACTGGTTGGCTCACATTGATGAGATGGCTGCTCAAAAGAAGAAGGCCATGACAAAGGCACCGGCAGATGCTGATGTGTCAGAGGACAGCGCTGCCGAAGGCAAGACCCCAGCTGCTGAGGTGGAGGAAACGAAAGCGTAAGTTGGCTGTTCACTGACCCGCTGCGTGCAGAAAAAGGCGCTGCCTCATCCCGTGTGACCACAATCACCCGCTCTCTTATCCCCCCCACCCCCGTCTCTCGACCAATGATATTGCCCAATGTCCTTTTTGTGTCTATGGCAGTGAGGAAGTTTTGGAGAGTGATGAGCACCTCGGTGAGACGATGCGTGCGTTGGAGCGGGCAGAGGTGTGGCTGCGCCTGCAGCGCCATTCGAGACTGCCGCCCAACTTTGAAGAGCTGCGCGAACTGCTGACCTTTTTGAGCACAGCCGGGAGCGAGGCGATCCGAGAAGCTGCTGACCCAGAGGTTCGTGCGCGCCGCCTCGTTGACGAACTTTCGCCCAGAGCCACCGTTTATGCCACCCTTTTTGAACAGTGCCCTGCCCTGCGGGTCTGACTCGGCCTTCCTCCGTTCTCATGTGCATCTGCGATTGGCTCGGATGCGTGACAGATTGAGGACATTCTCAAGAAGACCGAGGCATGCCTGGAGGATGCACTGGCCAAGTTGGCCGAGATTCGCGCCGAACCGGTGGATGAGGCCTTGGAGATAGAGTGTGAGATGAATGACGACAAGGTCGTGCTGCGCTGTCCGACTGTCGGCGCTGATTGCCTCGTGAGCATGAAGAGCGATCACTACCATCGCCTGGCCAAGTTGTACCGCACACACTGTGAGGCCTTTGATCCCGAGCGGCAGCACTTTCATCGCCTAGCCTTGTGTGTGGGGCTGCGGTACCAGACCATCCTCTTTGAGCCCTATGTCGATGGTGAGAACAGCATGCCGGCCGCCTTCAAGGCCTTTCTCACAAAGCAGCTGCATTGTTGCTTTGACTCCTTTGCCTCGCCTTTCAATGCCTACTACCGCAACTTTGCCAGCGCCGCGCCAGATCTGGACTCCTTTTTTGGGTCGGTGGGCTCCTTTTTTGACTTTACTCCTTCCCAGGGCTCCTTTGTGGCTTTCCCACCGTTTGTGGAGCTCGTGCTGGACCGCACCGCCGACCGTATCGAGGCACTGCTGAACGCAAGCTCTGACCCGTTGTCGTTTGTCGTGATGATGCCGGAGTGGCGCCTCTACAAGCTGCATGCTCTGGACGTGCTCGATCAGTCACCTCACCGCCGCGCTGACTTTCTCATCGAGGGTAACAAGCAGGCCATCCTTTCGGGCCAGAGCTGGTATGGCGACGTGGGCCAGCAGTGGAAACTCGCCCGCTTTGGCGACTATCGTGTCTACGTTCTGCAAAATGAGGCGGGCTTTGCGCAATGGGGTGCGGGCGTCGCTGCGCTCGAGGAGAACAAGCGCGCTTTTGGTGCTTCCGACGCCTAGATCCATGCCTTTGGACAAATTGAGGGTCATTTGGTGATGTGAAATTCCACTCGCTGATTGCACGTAATTGAAAATGCCTGGTGGCGAATAGCGACATCCTTCATATCAGCGAAAAAATGCGCCTTTGAAAATGCGTCTTGCGGCGCAAAATGTCGAACGGCCCATCGAAAACGGAGAAGTTGTAATTCACGTGATATCACTTTCTACTACCTTGCTTGGCTTTACGCCAGCACTTTTGGTACCTGCAAACATTTCCATTCCTTGGAGAATCCGGATATAATATAACCATGGTCAGAGCAATGATTTGACGCCTTTTGGTGCCGGGATCGATGCAATAACAACGTCATTATCATGAACAAGTGGCATCCACTGATAGACCAAGTGCAGTTACATCGGATGTTGTCAGACTCGACATTCCACACAAGCGGTCTCACTCCCAAGCGTGCCAAAAACAGTCCTGCGCATCTGAAGAAAAAAATTAAAGTTGTGCTTGCTTCTCTGAGAACAGTTTTGCATGCGAGCTGGAAGGGGTCGTTGTCTCTGACTCATCAAAGATAAAGCTGTAACTCGAGAACGTGAACGAAATGATAATGCTGGACTTGTATGGCAGTCGCGGTGGCAGCTTTTTGGCGCGTCACAGGAGTACCCCCGATCAAGTTCGGTGTTTTTGGAGGCTCCTCTAACGCGAGAAGGTAACATGTACACATTCGTTTTACGTGTTATGTCAACTTTGATAATAATAACAACATGCAAGTGTTCAGTGACGCCTTCAGAGACGGACTCTCGAACCAAAACACTTTCTTTGCTTTCTTTGCTGCTCGCAGATCGGCAGATCCGTGTTGATTCCAACGCACACTGAAACCCGAGTTTCGAAGTTGCACTGCCACAATGGACAACTCGGTGAGCATCGCAGAGATGATGCAGACTGTTTTTCTTATCGGGCCCTTTGCTCACATCACTTGATCAATTGCAACAGCTTTCCTTGGCGCGCAATCCCGAGGAGATTTCGAGTGACGGCGAAGATGAGCATCTGCAGCAAACGAACGAGGAGCCCCTCACAGGCAATGCCGCCGCTGCAGTCAAGGTCGATTTTTCAGACAAAGCCGCTGTCATAGCCGACATCGAAACGATTGTAAGCCGCTGGGGATTCAGCTCGAGCCGACTCACATTCTATACAGCAAATTCATTTAAATTGTTGTGCTGATTCTTGATCGCAGCGGTTGAGCGAACTTTTCGAGCAACTCAGCGTGGCGGAGGAAAAACCCGTCGGCCTTTTACAGGATGAAACTGCCTGGAAAAAAAGATCCACCCTATGGCAGATGAAATACGAAGATGCGCAAGCTCACGGCATCCTCCAAAAGGAACTATCTCACAAATCACAGGAACAGTTCTGCAGGAATTTGATGAGTTTATCTGAAAAACTCCTCGCCAGCTTGAGGCGCTCCGCTCATTTTGAGAACTATGACGCTCTTTTGAGGTTGGGCAAGGACCTTCTGACAAAATACGTGGCCAAGGAAAAGTTCAACGCTGCTCTGGTCCTTCTCTTTGCACCGCGATCAACGTTTAAATCACCTAAATCGATCAAGATTTGGCAAACGCAAGAGCACATGTTCTTGTATGATGCTGATCGCGAAAAGACATGCCTGTCGAGTCTTATTCCAGTGCTGCTCACCTCGGACAAAAATCTTCTGCTCCGGATCATCAATAAAGGCGTGTCAACCATGATGGAAACTAACTCACTGAACCTCGTTGCCAGAGACCTTTCGCGCTGGTTCGGTCTGTCAGACTCTAGCAAGGCAGTGCGATACTACCAGGCCACATTACTCGCTTACTTTTTGACTTCCACTGATATCGGCCGACGTATGAGTCAGCGCTGCAACTTGTCCTGGTTAGGTCTTGTCAATCTCGCCCTTGCCCACCGGCCTCACAGCAAGTGTTGGGTTTCGTACGTCCATCGGGTTGGGCCCCATAAGCCTCCATATGGACAATAGTGGTTTGAGGCAGTACGGAACAGTTTTGTGATGATGTCATGGCGTGATTGATGTGTGTCGCTGTTTGTCGCCGCTGGTCGATGTGGGCAATTGACACATGCCTGTCTGTCTACCTGTGAATCTGTGTTCTTATACTGTCTGGCTCGTGCTCGTTGGTCACAGGGGGCTCTTTAATGAATGGATCGCATGCGACAAAAAAACAAAACAAGAAACCAAACCTCATTTGGAAATACCCAAAAAAAACACGAAAAAAGAGCACAAAATTGAATCACACCTTGTAGATTATTGAAAGAACGGCGTGTTTGAAAGGTTAGCAAGATGACGGAGCGCACGTTTGCGATTTCACCGTTTGCACGGTGAATCAGACTTGAGGTTGTTGTCAATTTAAGTCAACCACCACCGATGCAAAACATACAACGACCGTCCATGTGGCAGGCTAGCAGCTAGCATTTTTCAGAAACAAGTGGCGTCTGGGGATTTATTATTATACACGGAAGCAGGCAACCAAGAGAGGGTACCGGCTAAGCAAGCAACGGTCGAACCCGACACTCGAGGCCAAGTCCGCGCTCATTCATCGTCCATAGATTCAATCTGTTCCGTGTTGCGGGCTTGAAAAAATGTGTACGAAAGGGTGATATCACGGACCTGACCATCACCCGGTCGGAGGCAGGGCAGGGGTGAGAGCATGCATCGCCATGCAGCGTGTGCATTTTGCAACGGTCACAAGCACGAACACCTTGTGCGCAAGTGCAGCGGTCCAGAAACGCACCTTGTACATGCTGGGGTCCTCTGCGAATTCGGGATCAATGTAGAAGAAGACGGGCATATCCACCTCCTCCCCGGGATTGAGTCGCTGCTCCTCAAAGCAAAAACATTGGATTTTGTTGAAATAGACGCCCGCCTATGCCCGACACAAAGCAAGAGGCAATCAGCGAGGCCTTCGCAACGGCAGGCTTACAGCGTGCCCGCTTCACACAACGTACGTCATAAGGGACAACGTTGTACGTGGAGATGCCGATGATAGGTTGATTGGTTGGATTTTTGGCGGTGAAAAACGCTAGCGCAGTTTCACCCGGAACCACCTGCCGAGTGAAGAAAATACACACCAGGGAAGGGATGAGCACGGCGAAGCATGAGAGCAAGCACATCAGCGCATGCATCAGATCCCCCAGACCACAGGGCAGACGCACCGTGACCTCCCGTTGCTGGGGTTTAAAGGACCACTGCATGGTGGCGCTCGTATCCGCATTGAATCTATCATGATACAAAACCGAGCGCATGTAGAGTTAGGAGGTACCCAGGCCAAGCAGGCGACGCAGGTGTGTTACTGCATGAAATGTACCGGATGCGAATCTCTCGCTCTTCGACTGGAACCATATCCTCTAGCTATAGAAGTAGGATTGCCAGTGGGAGAATGAATGGTTCGCGGACACTGGCCATTTAGGGGCGGAGGTGCGGGAAGGGTAGAGTCGGGCCCACGTACTTTGACTTTGCCTTCCGTATGCTTGTTCACCGTGCCACCATAACCTGTTGCCTACACAGCAACACCAGGTTAAATGAGAGCTGATGCCAGGTGGGGGCGGGGACTGGATACAGTCGTGGTGGGTGGGGGATCTTCGGCGGCATACCTGACAAAAGGCACGGTAGAGCGGCACCGCGCCATAAGCGCAGCCAAGGAAGAAGATGACGGCGCTGGCTGCATAAATGAGAGTGTCAGTGTTGTCAGCTGGAGTGCGGAGAGCCATGCCTCGCAGAGGAGGGCAAAGCACAGGGCGCAAGGGTCGCAAGCAAGATGCCGGCCGTGGCGCAAGGACATGCAACGTGCGCGCGGGAGCCATGCCCTGGGCAGTCCAGGACCGGGTACATGGTGCCATCCATCGCTGCAAGCCAAAACGCGCAGGCGTCGCGCGCTGCCAGAGCGTGGTCCAAGAAGACATGCTGCTGGCTATATCTACGCTGTTCGGGGGTGCACGGCAAGCCCACGGGCATCAATACGTCGTTGACAAACGGGCTTTCCCGTCGGCTTGAAGAGCAAGTCATATTCACAGCCAGCCAAATCCCATGCCTTACACAGGGAAGGACCAGACCACCACATCGACACGTCATGACCGTGACCAGAGCTCGCACCAGCCCCCAGCTCCCCATGCTCATCCCCATGCTCATCAAGGCCCGCCGTCGCCGCACTCAACACACGCTTGCATACCTTCCGCCACCACCGCCGCCGTCAAATCTGACATTCGAGACGAGATTTGTCAGATTGTCAGATGGATAATGTTTGATAACAAATGTCAGCAAAATGGATCTGCTCTTGAAAGCGAGACCCTCGTGTTCAGAGAGAGAGAGAGAGTGTGTGTGTGGTCATTTCCGTCACATCGCGGGGCGTTGCGGCGGTGTGGTGCTCGTTCATTGATCCGATTCGTGGCGGGGTCTGCCTCACGGCTACTACCCTGCTTCGGGGTCTCGCAGCCTGTCGAGCTGTACTTTCAGAACTTGTCCTGTCGTCGTTGCCATCCCTTCTGTCTTTGACTTGAAGTCTTTCCTTCCGATTGGCATCAGACCAGCGCTATGAGTATCCCCATCCTGGCGCTGACAACGGATGAGATTGCGCTGGCCAAGGCTTTTATCACAGCCGCCTCACATGGGGAGCTGGAGGTGATTCAACAGCTTGTCGAGTCGGGGCAGGTGGACATCAACATGCGCCGCCGTCGCGGCGATCAGACGGCCCTGCACGCGGCAGTGTTGGCTCGCAAGGTGCCCGTGGTCGAGTACCTCGTCAAGCGCGGTGCCAACTGCAACGAAATCAATGGCAAAGGCAAGACGCCATTTTGGCTCGGCTGTGCCGTGGCCCTGCCACAAGAAACGCTTGAGCTGATGCTTGACCATGGTGCCGATATTCTTCAATCCTGTGCTCGCACCGGCGATCTACCATTGCAAGGCGCCCGCGAGCAAACCTCCAACGCGGGTCTCTGCCGTTGGCTTCAGGGCTTGACGGACGAGGCCCTCGAGGCACGCGAGGCTTCTGGTGCTGGAGCAGCACGCCCAGGCTTCCAACGCTGCCCCCTCTGCTACTTTCAGTACCGTGTGCGCGGTCGCTGCTATTACTTTTATCAGGACATTGCCCAGGACACGCACCCATATGTGCAGCAGTATCGCCATCTCAAGGCTGCCGATGCCCTTGTGGCCAAGGCCGGCTACCATCGGCTGGGCAACAAAGCCCACTTACGCAAGGAAATTTCCGAGAGTCTCAGCATCTACAATGCGCTCACTGATCTTCTGCAGACTCGCTCCATAACCTGGTCTGATCTCTGCGTCATTGATCTCTGTGCGGGCTGTTCCTTGACCACCGTCATCATTGGCGAGGAACATCCGGAGACGCGTGTCTTGGCCATCGACCGCATGAGTGAGTATTTGGTTCCACACTTTCAAGACAACATGTCCTACCATCGGCACGACATTATGCACGACGATTTCCTCTCCGCCATGGCCGCGCAGTGCCAGGGTCGCAAGCATTGCGTTGTCATTGGCATGCATCTGTGTGGCACGCTTTCCGTGCGCGCCATCGACCTCGCCGTGGCCTTGCCCACCTGCCTGGGCCTCATCCTCTCGCCTTGTTGCATGCCAACGAAAAAGTCTGAACTCAACGTAACGCGTGAACAAGTCTTTGATAACGACACGGATCGCTACGCTTTTTGGTGCCGCTGGTTGACCGCCCGCATGACTGATGCCGGGTTTGTTGAACCACGGCTCTGGATTGACGAGCAAATTCTCTCTGATCGCAATGCGCTCATCTTGGGCACACGGCCAGCTCCCGTTGACGCGATACCAGAGGCTAACCGGTCACCATCACCACCTCTGCAGAACGAGGCCTCGTGCAGTGCCGCCGCTGCGCCAGTTGCGCCCGAGTAAAGGCAGGGGTACCGGTGTCCCGAGTGAGTGCAGCACAACGCAGCAAGGGCATCAACGAGTGCTTGGTTGTGTGCGTGCACGGCGGGCATTTGAACAGTGGCATTTGTGACGTTGACATGTAAATTCACAAAAAAACAACAACAACAACAAAACAGTTCATTGTTATCCTTCCTACCTACGGCAGCTCTCGCAACACCGCAAACACAAACTAAGGTTTGCGGCACAGACAGGCAACTACACACACCGCGCGCCACAAAGTTCCCAACGGGAAGAAAAGAAAGGGCATCTCTTGGGCATATCACGACAGAGCTTCGAGGCTCTGCTTGGCAGACTCCATGGCTCGCAAAAATTCGTAAAACTGTGGCAGGGTCAATTCTACACGCCAACGAGATGCACCCCGGTGAGACGCATGTTGAACAGGCTCAAATTGAGGAGGGCACCGTGGACTGGGCCCGTATCATGGCTTGAGGCTCCCACGACTGACCCATGTAAACGTCTTCGTTGCCTTGGCCCTTGTTCAGGGTGAGTTTCAGTTGAAGAAAGGTCTCGCCTGATGCCTCAAAGACAGAGCTCCCGGCCGTCACTGCGAGCAAGGACAGCACATTGAGATGTCAGGAGGAAGGGGAGGCGGAAGGCACTGGCAGCGTATTGCTAATTGCGGCGGTACCAAACGATGCGGACCTCCAAATTTCCACTGCATGTCCACCAGGTTGTGAATGGAGAACGTTTGGCCTGCCAGGCGCAGAGAAGGTTGTTGAGATTGAGAGGCAGGTGCGTCAAAGTAAGATGCGTGAGTGACGTCAAATATTGACCTACCGACGAGTGTCATGGAAAGCTCGGCGAGCTGTGCTTTGAATTGCTTGGCAATAAAGGTCGCCTTTCCTTTGCCATAGCCTACCGTCGCGAGCACCGGGGCGCGAGTGGGTTCCACACGAATGAAACGACGTGCTCACTTGTTTGCCACCAAAGCTGGGCCACCGGTGGAAAAAGCAATCAAAGCAAACCTAGAGCAGTCACGTCTTCGAACAGTTGTTTGGGGTTGAGACTGGCACGTTGAACAGCGCGGAAGAACATGAGCCAGGCCTTGACGAGCGTTTCAGCTTGCTTCTGAGGGAGGTCATGTTGTTGGCCCAAAGTAGTGATGGCCTTGACCATGCCGTCCACCTGCAAGAGGCAATCGAAGAGCATGTGAGAAGCAATGGGTACGCGGTGAATCGGTTAGAAGCGATGCTACGCATCGTAGCAGCAGCAGCAGCCGCAGCCGCAGGTCCCGGCTGGGTGTTCAAAGAGCTGAGACAGCCCTCGTTCTGGAGGAACGCTGGGCGGCGAAGCATACCGATTGCGGGGCGGTTAGGATCTGGAACACTAGCTCAATGAGGGCAGCAAAAGCCTAATGGTTCAGCGGCAGGTTGGGATGAAATGGCGCACGGATCAGGTTGTGTTCACGCCTTCGAGGGCAGGGGGCATGGCCGTGTGCGGAACTCGAGCCTGGCTTGCCTCATCAGGCAGTTGATCGGCACTGCGCAGTTCCTTCAGCCACTGCTCATCAGGCTTGCGGCCAAAGTGAAACGTCATGGTGGCAACGGTGCTTGCCAAGGAAAAACCACGTGTGCACTGCTTGGTGCACAAGATACTTCTCAGCCCCTCTTTTGAGGTCCAAAAGGTCCAGGGGCCACCGGTCGCAGGTCGTCGAGATTCTCGCTTGTGCAAACTACCCAAAAAGAAAGAAAAAAAAAAGTGTGTGTGTGTGTGTGTGTGTTGGGTTTGCTTGATCAAGATTCAGAAAAAAAAAAGGCACTAAAGCACTAAAGAACGAGAAAGGGAGGGTGTGCGTGGGTGCAGGGGAAATGGAGAGCAAGGAGAGAGCTTTGTTGGAAAGCCATGCGAGAATGTATCTGCCTTTTTCTGGGCTAGACAGGGTTGTCAACTGGAAACATCAATTTTGAATCAGTGTTCTGGCAAGCGACATTTATTCGAAAAGGGGGCAAGACGAGACGGCGACAGGTGTATCAAGATTTTGCGGAGAAAGAGATGCTTAGACTTCACCGCGCAAGATGCGATCAACCTCTCGTTGCGTCTTCTTTGCATTGCGTTGCGCAAAGTTCAAGCTGCAAGAGGTATATTTCATGCAGTGAGTCGGATTGAGGAACACAAGGCGAGCTGAGCACACGGTCGGCAAGCTCACCGGTTCTTGATGATACGGTCAACAATAATCTCGGTGGTGAGATCTGAGTGGCTCTCCACGTGCACAAAGATGCCGCGGTCAATGGCAACCTGATACGGATCAGCGCCCGACTGCAACCAGAATGCGCGTAAGCACAACGAAGAACAATGGAGCAGCGACCACGTGTATTGTGGTCAGGACGCAGCGCGCGTCACTCAAAAGGTTGGTGGGCGAAGAGAGAGGGTAGGGTGTTCTTACGGGCTTGAGCACGCCAGTGGAGCCATGGAACACTTTGGTAATCTATGCAAGATCAGCGTGCACGCTGTGGTCAGGGGACGAGCGTCACTTCAGCAAGCAACAAAGAAAAGAGCGACCTGACCTTGAAGTAGTCGAGCAGTTCCTCAGTGATGGCTTCAGGAGCACCAATAACAACGTCATCCACGTACTGCCAAGACGATGCACGAGCAGTCGTAAAGGTCAAAACAAGGCGATGGCGCGTGAATATCAAGCATCAGGTCGTGTGTTGTGAGATTTAGAGACTGCTTCACATGTGAGGCACACGGGTTCACGTACACGGCAAGCAAGGATGGAGAGGGTGCGCTCCTGGAGGTTCATGATGGGGTAGTTGGAGCCGTGGTTGCGGTTGACGGTGCGATCGGTGTGAAGGCCGACAATCAGGTAGTCACACTGTTGCCGGGCAGCCTCGAGAGCGGCCACGTGGCCCGTGTGCAAGAGATCAAAGGCGCCTGAGTAATGGGGTGAGCCAGCGTGAGGAACAGGGCGGAGTGTTCAGGCCAGCGCTGTGCGCAAAGGAGGTGGACGGACCGGGCATGTAGCCAATGACGTCCGTGTCCTTGGGTTCGCGTTGAGTGGAGAATTGGACAATGCGCTGGCGATGAGGGGAGGAGCGACGGGACGAGCCGGATGGAATGCAGATCGGTGAGGGCGGAGAAAAACGGGTTGCAGAGGAGGAGGAGGAGGAGGAGGAGGAGGGGGTTGTGGTGGCGAGGAGGCACCTTGCTGTTGGCCAGCAGCTGGGAGGTGCCAGTGTAGGGGCTATCACTGGCTGAGAGCTTGCTGGTGGAGAGCTTGGCGTCACCATCGTCTTGTTGGTGGTGGGTGCGAGTCATCAGCAGCATGCTACGGCACGAGAGAGTCCATGATGTATAACGGGCTGCTTCATGAGGGTGTGGTGTGGACGTTGCGGTTCCACAAGGCATGTGTTGTGTAGAAAATTTATGAGGCTTACCGGCCGACAATGTCGGTCGTCGAGACACCTTGAGTGCGCTGGTACTCTTTGTAGCGACCAGACTTTTTGGCAATGTGGTAGGCATCTTCGCCATCGGCCTGGGTAGTGATTGCGGGCGCCGTGTAAAGTCGTGTGAGGGGTGAGTTGGAAGCTGTGGCCTTGGCTGGCGACGAGGACGCGGCGAGAAGGGGACTCACGTTGGTGGTAATGTCATCACCGTGCACGACAAAGTCACAGTTGTTCTGTTCCAGGAAGTCGAGGTTGAAGGTGTCTGTAGTTGAGGGATGGGGTGGGGTGAGGTGGGCCTTTGCGAGTCATGGAGGGAGGTTCGCGGTTGGTTGGCAGCGGGCGGGGCAATGTCCATGGGTCATGATCAGGACTGGCGTACATGGGGCGTCAGTGACGACTTCGTCGACCCATTTGACGGCTTTGACAAGCTTGTAACGCTCTTCTTGGGTCAAGACTGGAGGACCCTTGTTCTTCTCAATGTCTATGACCGCCAGCGGGCAGCAGGTCAAGGTACGGGCAGCCAGAGGACAGCGCGGGCAGCGCAGGCCGTGCGGACAGTGGGCCAGGGTGGTGGGGTACCTTCGTCATTGTGAATGCCGACGACGAGGATGTCACCGAGGGCCTTGGCTTGGCGGAGAGCATTGGCATGACCAAAGTGCATGAGGTCGAAGCAACCATCGGCATACACCCGGGTGGGCTGTCGCTTGGCTGCCTTGGGGCTGGCTTCGGCCATGGCTATGCTGTGTGATTGGCACGAGGACAAGCCGTCACCAGGTAGCGTCAGCACAAGGACGAAGAAGGAGAGGAAGGAGGAGAAGGAGGGAGGAGGCAGCAGCAGGAGGAGGAGGCAGCAGCAGAAGAAGAAATGATCAGAAAACTGTCACGGAGAAAAATTTGGGATTGTAGGCAGTGCCGTGCTGATGCTTGACTAGGAGCGATTCTGCACCTTGTTGATGGATACGGGGGGGGGGGCTTCCAAGAGGAAATGTGGCAAGAACGAAAAGGTTGTAGCAGATCGGCAGAGCGCAAAAACTGGCACCCCCGAGCGAGATGTCACAAGAGCGCGCGGGAGATGATCATCATCAGCACTTGCAACGCTTACATCTCTCTCTCTCTCTCTCTCTCTCTCTCTCTCTCTCTCTCTCTCTCTCTCTCTCTCTCTCTCTCTCTCTCTCTCTCTCTCTCTCTCTCTTGCATGTGGGTTTTTGTTTGGTGTTTTGCTGGAGGGGCTGGTGTGGGTGCGGCAAGGGGGAAGCCAGCTTAAATCCGTGTGTGGGTGTGGGGTGCTTGGGATGGCGCAAGACCGTACACGTCAACACCAGCGTACACGTACAGAGTCATTTTTGATTATACCCCACCAAAATATAAAAGAAATATCAGCATGGAACAGGTGGTGAGAACGTGTGTTGTACCGGGAGAGGTACATCACGTTGTCAGAGCGTGTCTAACGCAGTCAAGCAGCCAACCAGTCGTCATGCAGTCAAGCAGGAGTAGCAGTAGCGGCTTTGCCTCTCAGCAACTGCCTTTGTGATGCTATGCCGGCTTGCAAGCCTTGATTCCTGCCTGGTCTGGTCCACCCGCTTACATTTGGTAACCGCAGTTGACTTTGCTCTATTGATGGGTGTACACAAAAGAACACCACACATATCCGCCCACTTTTCTTCTTCTCTGCCTCTCTTGTCTCCGTCGCTCTACCAGCCCTCTCTCTGCATTTGGCTCCATATCTCCGTATCCCGGGTGGATCCCACACACGCCATCTCTGCCTCCCTGCCTCATTCTCACTCCCCCTCTGCCCGGCTCTGACCATCAAGTGACGACGCGCAAAAGTGGGATTTTGATTTTTGTCTTCAACACCAGGTGTGTGCGGCTCTCCGCCGGCTCCCTCTCTGCTCAGCTCCTGGGTCTTTGCTCCCGGCGGCCGCTGTGCCGGCTTGTTTGAGGCTCTTCTTTGGTTCGGTGGTGGTCGTCTTCATGTTGCCAGCAGCTTGTTGGTCCGGGCGCACACATTGGAATGCATGCACAGAATCAGACGCAGATAGCCCTCTCCCGCCTCCTTCCCCCCTTTTCCGTCAACGATCCCGGCTTCTTGGTTGCCATCTGCTTCATCCGCCCCTCGCTCGGTCCCATCATCCATCCGCCTGACATTGCTTCAACAAGGCACAGCCTAGCTCATTTCTCATTGCGCCGCCTCTCCTTGGCTCTCGCCCGATTATCCATCCATTCACCCCTTTTCTGTTCTCCGCTCAGCCTGCGCGCTGAGCAAGAGTTGTGCACCGGCCCAAGCACCTTCAAAGCCACTCGAAAAACAAACAACAACAACAACATATGCGTGCCCACACCCATGTACAGCCAGTTGCAAAGCGGGCATGCTTGTTTGGTGCTGCTTGTTCATGTAGTCCGCCCCCTTCTCGTCTGGATCTTGGTGGTGGTGGTGGTAGTGGCTTTTTTTTTTGTCCTTTCACCTAATGAGCCTACCAGTTACATCACTTACTCATCGGCCCCCTCCTCCTCCCTTTTTTTTCGTATTTTTGTGGTTTTAGTAGCCAAGTATCTCAGGTGCACAGCCGAGTGCCCCGAGCAAAAGTGCCCCGAGCAAACGAGCGGCACTGTTGGCTGAAAGGTCTCGCCCGGGGAGGCGGATAGTACCACAAGCCCTCTCTCCCCGTCCACCGTTTGTACGACACCACCGTCATGTCTGGCTTTGAGCAAACACACGATCTGGCCTCGTCCGAGAGCCTGGACGAAACCCGTCTTAGCAATGCCCTCGAGGCTCGCTATGGTGCAGATATGATCTACGTAAGCAACCCCCGGCCCACCTCAACCCCGGCGCTCGCCCGCCAATGCCACTCGGCCTCACAATCTGATCTCCTCGCCCATGTTTGGTGCATTCGTTAGACGTATGTGGGTGACATCCTCGTGGCCGTCAACCCGTACCGCATGTTGCCCCTCTATACCCCGGCCGTGCAGCGCAAGTACATGAACATGCTGCAGCGCTCAGCACAGCCACCCCATCTCTACGCCATTGCCGATGCTGCCTACAATCAGATGTCTCGCAATGCTACGCCTCAGGTGGCAGTCATCTCCGGCGAGTCGGGTGCTGGCAAGACCGAGTCCACCAAGCACTTCATTCGCCAAATCATGGAGGTCAGCAGCCGTGGCGTCGGTGCCGGTGCCGGCGACGAGGACGATGGTGGTGAACGCAAGCGTCACCCCATCGAAGCCAAGATTATGGCGTGCAACCCGGTTCTTGAAGCCTTTGGCAATGCCCAGACCGTCATGAACGACAACTCTTCACGCTTCGGCAAGTTTGTGGAGCTCAAGTTTAACAACTTGGGTCAGGTCTTTGGTGCCTCCATGTCACATTATCTCCTTGAGAAGGCCCGCGTTGTGAGCCAGGGGACCGGCGAACGCAACTTCCACATCTTTGAGCTTCTTCTTGAAGGCACCAGCAACAACCTTGGCCGCTACCACCTCGACGGCTACGACAACTTCCGCTACTTGGCCTCGCGGGACGAGGACAAGGCCCGGCTGGCCCAGGAATGGAAGGAAGTCCAGGATGCCTTCCCTGGTATCGGTTTCACCACCGACGATCTCGAGTGCGTCAACAAGATTATTGCCGCCATCCTGCTCCTCGGTCAGCTTGAATTCAAGGAGGGAGGAAATGGCGAAGACGCCGAAATTGTAGACCCCAAGCCTTTGAACCACGCCGCCGAGCTGCTCGGCGTCTCTGCCGAAAAGCTGCGTGTCGGCTTCATGACCAACAAGCTCGTCCTCGGTAGTGAAACAATCTACAAGCCCCTCAATGTCCAAAAGAGCTCCGAGTCTCGCGACGCCGTGAGCAAGGCGGTGTATGACCGCATGTTCGAGTGGCTCGTCACCAAAATCGACATGATGCTTTGCCCTGCCGAAGCCCGCCTCGAGGATACCTACACCATTGGTATCCTTGATATTTTCGGTTTTGAGGACTTTAAGAACAACGGTTTTGATCAGATCTGCATCAATCTGGCCAACGAGTCCCTTCACAAGTTCTTCAACACGCATATCTTCGCGTCTGAGCTCGAGGAGTATGCGGCCGAAGGCATCGATGGAGCATCGGTTCTCTTCACCGACAACGGCGAGATTCTCAACCTCTTTTTTGATCGCCCCGACGGCCTCTTTGCCGTGCTTGATGAGGAGACCAACTTTCCCTCTGCCACAGACAAAACGCTCATGACCAAGCTGGAGCAACAGATGGAACGTCACACCCCCTTTGAAATGAACAAGGGCGGCTACGCCTTTGCCATTCAGCACTACGCCGGTCCCATCACCTACCAAGGCACAGGTCTCCTCGATAAGAACAAGGACCCCCTGCCCAACCGCATGTCCGAAAGCATGACCGACGCCTCCAACCCCCTGGCGCAACTTCTCTTCAAGCCCGACTTTGTCAAGCGCACTCGCGGCGACGCAGCTGGTGGTGACATTGACGGTGCCAAGTCCAAAAAGGGCAAGGGCAAGGGCAAGCAGGGACCCAAAAAGGGCATCAACACCGTCAGCACGGGCTTCCGCATCTCCCTCGAGAAGCTGATGGAGCGGATGAACCGTTGCAAGCCCCACTTTGTCCGCTGCATCAAGCCCAATCTGGCCAAGGCCCCTGGTCGCTTCGGTTCGTGTCCTGACGCTCGCTTGTTTTGTTCTGCTCTCGCCCCTGCCGACTGGGATGGCCTGCTATGCACCCTGGCCAACGCACAACGCTTTGTCCTTCCTTGCTGGGTTTGCTTACACCGCTTGCATCTTTGTTTGTTGCCAATGGTTGTGTGCAGAATCGGCCATGGTCATGAAGCAGCTCAAGTACACCGGTATGCTGCAGACGATTGAGATTCGCAAAGACGGTTACCCGAACCGCCCCTCCTTCAAGCAATTCATTGACACGTATCGTGGTGCTGTTTTCGACTTTACCAAGCCGATGGACTACACGTCCGCCAACTGCACTCGTATTCTGCAAAAGGCAGAGGAAAAGCAACGCGAGGTGGCCGCTGCCAACAAGCTCACCGGCAAAACGGCGCATTTGGATAAATGGATCGTGGCCAAGACCAAAGTCTTCCTCAAGTACTGGCACCAGGATATCCTGGACAACTTTTACCGGCCCATGGACGCGGCCGCAGTGCGCATCCAGGCATGGACTCGACGCTACCTTGCGCAACTGCGCTTCTACCCCATTGTCATGGAGTATCGCAAGCGTTTGGCGGCAACAGACGACTTCTTCCGTGCCGTGCGCGTGGGTGGCGAGAACACGTTTACTGCCCAGAACAACCTTATTGACGAGGAAACACGTCGTGGCCCCGAGGATCTGGGCATCGTGCAGAAGATGACGGCCAAGGAGGAGGCCAAGGCCAAGAAGGCCATGAACAAGGAGGCCAAGGCTGCCGTCACGACGGACGCCAAGGCCAACCAGAAGAACGCCAAGAAGGCCCAGGTCGAGTTGGCCAAGCACCAGCAGGCGGCTCTCAAGTGGTGGTCCAAGTTCGAACACCGCCGCAACGTTCACCAGAACGACAAGGGCCAAATCTACCCCTGGTTCCACGGACTCATCTCGCGTGCCGATGCAGAAAATTTCTTGCGCGACGAGGATCCTGGTACTTTCCTGGTGCGCGTGTCGGAGCGTGCCAACGGTTATGGCCTCTCGTTCAAGTACAATAAACGCTCGCGCCACTACAAGATCTCGCTCTCGCCAGCCGGTGGCTACAAGGTGGTGGGCAGCTCGGAAGATTTCCCAACCCTCGCCGAATTGGTCGAGTACTTTGGCAGCAACCCGCTCTCAGCTGATGGTGACAAGCTGGGTGACCCCTTGCTTCTGGATCACGACCTCAACCTCGGCATTGGCAATTCCAATGCCGAGGGTAGCGACAAGAAGCCCAAGCAGAATTACGAAGAATTTACTCCCCGCGGCGCGCCCGCCAACAATTCTCCCCTCCTGCCCGAGGAATACCTGCGCACACCCGACAAGCCACCATCCTACATTCGTGGCAAGCTGTCTCGCGAGCAAACAGAGGATGAGTTGCGCAAGATGGGTGACGATGGCCACTTTGTGGTTCGTCTCAAGTCGCAAAAGGACAACCAGATCGTCTATGCCCTGTCCTATAGCGCAGAAGGCGTGTTTTACCACCATCTTCTGATGCGAGCCAAGGGACGTCCCTTCACCCTCAATGACCGTAAGTTTTTGCCCCCGTTCTGCTTTCATACCCCTCTTTGATACTTCTCCTCTCCTTCTCTTTATCTTTTGATCGTTTCTCCTCTCCTTCTCTTTATCATGTGGCCTGTTCACACGCCCATTGACGCTCCAAGCTTGCATCCTTGTAAAATGGAGTCACACGTGCTAGTCTCCTTCTCTTTTCTCACTCGGTCCACAATTGCCCCGCTTGCGTGCTTTTCTTTTTTTAGGCAACCTGCGGGTTGACTATCTGGAAGATGCGATTGAGAAGTTTCAGGATCGCGTCTATCCTGGTCTTGCTACGCGATTGCAGCGCTCCTTTGGAGTGGGTGGCATCAGCAAGTTTGCTCGCCCGTCGGTGCACGCCAAAGCTTACGGTGCCGCAGCTGCCGGCAAGAACAGGAATCCCAAGAACAAGAAGAAAAAGGGTGGAGCTAGCAAGCCCAAGGCCCAAAAGTTTACTCTTGATTAATGCGTGCGCTCCGTCGCCATTCCTGGTGTCGTTGAGCGCGCCAATCGGCTGGCGTTTACCCGAGTTGCGTGTTGGCCCTGATTGCTGGATGATTTCGGCCACGCCGAGGCCCATCGGGCAGGTTGGCAGTACCTATCATGCAACATGTCCTTGCTGCTGACGACCTTTGGCGTGTTGTTTCAAGCGAATGTTGTCATGTTACGCACCGCTGCTTTTACCCTTTCCGGCCTGGTTTCCATTTTTTTTTCTTCTTGACCCATCCCAGGGTCAAAATTAGTAGTCGTTTCTTTTCCTTAAATGTATGCCTGTCCTTCCTCTTTTCGCCCGTGAGCGGCCTGGCCTGTTTTAACCCGTTTGTGTCGGGGGTTTGTCTTTGTGCGGTTTTTTCTCGCTCTTTCGTTTCATTCAGGATAGACAAGGGTGACTTGCTTGTTTGCATTTGGTTTTTTTTTCTGCTTTGTTCTTCAGCGACCCCTTTTTGATTCATGATTTCAATCTGGTACTGAGCAGTGTTGCGATCACGCTCGCCCACCATAGGGCTTTGCGGTTCGTGATTGCAGCCATGTCGGCCAATGCTTGTTGAATTTTCTGTTTCACATGTCAATTTATTCCTTTTTCGTTGTTCTCTGCGCTGTCTTGTCGACATCATTCCTTTCTCTCTTTACCTGCTGGCATGTCTCGTACACGAAGCCTTGTTGTTATAAGCTGAACGACTGGCGCTCGTGGCTAATTGCAAATTTGAATGCGCGTCGTCCCCTCAGCTTTACCAGAGTCACGGCATGCGTCTTTTGGCTGTGTTGCAGGTGGGCCAGGCTAGCAGGTTGCGACTTTACCAAAGATTAACGACGTGCGGCCACGTTAGATTGTTGGGCAAAACTTGGAGAAGGGACAGCACAAAGAACATGAGAGGAACAACACGCAACAGCAAGGAACACAAATGTGTCAGCGAATCTAGGGCGCCAGATTGAGGATTTCTTCCATGGAGACCTTGGCACTCTCCGTCTCCTATTGCGACAAGGGGCGACGACGTTGGACGAGGGTGAGATGCGAGGCAGGCAGGCGCAGTTGCTGGTTTGCGAGGCCCGGGAAAGGAAGAGGTAGGAAGGCCGTACTTCTTGTAAGAGGTCTTGAGCCGTGATGGCCTTGAGAATATGCTTTTTGCTGGTCTCTTGCATCTCCCCACCGATCAGGAGCTCGTCCAGCATGTAGTAGGCTTTCTCGTAGTTAAAGATGATATCAAGCTCACACACCTGCCAAGGGGGGGGCGAGGGGCAACGTTATCGTGATTGCAGTCGAGGCTACAGGCAAGCGTGTCTCGGGATTGGAGGCAGGTGGATTGAAATTGAGGGGTCGAATCAAGGGGCCACCTACGCTGCCGAAATACTTGTCGAGAAGCTCTACGTAGCGATGAATGATTTCCAAGGTGATGAGCTCGTTGTCATCTGGAGACACGGCAAAGGCAAAGTAGAGACTGGCATAGCTGTAGTAGCAGCAAGAGGCGAGGGCGTGAGCAAGGTTCGTTGGCCCAGGCGGGCATCGGAAGGGTCAAAACGATTGGGCGCTGGCAGGTGACGGACCGTTTGTAGATGACCTTGACATTCTTCCACTCGATCAGATTACACATTTTGGGTTTGCGGGCCAGGATCATGGTGATCAGCTCGCGCGTTGATTTTTTGCGCTCTTTCTGCTCGAGCAATCAACATATGGATGAGGAACGATGTGAAGAGAACCAAGCACCAGGGCACCTCGCTCGTTGTGGATAGAGATGGGATCGCGCTGGCCTGAGTCATACCTGACGTGCGGCTTCATACCACTTTTGGAGGCGCAGCTTGCCTTGGCGGCTGAACATCAGAACAAAATGAATCTGCACATGGGTGTATGGGGGCATTGAGAAATAATCGAGAAGGGACAGCAGGGCGATTGCCATGGTTTGCCAGTGAGGCGTGTGTGTGTGTGTGTGTGTGTGTGTGTGATTGTTCGCGTCGAAGTTGGCATGACGGCTGGGGTGTGTGGCCTTCCGATAACCAGCACAGACAAGCGTCCTCTCCTCAGGAGCGTTAGACTCACCATACCAACGGTTAACCTTGAATTCAGGAGGCCAGATTGTGGTTGGTTGTGGGACACTGAAGAGGGGTGCTGAGGAGCCCGGGGAGCTGCCCCCGAGGTGAAAAAGCGGGCTGCTGCGTAAGCGACGACTGTGGAGCAAAGGAGAAGAAGAAGAGAGAGAGAGAGAGAGTAAGTGAGTGGCAAGATGACTGGCGTGTGCAAATGTGTCAGGGTAAACCGTTCCCTAGTATCATACCCAAACCAGAACAAGAAGGACAGTGGCAGCGGTCGAGTACACACCAGCCGGCCAGCGAGTCGCAGGGGCGGGAAAATCGATTTCTCGCTCTTCTCCTCTCTCTCGATTCTTTGTTGTTGTTGTTCGAGATAAGAAAGCAGAGAGAGAAAATGGTGTCAACTATTGTTGTCAACAATACAAGCCAGCTACCATTTGGTAGCACAAAGAGAGAGAGAGACAAGAGAACTGTTAATATCAGAATCACCCTCTTTTCTGAAGTATGAGATTCAGCGCCAATTTATCTCTCTCTCTCTCGTTCTTGCTCCGTCTCGTTCTCTCTCTCTCTCTCTCTCTCTCTCTCTCTCTCTCTCTCTCTCTCTCTCTTCTGTGACGATGGAGTGGCAGAGCGATGTGGCGCCTGCGGTTCAGGCGGCCAAGGAGAAGCAGGCCGTCCTTGCAGTGTTCCTGGAGGGTTGGTTCTTGGTGCTTGTGCCCCATGCGCGCGCGCGTGTTGATGACCTGCTGGCACGCAATGTTACAAGGCATCAGCTCACTTTTTGCCACTGACGCGGCGGTTCGGCAGATGACTCTCCCGCCAGCCAGGAACTGGCACAGCACTGGAGCGATCCTCATGTAAGTTGCTCTCCTCTCACACACCTTGTTCAAGACTGGATGTTGTTGTGGAGCTTGTTTTCTCTACGAGGGTGAATCCCGCCAACTCAGCTCTCACCTGTGCGTGCTTGTCGCGCTTGCCTTTCCCTGATCGGCGCTGGTGATGACAGATCGAGCAGGCAGTGAGCAGCACAGAAAAGCTTGTTTTTCTTCGACTGCGCATGGGCGAGCAGCGTGCTGCTCAATATCTGGCCATCTGTACGTACCCATAGAGCGGTTGAGGTTGTTTGCTGAGCGATCATTGCGCTCTGAGCTCAATCTGCCTGCTTGCGTGTCCATAGTTCCTGGTGCCGGGCCTGGGCCAAGCATTTCCTTCGTCTCAACGGGCGAGAGTGCGTTGGTGGCAGTGCTACCAGCACCCGTGTCCTGTGAAGCTTTGCGCAAGCATTTGTATGTCGTCACGGGCCGCGTTGTGCCTGCCAAGGCCCCGGAGGCCTCAGCTCCAGCCACCGGTGCCTCAGTCCAGGTGAGTTTGCATGCGGCGTATCTGTAGGAGTGTCAATCACAGGCGCTCAGCCAAAGCTTGAGGGTTTGGCGGATCTAGGCAGGTACGAGCATACGCTGCCCCTCAACCTGTTGCTTCGTAATAGGAGAAGCTTGCAGCTGCCCGAGCACGGCGCGTTGAAGACGAGCGGCGCCAGGCCCGTGAACAGGAGCTTGCGCGTCGTGAAGCTGGCAAGGTGGGCCACCTTTTCATGATGCGATGATGGCAGTGGCAGAGGGGATCCAGAGACATGGAAGCACACACGACTTGAGATGGCCAAGGTTTTGAAAACCTGTCTTTAATTTGACTTTATCTTATCTTAAACTATGATCCACAGGAAATGGGCAAGCTGCGTCAGGAACATGAAGAGCGTCAATTGGCAGAGGCAGCCAAGGAGCGACGTCAAGACAAGGAGCGCGAGGCCGAGCGCTTGAAGAAGGTGCGCGAACAAATAGAAGCCGACCGCGCTCGTCGCAAGGCAGAGCATGAACAATTCAAGCAACAAAAGGAAGAAGAACGGCAGCAGCGTGTGGCCGAACGCCAAGCACAGGCCGACTTGCGACGCCGTAATGTGGCGGATGAAGCACGCGTGGCCATCCGATTGCCCGATGGGGCCACTCACAAGGTTTGAACGACGCATCGGCCCGTGTGGAAAAGCCAGCCTTTTTTTTTCCTGTTGCCGCTGTTCTTGTTGCGAAACGGGCTGAACTGACTGCTCGTGTCATGCCCTGGGTAGCTATCCTTGTCCAAGGACGCAAGATTGCAGGATTTGCACCAGCGAGTGGCTGCAGAGTATTTGCCCGATACGGCCTTTTATTTTCTGCAAACATATCCGACGCGCAACTTTACTCTTGCACAAGATGGCGCTAAAAGCCTGGCGGACCTGGAGCTGATGCGCGCGCAGCTCATCGTCAAACTGGAGCGTGGACAGAATGGAGCCGCTGCCAGCAGTGCCGGCAGCGGTGCAGGTGTTCATCGCCAGCCCAACGTTTGCGAGGTGATTGTGGCAGCCATCCGCGCATTCTTTGCCCCGCCCACGCCAGCGGCCCCCGGGGCAGTGTCAACGTCAGCATCTCGCCCACGGGCACAGCACCCACCTTCAGGTGTGTACATGGTTCTGCTTGGGTGGTCGGACTACGGACCCTTCATTAACGGGGGTGTTGCGTGTGATCCTTGATTCTAACTTTGCAGATGAACGGCGCGATACATTCAATGGCAACAGCACCATGCTGGACTCGAACCCGCAGTAGAGTGGTGCACGCCTGTGCCAGATATTGCTAGACGGTAAACATTTGTGGCGTGTTTTGAATCATGGTGAGATGGACAATTGGGTCATCTATTGTTCAGTTGAAACAAATTCATGTATACAGAGAAAGTGCCGTACAACGGCTTAGGGCCAGACACTACGCGGGTTCTATGAACCCGCTCGGATATGGGCACAGTCATGGCCAGCAGGGCAACGAGGGGCCCTTGCTCGATCGAGTAAAACTGCAGCAACGCGCACAGCGCAGTGCATGACGTCTTTGCTTTAGACGGCAGTGTTCTTGCGGTGATGGAAAAAGCCGCCGCAGCCGATGCACATGGCCAAGAATGATAGCACGGCACCAGCAATGATGAGGTAGAAGCCTGTTTCCAGCTCGGCTTCATCGTTGGGCGCGGCAAAGTACTGGTCGGTCACATCCTCGGGGTTCTCGTCATAGTCGGCAAAGAGGATGGCGAGGGAGATGTCGGCCAGCAGCAGGCCAACAAAGTTGAGCATGTTGGAGGTTGAACCGCAGCCCGGCACGCAGCACAAATATGTAATGCTGGAGATCTAAGCGGCAGGCGTGTTCACGGGTCAGAACAACAACAGCAACGGCAAGAGAGGAGGCAGGAACCAGCTGGAGGCGGCTTACATACCACGCCAAAAAGTGAGGCCACGACAAGGCCACTGATGGCGGCAATGCGCAGACCTTCAGCTTGGTTGATGTCACCATCATTAAAGGGGAAGTCTTGATACTGCAAAAGTGGCCAAGACCCAGAACGAAGTGGAAAACGTGGTATGAGCGATACACGCTCACGGCACAGTGCGACTGGCGGCATTCATGACCACATGTTTGCTGTTGAACGTACCTCGCAGTTATTGCTGCCATCGCAAATCTCAAAGAGACTGGCTTCAAAGCGCACGTTGTCATGGTTGTTGTTGTCCACAATCTCGAACCTATGGAATTACAGGGAGAGGCGGGTGAATCAGCGACCGAAACAAAGTCGGGGGCGGATGGGCCACAGCTCTCTTCAGTCATATCGGTGACTCTGGGACAGATGATTCGTCCGATGACATACCATGGAACGTGGGGCACCAGTGTGACCACGGCCAGTACAGCCGAGGTGAACACCAAGAGGGAGGCGATCCTAGGACACAAGACAGGAGTTGAGCCAGAGGGCTTGATCTTTGAAGTGTGGTTTCAGGGAACCGGCGACGTACGGGTGAAAGCACAGCATGTTGGCGGTGGACGGTCTCGCTGGGTTGTCGGAGAGGGAGGGAGGGAGGGAGGGAGAGGTAGAGGACCCGGGGTTGCAAAAGGGGTGGGCTGGAGGTTGGCCAGATGGAAAATGCATCGGGGACGAGCCAGCGGGCGCATCGTGTTGGAACCGGGGCGTGCGCACAGGCAATGTCCATGGGGAAGAAGGCAGCGTCACTTACAACACACAGCTCGTCGGTGTCGGCCAGCTGTAGCTTCAAAGGCTGTCCGCTGCAGTAGGGCCTGATGAGGCGGTGCACCGTCTGATGCGGTGGCAAGAGTCGGCACGATTCATAGCTGCTCACTCCTCGAACCATTGTTGGACATGGGCACCATCGGTAACAGATGGGAGCCGTCGGACATTCGCAGGCAGAGATTGACCACGCATGAGCTGGGCATGCACATCTCCGCCCTCCATCCAGATGAACGGGCGCGATCCACGGCACTGTCATGGCTGGCATCGGCAAACCACATCAGCACCAGTCGTACCCTCTCGATGAGACAGAGAGCATGTGCGTCTGCGCGCGCGCGCCGGATGATGATGATGGCCCCCTTCCCTTCCATAGGATGTGCAGTCACCGGCAAGCGACAGAAAATATCTGACATGCTGACAATGGACAATGGACCGGTGTGCGTGTGTAAGCATGCATAATGTGTGTGTGTGTGTGTGTGTGTGTGTGTGTGTGTGTGTGTGGGGATGTGAGCAGCAAGAGGTGATGGGACCGAACGCGTGTGTGGGCCGATGCCTTGCAGACCTTATTGGTCGGTATTACTACATGTAACTTCAAAGTTGGTTCACATTTCAGAACTTCAGCCTCGGGCTGTCGCGCTGCTCTCAGGGTCATGCTTGGAATGCATCATCATCATTATCACCATCACTTTGTGTGCATCGGAGCCGATCAGCCTGTTGTCAGACAAAATACTAGATACGTAACTCGCTTAACTCAACTACATGTAAGAAAAGGTGTGTGTGACGTGGCTTTGGCTGAATGCCAGAACCTTCAAGAAGGCTCCCGTTGCCCAACGTCGTCAGCTACATGTGCCAGCTCTGTTTGAACAACCGTTGTCCCCTTCAAACGGTTGACTGCAAGCAAAAGCAAAGCTAACAATGAGCTAATCAGCTTGATAAGCTTGATAAGCTTGATAAGCTTGGGCCTTGTTTGGCACAAGCCCCAATCAGTAAGGCTGAGGTTGGCGAGTAGCAAGCTGAAAGCGGAAGCAAACGGTTTTCGTGGGTTACCGATCGCATCATTTCTTCTCATATCAAAACAAAAAATCCAAAGCCAACATAAGCTTACTGCTTCCAATTTTAGTGAGAAAGCTCCCCCTCCTCCTCAACGCTATCTGTGTGTAACCTTAACATTACACCCAACGCTGACACTGGCCCTTGTTCACCCGCGCCACTGACACCCTCCCCCCCTTCTCCAGTATTAGTAGTTTGCGGTTCCCGGTCGGTGGCATTTTCTTACCACTTCTGGTTCGGCGAACTTCTTTCATCGTTTGCGACATTACATCTTCTATTGGCAGTACACTGAGTGCTGTTTCCTTTTAGTGGCATTTGATATTTGAACCGCTGCCATGCAAATCTTCGTCAAGACCCTGACGGGCAAGACCATTACCCTTGAGGTTGAGCCTTCGGACTCGATTGAGAACGTCAAGGCCAAGATCCAGGACAAGGAGGGCATTCCCCCGGATCAACAGCGCCTGATCTTTGCCGGCAAGCAGCTCGAGGATGGCCGCACTCTGAGCGACTACAACATCCAGAAGGAGTCGACTCTCCACCTGGTGCTTCGCCTGCGTGGTGGTATGCAGATCTTCGTCAAGACCCTGTCGGGCAAGACCATTACCCTTGAGGTTGAGCCTTCGGACTCGATTGAGAACGTCAAGGCCAAGATTCAGGACAAGGAGGGCATTCCCCCGGATCAACAGCGCCTGATCTTTGCCGGCAAGCAGCTCGAGGATGGCCGCACTCTGAGCGACTACAACATCCAGAAGGAGTCGACTCTCCACCTGGTGCTTCGTCTGCGTGGTGGCTTTTAAGTGTGCGCTGTTTGTATCTGTTGTGCTTAATTAAGCAGCACTGTGCCTGCTTGCTTACCATCAAATTGAATGCTTGCTAATTTTCAGCTATCATCCATCTGTTTTATCCCCAGTCTTCTCTTCTCCACCTCACGTCCACAAGTGACCAATGCAGAGCGAAAGTAACGCGACCTGTGCACATCACGTCACAGCTTCATTGAACATCCGAGACATAAAAACACAACGTCCGTTTTCAGAAGAAAACCTTTGAAATAATTTTTTTGTTGTTTGACTTGAACACCTTCTTCGCTTCCTCCAGCTCTCAAGGTTTCAAGCTTGTTGTGGACCATCCACCAGGAGGGAGCAAGGAACCAGTTGGGGAAGCGGTTGAAATGGCAACGAGCAACAGCTTTCGGGCTTTGGAAGGCCATGAGCGTTTGCTCACGGGTCGGGTGCTCAAAGGTTCGACGGCGTAGAGATTAGGCTGCCAATTCCCTGCTGCGTTCACTGGCTGATCGTGAGAGGGGTCGGCATGCTCATCTGAAGCACCGCGCGTTTGTTGCCGCCATCGCGCCACACAGATAGCTCTGCTGCTTTTCGAGCGCTCTTGAACCACCAACATGCTCTGAAGGAGCAAGAGAAGCTTTTTGTGAAAAATCACGAGGTTTGATGGCCACTGCACGGCCTCGGAAATATGATGGAGCGACCATTCAAGACTCATATCCGTTTGATGTGTCGGCTCGGGTCGATGCAATTTGCCTGCATGTTTACAGCGACCCGTGGCCACCTGCTCCACCCATGCTGCCCAAATTGTTGAGGCCGTGCAGAAGGTGGCCGACGTGGGCCCAGCCCTGCAAAAATGTAGCCCAGCTCTTGAAGATCTTGACACGCGAGGTATGTCCAGCCATCTCGGGCTGGCCAGCAATGCCTTGGTGAAAACTTGGAAAGACGCACATGGGGAAACGCCTGCATTCGCACGAGTGCACATCAGAGATGCGTGTTGCACATACAGGGGGCGGGAGATGGGCTTTTCATCGTGCCTCGCTTGTGCGTCGCCTTCTCATGTCTGTGTGCGCGCTTCACACGTGCGGCAGTGGGCGAGCTTGACACATACTGCAGCGACATCACAACCAAAGCCTTGAATGCCAGGGTGCGTTGCTCTCTTCTCTTCCTGGCACCCGGGGCAACGTTACCTCCAACGTTCAATGGCCGGCTCACCCAAGCCTCATCTCTATATGATTGTGTGCTGTTTGATGCTCCACTTGTATCGTGCCTCGGGCAGGCGGCCCGGTTGGAAGCAGCGCGTGAGCGCGATGCGGGGTTTCTCAACACAAGCAAAGAGCTACAATCTCTGCAAGCGAAGATCCTGAGTACCGTCGAGGATTTGCTAGAGCAGGAGCTTGAAGCATACGGCACTCAGCTCCGACAAGCAGCCACGACCCTTCAGCCACCCGCAGCCGTTGATGCATCCACGCAATAGAGCCTGGGTCTTTGATATGTCCACAGAATTGTCCCCTCACTCAGCCTAACGTGAATAAGGGTGACTCCTCTCCAAGGGCCTCAGCCTCTTTGAGTTAATCACAGTCAACCCTCTTTTTCCTTTGTGTTAGTCATAGCATCCTTGGGCAGCGCCCACCCCGTTTCCATCATTCCCCATTGTGCCTGTCTCGGCTTTAGCAGATGACGTCCCTCCTTGGGAGTCTCGAGGCTCTCTCCCTGATATACATGTTTCGGCAAACAACATGCAGTTTGCTTCAATGCTTTGTTGAGAAATGTTAATCCTCTCTGTCAATGGCCGGTCTCCATGCTGAATTGATTTCCTTGTCGTTGACGTGCAACACCGGGTGAGCCGAGAACATGCATGAACAACAGCTCAGCCACAACAGGTCAAGGAAGAGGAAAGAAGGGCAAACTAAGCACCCAACAAAAAAGACAGCACAGCGAGGTTCCTTTGAAAGAAAAGAAAAAAAAAAGAAAAAAAGCATCTCAGGAGAAAACCCAGCTGATCCACGCGAGCAATATCAGCGGCAAGGGAGCTGCAAAGAGTTGATCCCATCCGCGTCACAAGGAAACTTCCCAGTCGAACTTCCCGTCCGTTCTTCAGAGCCCACTTTGCGCCTCAACGCAAAGCCTTGGCTCCGTTCTTTCACGAAATCGCAGAGGAGCGAAGAGCAAAAGATACTGAAATGGACGGGGCAAGTTCGACAATGGGTGTGTTTGGTGCTCGGGGCTGATTTTTACAGAGCTGGGCGGCCAAACATCAACAGCCACCGCATGTCCATTGTCTGCACAACGCGCCTAACAGTAGCCAAATCAGTCTGGCCAAGCCTCGGTCTCCAACATGCCCACGACGAGCCCAGGAGGGGGCAAACGCATGGAGAGGGCGAGAAGGAGAACCAATGGACCGAATCCGTCAAAGATCAGTCCCATGGTGGTACCTCCTGTCCTCTTAATGCTCATCGGGGCATGCTGCTCAAACATTCTTGGTGGATGGTACCCATCGACCTGTACTCTCTACCCATTGGGCCAAGAGAAAGGGGACAAGTGCTCCACACGAGAACGTCTAACAGCAGTGAGCCGAGGCTTTAGCGACCTCACCCGCCTCCCATGGGGGGAGCACCGGGTGCATTGTTGCGGCGGAAGCCGTGAATGCGGTTGTTGGGCCGTCCTCTGCCACCACCACCGCCGCCGCCATTGGAACTATCATCCCCGGGTCGGCGACGATAGTCATCCTCATGACCAGCGCCGCGCGTCTTGTTTGGCTAAAAACCACAAAAAAGAGGAAAATGAAGGGGACCGCACTCGTGAGAGGCGTCAACACCCCAAAGCAAGAACCAAACGATACGCCGCGATAGCATCTTGGGAAGAACTTACAAAGAACAGCGTTTGACTGCCGAAAACGACAAGCCGGGCAGAAATGAATCGCGTCACCCCGTCAAGGTGGTGTGCCCAATGCAGGCAAAAAGGGGTGCGGTGGCAAAAGGGAGGTCGTTTGCCCAACCAAGGCACAAGGTAGGTCATGAGCAGGATGGAGCAGACTGGGGCTATAATCGGGGCGAAGAGGGAGCATGGGCACGTACAAGAACAGGTAAAAAAAGTTGATGATGCCCCAGAAAACCTCGCTGAAGATGCTCAGGCGAAAGATGCTGCGCTCGCCTTGATGGACGACGCCATTTTGAATGTACGGCATCTTGCAGTTTTCCGTCGACAAGCGTCAACCGCCGACCGGCGAGGGGCGGATGCGTGTTCCCCCTCGCCCCCCCCCTCGCAAAAATGAGACAGGTGTCAAGAATACCAAAGGGAACTTGTCGCTGCACCGCGATCCCAGTGGATCAAACTGCCCGATAGGGGCCCTGAAGCCATCAAAACCCGCCAGACCCCGCGGCCAAATGGCTGCCAAATGCCGGGATTCAGTGCGAAACAGCAAAGAGTCACAGTGACGTGGCGTTGGGCATTCCTGACAGGGGACCGATTTGTCTGACAACGAATGTCATGGTTTTTCAGGTCCTTCGGGGGGTGAGGGGGTTGTTGTTGTTGTGCTTGGACCATCGGAAGGGTTGTCGTGGGTGATGATGGCTCAACGAGTGGGTGTGCAGCGGCTGGCTCGTGGGGAAGGTGTTCGCATGAAAGCTGATGGCGCAGCGTCTAGTCTGATCAATCTCATGCACCTTGGGATTTTAAATTTCTCCAACACGAGTGACAGGCACAAAGATGTACAATAAGTGAATGGAGAGCGCACCAGTGGCCTCGGGCCATGTCGCGTGTTTTGCCGCTCAGGCAGACACAGTCATCCAAATCTTGCCATGGAGCAGCATAACTGCCGCAACACGCGTCAGGCTGGTTGGTAGCCCAGAAGATCCACGGGTATGAGCCGACCAGCGGCCTCGTCGATCGAAGCGGGGGCGTTGCACGAAGCAGACTAAGCCGCTCGGGTCACTACTCTGCTTTGAGTTGCGGCTGTCGTCGGCGAGCGGTCTTTAAGATGTAGCGTCGCGCATACACTTGGAAGATGAGCACACACCAGACTACGCTGAGCAAATAGAGAAAGAGCCCACCCAGCTTCATAACAAGGTGTGCGTCAATGCCCGTGATAAAATAATGGTAGGCCATGACGCTACCCCACCCAATTCTGAGGTTATTTTAAGACAAGCGGCATGTCCACGAATCGCACATGAGGAGACTTAGAGCAAGCAAGCGCGCAACAGGCTGAAGCTCAAGGGACCCGGTGCGCCCAGTTCATGCACGTACCGCACAAAGGCAAAAGTCAAAGCAAAAACTGTGTCATTGAGACAAGCAAAAGGAGTGTCGTAGGCTTTGAGATGCCGCAGGAACCAGCGCACGGAAAGAAATGGATTGGTGATCTCAGCCCCAGCCAGCACGGCCACGGCCTCGTAGCCAGACTTGCCCAAAAGCAAGCTTGCCACCAAGCCCGCCTGTAACAGCCAAATCAGGTCAGAATAGCAGGCAGTCATCACTCAGGGCATCAGCCGCAAAAGAACAGAAAAGTGAAGTGCGCGCTTGCCGAGACACTGACCGCTGAAGACACGTGATGGCCCAGCATCGTATAGTCCTTGCCCATATACACCAAGCACCACACGAGGTCAAAGAGGCTAAGGGAGGAGGAGGAGGAGGAGGAGCAGGAGGATGTCACAGCACGTTGGCGCCATGAGCCGTTGGGAGGCGGGTATACCAAGTCAAGCCGGGAGGGAGGGGCGTGTGTGCAACGAGTGAGCATCAGATGCAGGCACCTACAAATAGCCGGCAGAAATGACCATGGTCAAGTTCTGCAAGGGCGTATTGGCCTCATTCAGGCGAGCTGCCGACAAAGGATGGCGCTCATCCACCACAAAGATACATCTACCGGCCAGCAACTGTCTCGCCAAGAAAAAAAAAACCAAAAAAAAAAAAGCAAACCAACACAAGGTGTCGTCGGCACGATTGGCTAGTCAGATCAATAGTGCCCATCGCATACGCCGCTGGCCAACCAGAAGCATGCCCTCACCAAGATCACAGCACAGTGTAGGTTGGAATGGATGCGAATGACCCAGTCTGGGCATTCCTTGGGCATGAGCAAGCAGAGGCATCCGTAGAGGGCAGCCCAGAAGGTCGTCCAGATGCCAAGGTCCACGAGATTGGGCTCTTCAATCCCTTGCAGGGGCTGCAGTTCCCAAAAGCCTTTGGCCCAGTCGAAAAGGGCAGAGGGCGACGCCTCTGCAATCATAGTGGCCATGTTTGATCGGTGCAGCCGACTTGGCTGTAGCCTCCTCGGTCAGCAATGTGGACCAATGAACAGGCAGCTAGGTGGGCTCGGAACCGCCCCGCGCCCGCTGCCGATCGTTACCAGGGGCTCGTGTCCCTTGCCTATCCAGCCCGCTTTCGTTCTGACAACTCTGAAAATTGATTTTTCAGACTCTCTCAATCAAAGCCGACCACCTGCTGATCAAAGCAGCCAAGCAGACCAACCCACAGCACGCAAGCGGCACCGAGCAAAGAAACCTTGAGGTGTATCTGCAGAATAACACGGGACACCATGGGAGACACCCTCCCCCGGAGGAAGAAGGGGCGGGAGCGATGCTGATCTGGGCCCTTTTGGCACGAGGGTGAGGAAGGCAAGTGCGCGCACACACACACGCGAACACAGTCGTACCAACTCATGTGTCAGACAAAAGCCATACAGCGAAATGTCAGATGATATGAAATTAGGCAGGCCGACTTTGGTTCTTGGATATCAACCTGGTAGCAACTAGTGACCGTTACAGTTTTGTCGCTGGAAACCACAGAGCTTGCTTTGTGCGGGTGGCGGGGCGTCTTGGTGGTGGTGGTCGCGGGCAAGTGCGCATCAGCAGCCGCACGTAAGGGGAAGGAGGGACATCTTCAAGTTCAGAGCTGAGTGTGTTGGTTTACCGCCAACAACACCACCGCCATGGGGCTCATGGATGATGTGCGCCAGGCCTTTGGGGCAAGCTCGCTCTACGAGGTCTTTGAGCTCACCAAAACCTGCACCAGCAACCAGATCAAGAAAGCCTACTTCAAGCAGGCGCGCAAATGGCATCCCGACAAGGCCGATGCTTCTCAACGCGAGACAGCCACCACTCACTTCCAAATTCTTAGTCGGGTTCATGCCGTTTTGAGTGATGAGGAGAAGCGAAAGGTCAGACCCGCTTCTCGCACCTGGCAGGCACACCTCGTTTGCTCTTCACCGACGAAACACCAAACTCACGACTGAACAAGCTCATCTGCACCCTGGCCATCATCTTTTGGGTGCTGCATGCCTGATATGACGTAGCTATACGATGAGACTGGAGCCATTGATGATGGCCAACTTGACTTTGGCGACGACTTTGACTGGTAAGGCCCTTATGGTGCGTTGCCCAAGCTTCTGTCACCACTCACCGCCATACGCCATGACGCACAACCGTCCTTTAGGGAGGCTTATTGGCGTCAGCTCTATCCCAAGGTATGTTGAGCGCCCACACAGCACCGGCTCCATGACTTTCTCACGTCTGCCCTCCAGCCATCGCGAGCCCCTCACCCAATCCACGTCCCGCATCCCTTGACGAACAGATCACGCGTGAGAGCCTCGACAACTTTGCATCAAAGTATCGTCATTCCAAAGAGGAGGCCAGTGATCTCAAAAAGGCCTACCTGCAATGTCAAGGGGACATTGGATGCATCTTCGAGCATGTTCCCCTCAGCTCCGTGATTGAGGATGAGGAGCGCTTCACTGCGACCATCAATCAATGGATCAAAGCCGGGGAGGTTGAGGCCTTCCCCACCTTTGTCAACGAGCCCGCCAAGAAGCGTGCCAAGCGCTTGCGCAAGGCCGAGCGCGAGGCTCGCGAGGCCGAGGTCGCCCGCGAGACGCTGCACGACGACACCGCTGATGCAGAAGAACCTGTGGCATCGCCCCGACGCGCGGGCAGCAGCAGTGGTGCTCGCCGACGCAGACATGTTGGTGGTGGCACTGATCTGGCAGCTCTGGTTCAGAAACGCCAGGCCCAACGTAGCGGCAGCTTTAATGCATTTGCAGCCAAGTATGGCGTTGATCTTGGCAGCGTTGATGAGCCACCAGAGGAGGCCTTTCAGGCCACCCAGCGGCGCTTCGATGATGCCAAAAATGCCAAAGACACGGCCAAGCGCCAGTCCAAGAGCACCAAATCTCAAAGTAAAAGCAAGAAAGCTAAAGGCCGTGCTTGAAGCCTGCACGACTTGTTCACCCGCTGGCCTGGGTTCAAAGTTCGCCCGGCCTTCCTTCACGCCCAACAAGAGTTTCGTCAAACATGTGCTTGCCCGCCGTCCTTGCCTTGGCTCTGATTTTACTAGCCTTTTCCTTTCTTCCGCCAAGCCCCATTTTTGCGCAGAAAGTGTACTTTGACACTGTTCACCTTTTGCCGAGGCGACTGTTGCACGCCAGTCTCGTGCGCGGAGGCTCGAACACCCTAACTGAATGGCAATCAATCTACCTTGCATAAAGTCATTGTGTACCTTTCGTTCAAACTTAAACCCGTCCCGCTTGGTCAGTCAAGGGTCGGCAAATGAAAGGAGGGTATGCTCGGGTATGTTCGGGTACGCAAACGGGGCCCTCCTTTTGACGTGCACACATGCTGTGTTGCTGTGTGTTCACCAAGGTCACACGGTACCGATGCATCGGAGATCTATGTACGATTCTTTAAAACAAATCTTTACAAAAGACGCCGGCAATGCTCAACGCCAAACCCAAGAAGACAAGTGGGCACAGGTGTCAAAATGTCAAATCGTCACACCCCAAAACTAGAAAGTACGACTCGGATGTGGATACAAAAAACAAAACAAGAAAACCATCAAACTCCTCATCAAAGTGCACGACATGGGAGCCAACAAAGCCGCACATTGAATCGAACCGACGGCAATGCATGACAAAGAGGTCGGTGAAGCAAAGCGCTTTGGCCAGGAACGAGCAAGAACAAGAGCCTTGCTTGACAAGTCACTCAAAATTCAGAAAAAGAACATGGGCTTGCGCCTATCGGCTGCCAATAAAAGAGCCAAACGTTTAGTCTTCCATCCACTCTGGGTGCTGCATCATCTCCTCCACAAGACTGGACTGGTACGGCGAGTCCATGACAATGGCGTCCAAGCTAGGCTCCGACTCACGCAAGAGCGTGGGCCCAAAAACGATGCCCAGATTGTTGTACTGCATCTTGTTCAGGCTGCTGTGCTGAGCCACGCGTTGCAAGTGCCGGAATAGATAAGCCAGCGTTTTGCGGTGGCTGCGCGGCAGCTCTTGACACAGGGCCTGAATTTGGCTAGATCGTTCCTCACCCGAGGTGTCTGCACATGAGGGGTCATCAATACGAGGTGGCAACAAAATTAAAACCATGAGAAGAAGCAAGGGAATGCAGTCAAGCAATCGAATAGACGCGCCGTCCAAAACGTCCAGGCTCCAAAACGAACAACAGAAAAAGAAAAAGAAACAAGTGTCCGTGTGCCACAAGGCAGAAGAAATACGATTCAGGAAAGCAGATGAATACGTGTTACTATGCTTTCGACACCACGCAACTTACGCCCAGCTTTGATGAATGAGGGGTAGAGATGGTCAGTGAAAGCAGGCTCGCTGATTTCACGAAAATAAAGCTTGAGTAAGCCCGTGGCCACGTGAACGTCGTTCAAGTCCTCAACCATCGCCAGTGTAACATCTGTGGCAGTGGCGGGTGGTAAGCTCTTGTGGGAAACAGGTTCAAATAAAAGTTGCGATGGCTGCCTCCGGCAGTGATAGGGAACCCAGGTCGATCGGCACGACACACCCTTATTGGCTTGCGCCACCATGGCTTGCACGTCTGAGGAGTGTCCGGAAACGCGATAAATGCCTTGTTCGGTGAGTGAGCGGTCGATGCGAGTGATGCACTGCAAAAGCACAAAACACAAGTTTGAGCACTTGACAAGATGAGCTGGTTACGCGCACAGGCACTCGGCGCTTGATGCGGCCCACGACAAACCTTGACAACAATTTCCGGAATGCCAGGCAATGATGCGATGTCATGTTCGTGCTCAACTGTTGCTGCCAGGCTTCCACCAAACACAGGCTCTGTCGATTCGGGCGCGTGCATCCATCAAACAAGGATGTGAGCCTTGAGTATCCTTCTGCCGCAACTCAGCTCCAGCACCCTTGCCGTGCCCGGCTTTCTGGGACATTATATGCACCCACCTTGCAAGATGCCGCGCTCCATGAGATCTTGCTTGCGCGCACGATTGCCCAACCAACGATTTAGACGCGACTTAACAGTTTCCTACATCGTGCCAACGGTGTGAGCGCAACGCAAGCGCAACACAAGCACAGACCAAGCCCCTGCCTCGTGTATAGTTCAGCCATAATGTGTCACGTGCTACCTTGGGGCTGGCGGCGGCGCGCCGTGCCGCCAAGCTCTTGTCAGCCGGCAGAAGCGCTACTAGCCAATCCTCGAGGTCTGCTAAAGGTGCTTGCAGCAACATGCTGTTTGCATCCAATTTCCCCAGGAATCAGGGTCAAATGATCAGTTGGCAGGCGATGGGAGCTATGTCACTCGGGAATTGAAAAAAAAAAAAAAAAAAAAAAAAAAAAAAAAAAAAAAAAAAAAAAAAAAAAAAAAAGAGGATACTAACCGATCGCGATCGTTGCCAAAGGAGATGACTTCGCCACGCCGCGCGTGGTCTTCGAGTCGCACCTGAGACGTGGAACATACATTCAACGAGGCACAAGTTGTGATCATTTCCATTTCATGCCACAAGCAAGCAAATCCGAGATGGCCTGGACTTGGAAGGGTACTGTGCTTACCTCAGCAGTATCCAAAGCAAAGCGCAGTGCCGGCGAACGCCCACGATCCAAGTCCTTTTTCGAATAGTAAAACACGAGATGGTTTTGATTGATACCCGCGTAATACTTGGTCCATCGCCGTGCTTTGCTAGGAATACCATTCTGATTCATGTAAATGCGAGGAATTCCCCAGAACCCAAGAGAAGGTGAATTGTACTCGGACACCAATGTCTCAGCTTTCTGGACAAGGGAAGGAGGAGGCGGGGCAAAACAGGACGAACCTCACGAATGGGTTTGCGCTCCAGAAAGCCAAATTGGTGCACGTGATCGGACATGTTGAGCTATACATACACAAACATGAACACAAAGCAATCGATAGCTAGGTCAGAAGGAACAGCGTGACAAATGTTTTAGGGGTCAACTGTGAAGGAGACAGGCACTTTGTTCTGCACCCACCGGGTCTGTCGCATCGTTGTTTGCGTCAGCGCCATCAGAACCCTCCCCTGGCCCGGGGCTTGCCGGGTCATCCTCGTCCGTGACCACGTTATCCGAGCGAAGAGTTGCGGACAAGCGGCTCTCGCCGGTTCGCGATGCAGTCGCCCGGCGCGGCGAAAGCGGCGAGTTGCCAGCACTGGATCTACAATGTCCGCAAGTTGCGGTAATGTTTGGGTGTGTGAGTGGGCGCGTGGGTGGAGGTGTCGAAGGAAGAGGCATCACAAACCGATGTTAAACGTACGGGCTATTGTGGTTCGGGAGAGCGGCGGGGGTTCCGGGAAAATTGCCCGATTTGCTACGAGCGTGACGCTGGACGCCTGGTGGAGGGGCGGGGGCGGGTCGATGCGGCCTACCCATCACCGGTGAACCATCCTCTGCCGGTGGCGGTGGCGGTGGTGCCTCGTATACAACGCTCTGCGACAGGCGCTGAGCACGGCAAATGCCAGGTCAGTTGAGGTCAGGCGGCAGGTGTAAACAAGCAAAGTCAAGGCAGCACAGGAGAAAAACAGGCGCAGGGAAAAGAGGACGTACGGGCGGTGGGGGTCCCGCAGGACCAGCCAGACTGAGCTTTGCTTCGAGTTGACTCATAAAGCCAGCTTCGGCTGTTGATTTTGGGCGGGGCTTGGGGCGTGGCGCCACACGCTTGGTGGGAGACTTGGCATCCATGTCTGCTCCCGCTGCAGCTGAGGCTGGTCCCGGCGATGAAGGCAAAGAGGGAATCGGTGGGGTCGTCACCGTGGGAGAAGATACCAGAGACTGCGAAGGCAGGGGGGGCAAGGACGACTTGCGGGCCTGCACTGGCGGTGGAGCCGGACGGCTGCGCGGCACGGGGGCCGTCTTGCCCGGCGACAAGGTAATAGGTCGAGGCTGGTGCTGGGATTCTGCGTCAGCTGAATCGGTGCTATCTTGGTGCATCAACAACACGCTCTTGCGCGCCGGGGGTGGCGGGCCAGGGCGGGGGGCGCTACCACGGGATTCGGCTATGTCTTGCATGGAGCGTCGTTTGTTCATGCTCGACGGCTGGCTTTGGCCTTGGCTAAGGCGGGCAGCCAGGTCTTCAGCAGCAGCGTCCGCCTCTGCGTTGGACAGGCCTGTCTCCCCGATGGCGTGTGGGTCGTCCTTCGCTTCGAGTGCCCGATCATCGTTGGTGTCATTGGTATTGGCATCGTCTTCATCGCCGATAGCGTCTTCGTCAGCCGCGGCGGGCTCGGGTGAGTAAACGGGCTCCTCCTCAGCAGCGTCCTCATCTTCGCCGTCGGTGCTTTGGTCGTGAGCAGTGGCAGCTGGTGCGGGCTCAGGACCTGAATGAAGCGCTGCAGCGGGATCGCTCGCGACAGGACCCATGTTGTCATACATGGATTCCCCTGGCTCTTCATTCTCAGTATCGCTGTCGGCGTCGGCACCAGCACTTTCGTTATGCTCAACCACGGGTTCTAGCTCCGACTCGGCAGGAGGTTGGTGGGGCACAACGTCTTCACTGTTGATGGATTCGGCAGCAGTGGAACCCTCGGGTGTCGGCTCGAGAGTGCGCATGGCGGCATCTTCATCCTCCGTGGCAAGTGGTGCCTCTTCTTCATCTGTATCGGGCGCGTCCTCTGCGGTATCAGTTTGCAGGACAGGTTGCGTCGGTTCTTCCTCCATACTCAAAGACAGGACCTTGGTGGGAGCTGTCGGCGTTGAGCGGCACGGGGGCGGGAGAGCACAGGCCGATGAGGTTTGGGGCAGGCTTCGTTGCGCCTTATAGCAGCGCGCATGGTCTCCAAAGGGCAGACAATTGCAGACCGTCATTGCAGGTTCAGGTGGTCAAAGCAGGTTTTCGTACCAGCAGGAGGAGCGACGGAGGGCGGGGCAGGGGTGCTGGGGATGGGGGCTGTCCAGGCTGGCGACACAAAGCCGTGCAGATTGGAGGATGTTGTAACTTCAAGCCAGCCATTGGCATGTCGACACAAGACAGTCAATATTTCTTGCTTGACCAGAGGAGGCGTATTGCTGTCAAATGCGATTGATCAGTCACAAAGCAGAGTGAATCATGTTCAGTTCATGAAATGCGCTGCAAAGGAGGGGCGGCAAGACTAAGGTCTGGCTGGGCATCGTACGTGCTTGGATCACCGGCAAAGTCGTAGAGACAGACGACCTGATCGGCCTTGGGCGTCGCCATGATGCTGATTCTTCAAGCCTGGCCCAGAACAGGGGGGCCGAGCGAGCGGCGCCGAGCGTTTCTCCTTTTGGGTGGCGTGCGTCTGCGGCCTTGCTGCTTCCAAAGGCTTGACGTCCCAAGCCAAACGGCGTGGGGCAGCACAGGGAGCACCGCAGCAAGGGGGGGTGCCTAGATTGGGATCATTGCCTGGCTCATCACCTATGCAGTCGAACTATGGGTCACCGAGAGCAACAACGATGCGTCAGCCAGCAATCGCTGGTCGGTGTAAATTAAGGCCTCAGAGCTCGTGAAGAAAGATACGACGGTGTGCATGCGTCTGTATTTGTGTTCGTGTCAAAGGCGGGATTGAACAGGTGGGAGCGGGGGGGAAGCAGGGTGCGCTTTCTAAACGGCCAGTCGTGTGGCAAATCGGACCGAGGCCCTGCTGAACTGGAACCGGAAGAAGATAATCGGGCGCCCAAGATGCAGGAAGAGCGGGGCGAGACAACGGTCACGGGGCCATGAAGGGTAGATATGTTTGTGTGGGTGGATCAGAACTTGAGTGCTGTGCCCTGGCATTGCGCGTAACTTGGAGATCGAGACGACCAACAAGCAGTGTCGAGCATGTCTCGGGCCGCTCGCGCACCACACACAAGTGTGTCCACTGCGGCAGGGCTGTCACGCCACTCAGCAACACCCTGCACGCTCCTTGGCTACCCAGGGCCCCCTGGCCGAGCCAGCACGCCCTCCCCGAACACAAGCGCATACACCCGGCCATCCAGTCACCCCGGCCAGACCTAATAACCCGACACCACCGCACGTACCACGCTCCAGTGACCCCCGCTCGTCGTCGTCGCCGTCGTTGTTGTTGTTGTTGTTGTGTGTCAAGAGAGAGAGAGAGAGAGAGAGAGAGAGAGAGAGAGACAGAGAGAGGCAGAGAGAGAGAGAGAGAGAGAGAGAGAGACAGAGAGAGAGACAGAGAGAGAGAAACAAGGTTGTCGTCTGTTGGTTGTTTGTTCGTCAGGGAACAAAGAAAGGGGCGAGGTGGTAATTTATGTTGCTGTTCGATTAGTTTGTGTAGATCTTACTAAACTCGCTTAACGTTTTACTTTTAAATACACCTTGAGTTTATGTTGCACTTGGTGGAGATGTTGTTGCCAGACAGAGAAAGGGGGCGCACGAGCGAGAGGAACAAGTACAGCCTCATTTACCAAGTGTCATTGGGACGACAGCGCCCCTCACAAGAATGTAAGAAAATAACCCGAAATTTTCAAAGAATTGGAACGATATTAATCCATGTGGAATGCATACAAATGTTCCCTCTTGCAAGCAGTTGGAACGCTGGCGGAGGAAATGTCAGCAAAAGGTTGCTGCATGCAAAAGCTTTTTTTATTTTTTAAGAGAGAGAGAGAGAGCGCGCGCGCGGTGGCGGCGCTCGGTGTCGGCGGGTGGTCACGTCATATTGGCAAACGAATCGGGCTGCAGATGCCCTAGGGCGCGCAGAATATTGTGAGGTTCTCTACTGCGTATTTGGATAGCGAACAAATGGCGTCGGGGTTTGTCAAGCGTGGCAAGCGCGCCACTGTGGCGCGCTATCGCGCGACACGGCCGAGCAAGACGCATGCCGATCCACGCGTGTCGACGGGCATCGCCTCCTTCGACTATCTCCTTGGTGAGGCCGGCGCCCCTGTCGTTGCATTGCCTAGACACGCCTCCGTGGCTTACCCGCCCTCCAACCTTTGCTTTGTTTAGACGGTGGCCTGCCCTTGGGCTCACTCACCATGATTGGTACGGTACCTGCCCCATGCAAACCATACAACACAACCAAATTGGCCTGATGCTCTTGCTGCTCGTGCTGTTCGTGCTGCCCGTGCTGCCCGTGCTGCTCGTGCTGTTCGTACTGTTCGTGCTGTTCGTACTGTTCGTGCTGTAGCCCACAGCTCACCTCCCCACCTCCGTCCAAATGCCGTGTGGCTTGTAAACAGAGCAAGACAACACAAAGGCTTTTGCTCGCAGCATGCTCAAGTATTTTACTGCCGAGGCTGTGGCGAGTGGACACCACCTCGTGAGCGTCCACACGGACGATGAGCCCGAAGCTTTTCTAAAGGTGCGGCTCAAACCCTTGACAACATCATATTGAGGGTCCCGCGACCCCCTTTAGTGGGCCGCCAATTCCACACTTCTCAAGCCTTGCGTCGTTTCTCGCCTCCTTGTGTCACCGACGCCTCCTCCTTCCTTCTGGGCGCCCGCGTGTTAGGATCTGCCGCTGATCGTGTCCCAGCACCGCGCATTTCCAACACAACCCACGACAGACCCCGGCCCGGCCGCTCCCGCACCAGGTTCGTTGATATTACTCAAATCAAGCATTGACGTGGGCGAATGACTGCTTGCATGCAGCCCTTCTTTTGCGCTTCCCATGCCACAGCTTTCTTACCACGCCCCCACCAGCAGCTGCAGCGGGGGTGCGGTTTGCCAACGAGCTTGACGTTCGCGAGCTTGACGATGCCGAGGAGCCCACTGTCGGCGAGGCAGCTGGGGCTGGTACTGGTGCCCCCCATGACATGAAGATTGCATTCCGCTATCAATCCCTCCCCAAGGTTCAAGTACGATCTGCAACCCCCCCCATACGTGACGTTCTGCAGCTGCCATTGTCTCACAAAGTCATACCCACCACATTAGTCGCTATTGGGCGCTGGCAGCAAGGACAAATACTGTCATACTTTCGATCTGGGTAAACCGATGGCGCGCGAGGACCGTGAAGCCGGCTTCTTGCACCCCATCGACGCCTACCCCTTGCTGACCCTACCCGACGCCAGGTCAGCGGCTCCAGTCATGGCTGCCATCCACTGGCACTCACGTGTCGCGTGTCCACCTTTATTCTCACCACTGCTGTTGATATCAACCTTGCTCACCTGATTCGACTTTGATATGACTGTGATAATACAGCACCCGATTTGCGGCCCTGCTCTCCGCCATTCGCGAGGCCATTCCAGCAGAATCCGCTCCAGTGGTACGCCCCATCTGTCACCCAACAGACAGACACGACCCTAACGCCTCCTTCTCCTTGTCATTGTCCCCATTGCTCACGCAAGGTCAACTTTTATGTCACATCAATAGGGGGAAGAGCGGCCCGTTTACCGTGTACTTTTGCACGACTTTGGCTCACTTGTGTGGCAGGAGGCCGAGGCCGAGGTGTGAACCTTTGCCCCACGCGTGCGTTTTTGTTTTTTTTTAAAAAGAGTTCTCCAATTTTTTTATTTCTTAGGGCAATGTCTCCCACTTTGTTTGCCTCACCCCACTTGGGCTTGCTCTGCCTCGACTTCTCGGTTCTAACCCCAACTCTACCATCCCCGTTTCTCCTCTGTGATCGGGCAGGCCAAGCGTGAGCTGGCGCTGTATCAATTTCTGTTTGCACTTCGCGGTTGGTTTGTTTGCATCTTGCCGTCATTCCGAATACCCATCTTGTCCAATTCCGCTCCCCTTCATGGCTTGGCGTCAACTCCTGTTTCATCCGCTCTGGGCACTGCCGGCGCTTGTTCATGCCTTGGCAGGAATGGCGCAGGAGCTGAACCTCGTGGTCTTGCTGGCTGTTCCAGCCAATCAAGCCCCATCCCCCAGCACCTTGGCCGCGTGGCGAGGCTTTGTTGATGCCGCCTTTGCCCTGGAAAGCTTCAGCGGCACCCCGAACGAGGGCGATCCCAGTCTCTCCGACTATCATGGTGCGTCTCACATGAGTTCGCCTGGGCCAAACGCTACCTACCACAGCCGGGCTCATGTGGTGGTATTGGGCGACGATTGGCCAACTTCATCTTGGCGTCGGCCATTTGAACAGGTTTTTTCCGAGTGCGCAAGATGATGCGCGGTACGGCCCTGACGTACCCTGCACTGGAAACCTTTGATCTGGCCTTCAAGCTCAAGCGCAAGGCAATGCTCATCGAGGTGCGTGTGCGCCTCTGTCGCACCGCCGCTACGTCCTCTCCGCTACCCCTCCTTGCGCTTGTTTGATCACAATTTTCACGGTACTCCGGTTGGGATGTGCCACACACAGAAGCTGCACTTGCCCCCAGACTTGGCCGAGGACGTGGCTCGACCCCAGGATGATGGGCCAGGTACAGCCCCAGCTCCCAAGAGCTTTTCGAGCTCGAAGAAACCCTTGTGTCAGCCCAACCCGACCAAGCCTGACCCACTTGCCTTTTGACCTTCTTCCATTCAACGTTCGCTCCTGCCTTTGCAAATGAACCCATTGCTCTGGGTGTCTTGCCGCCAACCCAATTGCACCAAGCCAAGCCTAGGCTCAAGTCTATGCGTCACCTAAATCTGACGGGCCAGCCGTTGACTCTCAATCCACTTTCCCTCACTCCCTATCACGAAAGCGCATAAGGGAAAAAAAAAAAGAGAAAGGAAAGAGAGAGATGAAAGAAAAAAAAGTCCACCTCATCCCCCTTCTTTAACCAGTTTGTGTGTGTGACACAGATTCTCCGTTTAAGGGGTACGAATCGTGCCTTTGACTCGCTTGCTTGTTCTTCTTGCGGATCTGAGGCTGGATCTGGATCCCAGTGCTCTGAGGCAGGATCCCGGTGATCTGAGGCTGGATCTCGGTGATCTGAGGCCGCACCTGAGCTGGGATCTCACAGTCTAAAGTGTCAAGCTGCAGTGATTCGAATCGGTCGAACAGTGTTTGGGATCGTGTCCAACTGGCTCAGTCGTGCTATGGTGCTTGCATGCCTCAGGTTTTGTGGTGCACAGAGCCCATCGTACCGGGGACATGGCTGAACAGGAGGCAAGCTTGGCTGCGGCCTCGATTGAGACCGGCGTTGAGCTGAGTGAGGCTCCCTATGGTGCTCAAACCAAGCTGAGTCGGCACACCAACCTGAGCAAGCGCCTTCAAAACAGCAAACCCGAGGGCGATGATGACGATGGCAGTCAGCACAGCTCCCTCAGCACGGTCAGCTCGGCGAGCACCATGCTGTGGGAAGACGATGCGGAGGGCTTGCTCAACGAGCGCCAGAATTTTCTCCGTGACATGGAGCGCGACGTCGTTCTGACGGGTGAGGGCTCCGGGCCTAGCTAGCACCCCTGCGCATGTCCACGGCCGCTTCTCAACGGCGTTTTGCACCTGACCCACAACAGGATACCTGAAAAAACTTGGCGACATATCCAAGCCCTTGAAGGAGATTGAAAATCCTGGTTTGTACCCCTGACAGCTGCCATCTTGACCTTCACACAACAGGCTCTGCTCGGCCGGATCACGCTCAGGTGCTTTTGCTTGCCAACGACGCAGCCTGGCGTGTGCGCTACTTTGAATTGGAGGACGGCATGCCTGAGCGCCTGGTGTACTACCGAGACGACACCAAGCGGCGCCAAAAGGGCATCATTCATCTTGGTCCCGATGCTCGAGTCGAACCCATCACTGAGGATCCGCGCTTCAAGGGGCCCGAGTATTTCAAGCTCGTCACAGTGAAGCGAACGTACTACTTCAAGTCGGATCACGGCAAAGACGACGCTCAGCAGTGGCGGGAGAAGCTAAGTCGTCAAAACTTGGTGAGTGGGCACACATACCTCTATCGAATGCGAACGTCATGCACTTGCCGCAAGGCCTCTTGACGTGCGACGCCTTGCTGCCTGTGATAGTTTGAGATTGCCCGGGGATACTTTTGCAAGCGAGGCAACTCCCGCCTGCACCTGTGGCGCCAGCGCCAATATTGTATTAGTGCCTCCTATTCGGGTGGCGTTTTGCACACCTACGTGACCAAGAAGGAGAAAGGCTCCAAGCTACCTGTCGAGGTGACCAAAAACAAGTACAATCTCATTGGTCACTGCGCTCTCCTTGCCCGGGAGACCGACGCTGGCGAGGTAGGCAGCAAACACCCTGAATCGTTCCCGGCCTGTGCGTACATATGCCGGTCTGTTCATCGACGAGTTTCCTCATCCGCCCATAGGAGTGGCTGCAGCATGACTTCCCAACCAGCAAAAAGATCTCAGACTTCACTTCCGCCCGCAATCGCAAGGCAGTCAACCTGACCGTTGAGAACCGTGGCATCCTCTATCTCGTGAACAACACCGCCAGCCAAGGTGATGAGCCGCCCATGGAGTATGTCTGCGGGACCATCCCGCAGACTGAGGCCTTCACCTCCCTGGCCCGAGCCGCCGATTTGTCCGATCTGAAGCGCGCGATTCCGCTCCTCTTTCAGGGGGCCGTGTCAGGACTGTTCCAAGCCTTACATGACGACTTCGATGGCATCTACGTCCATTTCTCCGGCATCATCCACCTCATTCAAAGCGTGTTCTTGAAGATGGACCAGGTTCACGCCAAGTTCATCTGTCTTGAATGCAAGCCCGGTTTCCATGATCTCCTCAATCTCCTGGCCGAGCCCATGGCCAGCCATAAATCCTCCAGTGATCTGGCCAATTGGATCAATATCCCAGATTTGGCTGGTCGACTGGCTGATCTCGCTCGCCAGCTTGCAACCCTTCGCGACGACCCTCCGGTCCCCGGTCAAACTGAGACAGTGCTTCTCGACGACGTTCAAGAAACCGTCAGCCTCTACCTTCAAGAAAAGCTTGCGCCAGCTGCCTTGAACCTATACTATCAAAGTGCAGCTGAGCCCCGCACCATCTTTCACGGTGAACTTGACGCCGTCTTCAACATCCTCCTTGCCTGCGTTGGTGATGTGAATTGTGCTGCCTCGCTCTTGGCGCACGGGCACTACGATGTGCTTCGCACCCTGAACACCCTGCAGGCGGCTGGTAGCGCCAAACAGCATGAGGGCGCACGGAAACATCTCGACCTTCTCAAACGCATCTTCAATCACGCCATTGCCTCACAAGAAATTACCAACCGCCGTGGTCTGACTGAGGCACAGCGCAACCGCGAGGAGCGGTCCCGTGAACTCATTCGGGAACACTTCCAAGCTCGTGCCATCGTCCCGCTCGTCGAGGCACTGGTCCGAATCGACCACACTGGCTTCGATGACAAGGGTGCACCCACCCTCAGTTGCCCGACTCTGGTACACATCCTTGATCATTATCTTGGCTTCGTTCTGGAGCTACTCAAGCACAGTCGCAATGCCATCGCCGTTTGTTTGGCGCCATCCAACCCCCTCAAACTCCTCGTGCAGCAGCTGCACGCTAAAAATGCCGACCTCCCACTTTCCCCCATCGTGGTCACCCGCATGACCGATATCCTCCTGCAGGTTTTGCGCCACCGCGATCAGGCTACACCAGAGGAACAGCGACAAATGGATGCCATCTACACCCAGGACATTATGATCCCGCTGATGAGCCTCGTCTACCATTGCCTCGAATCCAAGACAGACGCCATCATTCGAGCCTGCCCTCACAATGGTCTGCTCATTTGTTGCGCCCTGTGCGGTTATTTGCCTCTTGCTCGAGCTCTCTGCGGCCCGGGCCTGGCCGAGCTGACTAATGTCATCCGTCTCTTGCGCACGGATCGCAAAGTTTCGTTCATGAGCACCGAGGATGCCAAGAATGCCTTGCGCCTGCTTCCTGCCGTGGCCGCGCATGCCGATGAGGATACGGCTATTGCCGACTACTTACAGGATGAGATCCTGCCCGCCTTGGTGGCGCTCTGCTGCGAGCTGCCCACGCAAGCCTTTGTTGGCAAGGCTGTTGACCTCATATCCGATGTCATTCGTACCCTTGCTGATCTGGCTGAGCTCCCGGCTGTGGCAGCCATGCTCTGCAAGGACGACGATCTGCGGCGCCTTTTGCTCGTCTGTGACGGGCCCTGCGCTGCTGATATCAAGGGTGCAGATATTTGTCTCGACTTTCTCCACGTCCTCCGGTCTCTGGCCTTGTGGATCGTGCCCGTTCCGGACCTAAAGGCTTGTCAGGGGAAGCGACTCAACGACCCCAGTCGCACTGCGTTGCTGGACAGTCCTTGGATTTACTTGTATCTGAAAACCCTCATTGAGCCGCTCCCCGCAGAGAAGCATACCAGCCTCTCACCACAGCGGCACGCAACCCTGGTCTCCACTTGCACGGCCCTTTTGCTTCCGGCCTTGACAATCCTTATCAACTGTTACGAGCAGGGCCAGTCCCACCGCGAATCCATGATTGGCAAGGCAAATGCACAAGGCGCTCGGCTCAAACTAATGGTTATCTGTGCGGCACTCATGTCCCACCACGCGGTGGCCACCAGTGCTGCTCGTAGCACCAACCATCGACTCAAACTCGGCGAGCTCATTGACATTTTTGAGCGTCGCCTAGACCAGATCCCTGTGGAGGATACAAAACATTTCTTCTTCTTGCTGCATGGGTACACGGCCCACAACGTACCCACCCTCACGACCCAGGACGACTTTATCACGACGCACCTGGCCCCCATGTGTGCGCGGTTGTGCGCGCGAGCAGCAGATGCACTCCTTCATCAAGACGGCGAGAGCCACGCTGCACTGCTTGCCCCGCAGCGTCTCGGACCTTTTGAGTTTTTAACCTTTATTCTGGGCAACCCCGTGGTCGCGCGCCACATATGTGCCACCTTTCCGAGGGAGATGACGCGAATCCTTGAGTGCTATCTTGACTTGAAGGACCCGGCCCCGATGATCTGGATCATGGAGCCCCTCAAAGTCCTGGCGCAGCACACGATTGCAGCAGATTCCACCGATGATGTTATTGCCACGCTCTTTGCCAAGTCCTTCGTCCGCGTCATCTGTCAAAGCCTGGAGAAGAAGCGTACCTCAGATCCTCGCGTGGCCCTTCAGGCCTTGTATTGGTGTGTCCATGTGCCGCAGGCTGCCACGGAGCTGGCCACGGACATTCACAAGATGACTTTCCTCAACTTGGTCGAGGACATTGATTCCACCCAGAACTTGTCCGCCTCTGCTCGCACAGAAAAGTCTTACTGGGTCATCTTGGTGCTGGTGCAACTCATGGAGCACGTGGGGACGGCTGCTCGCCCGGCATCTCGGCTTTGGGATGGTGCCGTTGTGGACGTCCCCGTAGATGGCACCCACGATACGGTGAGCGGCCTCTCCGTGGGCAAGACCAACGCATACAAGATTCTCGACTATTTGGGTCTCGTCAGCCGTACACTGATGGGTGCGACGGTGCGCATGCTACTACGTGAACGCGGTGAGGATGCCGAAAAGACAGAACTCGAGATTGACGTGTGTCTGCTCCTCTTTGCCATCTACCGCCTTATCAGCACCTCACCCACCGACCGTATTGCTCATAACATCTGCGAAACGTCGGACCATGTGGCCGAGATCATCAATTTTATCCGTCGTGGTACGGCGACTCAGTCAGACGCCGACACCCTCAACGTCAAGTTTTGGAATCGCCAACTGGTGGATCTCGATGTGTTGCTGAACCTCCTGTCCGAGGTTTATGCCGCAGTGGCCACACGCTCGCGGGACACCATGGTGTCCAGCGCCATTTTTCGAACGCGACCCGTACCGGCCTTGCTCAATATTCTTCGGCGTGACTTTTACCACCTCCCGTCCTTGCGCCTCAATGCACTTGAAATTTTGTCCGAGCTGGCCCGTAACTCGGCCGAGCATTGCGAGTCCATCTTTCTGAACGATGGTCTACCCGTTCTGATTGACGACTTGCGCTCCGGCAAGCCAGAGGTACAGAGTCGCGTGGCCTCGGCATTGGCCTTTGTGGTCGATCGGAACCGCGATCGACTGCAGACCTTCATCAAGCTGGGGGGTGTCAAACCGCTTGTGCGTGAGCTCAATGCCTCATCTGCAGGCTCACGCCGAGCACTCACACTTTTGCTCGTCAATTGCCTCAATTCCTCAGAAGTCATTGCAGACATGTTGGTGGGCCTTGACGGCGGCCCAAGCCTTGTGGTTCAACTTGTTGGGCGACTGGTCGAAATGGGCACGGCCTTCTCATGGCAGCGCGAGGAGGCCCAGTTTCAGCTTATTACAGCACTCGCACTGCTCAAGTGCTCGCAACACAACGAACTGCGCAACGAGTTTACGCCGGAAATTCTGACCAAACTCAAAGCCTTTGTGCCTGGGGAGGTGACAAAGGAGGAGTACGAGAAGCAGGCTCGGGCCGAATCCTTGGTCAGCATGGGTCGTCAGTGGATTAGTGGCATGGTTGATGATAGCAACGAGAGAACCGGGCAGTCCAACGACATTCGTCAACGCGCCGAGCGTTGTGAGACTTCGCTCAACGCCGAGCACAACAATAAAGATGTTCAGGTACGACTTTTGATTGGCTTCGCGCTTGGTGGTTCTGCCACAAGTCTTGTCCTAGAATGGTGAAGGAGGAAAAGGGCGGCCAACGGGAGAACGGGAGATCATGCGCGTGACAGAAGATAGCAAACCCAGCAGCGGAGAGGTGTTATTGTCAATCTTAATGGCTGATATGGAGTTTGGGGCCGCTGTGTGCATAGGCCAAGATGCGCGAGCAATCAGGAAGTTATGCGGCGCGTGTGGTCGGGGCCTCGTTGCGCAACGACCAACTGGCTGAACGGCTAACCCCTGAAGAATACTCGTTGCACATGGACGCTTTTCGCTTCTATCTCCTGCGCACGCTCGCGGATGTGGAAGCAAGCTTCACGATTGATATAGGCCCCGCCGTTTTCAAACCAGACCCCAGATCGCGTTTCACGTTCAAGGTCATGATCAGTCACACCTGGGCTGACAACGACATGCAGCTTGCCCTCAAAATTCGTGATTATTTTGAGGAGCACAAGATTCCATACTGGCTAGACAAGGATCACATGCCCAGCTCAGGTTAGGCTAGGCTTGCGCTTGTGAACGGGAAGGCCCGGCTCGACTGGCCTAGGTGACGCAACCAAAATGCCTTACAAAACTCCGTGCACGTGTGTATCACAGGCAACATTTATCAAGGCATGGCCCAAGCACTGAAAGAGTGTGACGTTGTTCTTTGTCTAACATCGCGAGCATACGAGGTATGCCAACTTCCAGCTGGCGAACGCGTGCAGCTGTGATGTGACTGCACCATTGACTCATCTCTCGTGCACTCTAGAACTCTGCCAATTGTCAAAAAGAGTTGATGCGCGCGATGGAGCTGAAGCGTCACGTCTTTCCGTGTCGAGCTGAGAACGTGCCTCTGTCCGATGCCACGGGGCTGGTAAGCTGGCGCGCAAGAGCTGATTTCCTGAGATTGCCTGTCAAAGTTACGGCTGGGGCGAAATGACACTTCCTGTTGTGTCGCCGCTCTTCACGTATTTGCCCGTGGTCTGCTTTGGTGTTTCAACAGATGCTAGCCGGTGACTTTTATTGGGACTTGTTCAGGCCGGAGCTCTTTGAACAGCACATGGGACAAGTCGTAGAAGCCATGAATAAGAAAGCCTCGTCTGCTGCCATTGCCGAACCCACACCGGCGCCAATCGTACCTAGCAAGGCTTCGGCGCAAATGACAAACTTGCCCTCTGACCTGCAAGAGCTACTTCAATCTCTCAAGCTAGAAAGCTATGCAGACACACTCATCGCCAACGGTATCGACGAAGTCGAAATTCTCGTTTCCTTGCCAGATGAGGAACTGCAGCGCCTTGGTTTCCGAGTTGGGCACATCATGAAGTTGCGCCGCGCTTCGCCCAAAGCCTAAGCACGAGCTGATTGATTACTTTTAATTTTTTTGTTGTTTCAGATTCCTTTTTTTTTTTCGTTTTAGATTTTTTTCTTTCTTTGTGGATGTGGCTGGGTCTTGATCTGCAATCCTCGCGTGATGTCTTGACATCACCAAACTCTTCATCGTTGACAGACTCTCGATGCCGCTCTGCTATTCATTTCTCACATGTCAATTGACGCGATTTGTCACAAAGTTTTGTTGATGTGCAAGCTCAGCTCGGCCGATTCCTTCATCTTCGAGCCTATGTGCGAGTCACGCTCTGCAAGGAGTGTTGGCCTTGGCGGCCTTTGCGCTTTGTGCGACGGGCGGCAATGGGCTTGCTGGCTCGTGGGATGCTCTGAACTGAGCGAGGCTGTCGTTGAGTGCGAACTTTATCATGCACGACTGAGGCGGGTGATGGTCCCGATTCAGTCGCAGTCGACTCTGTTTTCACAGGCATGACTGTCTGCGACGGCAAGGTGGGCATGGAATCAGAAGCAGACGAGCCTTTCTGAAACACGGCCACGAAAAACCCAGTCATTCGATCTTGCTCTGGATCAGCGCGAACCGTTGCGGTGGCTGCAAAGAACAATATGACTCAAGTGAGAGGGCCAACTGCCATATAAGCGGAACCAACATGGAAGCCAACCATGCATATTGAAGGGACGCACCATCAAAATCTGGATGGATTCCGCGACGCGACCACGTCGGAAGAATGGGCACGAGGGCCACGCCAGGATTTGCCTGAAGAACCCGCAGTACCACGTCCTCGTTTTCCTCCTGTGCGAGATGGATGCGTTGCGACGGATGATGCATGAGCCAGCGGTGCGTGTGCCCTGCCTGCTCCGTCGACGTGCTGAACCCAGAGCTGAGACTTGGACGGTATCAAGCCACAGGCGAGCTGCATACCCTGTGAACGCTGCACGTTGAGTAGGACACGCGAGATACGTGGGGAAAACTGAGGGCGTGGTTAACAATCTGCTCTTGGAACTGAGCCTATAACGGACAATCACAAGTCGGGTGAATTAGCTGGAGGCGCCGCAGAAGAACGCAAGAACAACACCCAGAATGCATCGGCAGAGTGACACAGCAAGCATTGCGGCATGCGGCTTCAACGATTAAGTTACCAGCTTGCCCAAGCGATCCGCCTCTGTGCTGGAGCTGGCAGCATTCTGTGCCAGGCGCTCGCTGCTGATGATGCCCGAGCCCGAGCACTAATGATAGAATTTCGGTGAAATAATGCCATCTCAAGATGACACCAGTGCGACGCACAATCGGTGGTCGGGCTTACCGAAGGATCACATAAAATGAACGAAGTGCGAGCCAACTGATCATCTAAAGGATTAAGCTCAAGAAAATTGGTGTGCCGGCACTGAACGCGGTCTGCCCCTGCCTTAGTCATGAGCTTTTGCATGGCTAGAGATGGGGCGAGCGTGGATGTGAGGCTGTAAGTATGTCGCCTCGTGAAGAGAATTGGTCGTGGCAAAGACTGAGCAAGGCTTACTCTGCAGGCGACGTGCATCCTGGTCGCAGCCAATAATGGTTGCCTTGGGCCCGACGAGAGCAGCCAAATGCGAGGTTTTATTGCCAGGGGCTGCACAGGCATCAATGCACAATGCGCCTGGGGCAGGGTTGAGGGCATATGCCGGCATGCATGAGGCCTATAGTCGCATCAACCCCAAGAAGGCACGTGGTGAGTTGAACATGTAAGACTGAGAAGAAGCAGGGCCAGCTGCGCGCTCAAACCTTGTCCTGAAAAATGAGGCGACCCGTCAAGTAGAGGGGATGGTCATGCAGGTCGGTCTATTGGGCACGCAAATTCAACCATGGTCGACATACATGGGCGGGGAGGCCAGACGGCACAGGTGGAGAGGGCACTCGATTGGGACGAAGCGAGCGTGTCCGGCTGCCCATGTACCTTGGCGGGGAAGGCGAGGAGGTCAGGAATGTCTGGGTCACAGGCAAACTGTCGGCCTTGGAGACGAAACAGTTCGACATGCGTGCTGGCGCTCAGCCGTTGCCAGCCCTCGGTCTCAAGGTCGCGCACGACGTCAGCTGTTTGGGCGCGCAGTGTATTTACGCGAAGGAAGCGTAGCTGCCGCTCTGAGTTGCATAAGTGGTCGTACGGCTTTAGTGAGGTGAAATGCTTGCGTACGCATGATGGACAACCACACGGCATGGGATCGGTTGAGCATCATACCAGCAAGGCTTTCGGAGGGAACAAGGTCTTGGATTTTCTTGACGCCACGTTCCGCCAGGATCCGACTTAAATGCTGATCCAAGGCTGGCTGAGGGACAACGCACGGCGGAGGAAGGCTTTGAGATGAACGCCACGACCGAACCTGGGGGTCTGCTCTGAAGCAAGTGGGCTGATGGCATACCTTGTGCTCACGCAAAATAAACTTGATCTTTCCGCCGCAACGGAGACGTCCCTTGATACAGGCATCGTGGACAAGGCAAAGCAGCGTGCCTTGCGTCCACTGATCTCCAAGAGTACCTTCAAAGCAGAATTGATTGAGTGGAAAGGCTATTAGAATTCCATGGATGACGAGACGCATCCGGGGATTCATCTGGGCCCACCTTGAAGGTCACGCGCTAGAGGCAGGAGGATCTCGGAATCTAGCCGCACACCAAGCAAAATGAGGGTGGTCAATCAAGGCATAGCATTCAATCAGGCCTGGGAGCTGCACGTACATTTGAGGGTTTCGCAAACCAGGGCAAAGAGAGCTTTCTTGCGGTCGTATTTGGAGGCCAAGCATAGGGATTTGGCCGAGCCCCGGCAAGCCAGCACTCGGTCCACAATGTGACCGGCTGTGTTGTACAAGGCCACCGACATGCTAAAAGCGAGTGGAGATGTCGTGATGAGCTAGCCTTGCCAACGAACTGCCCAGCCACATCAAGCAAAGAACCCAACGACACTCCCCCACGGTGCTCACCTGTGCACCTGTGATAAAGTCGAGCAACGCTGGCTGAATGGCGGTGACACCCAAAGAGAGAGAGAGAGAGAGAGAGAGAGAGAGTGTGTGTGTGTGTGTGTGTGTGTGTGTGCGTGCGTGTGTGTGTGTGTGACCACGAGGCCGGTGTTTCGCGGATTTGTCAAAAGCAGTTTTCCAACAAGAGAAAGATAGAGAGAGAGAGAGAGAGATTTTTTTTTTTTTTCTTTGCCTCTCCCCCACCGTGGCCAGCCATTGAATGCGCCTGGCGAGGAGACACAGGGCTAGGTGGCAGCGATGTGGCGCCACAGTCGGCATGTATTTGCGGGAAGAGTGGCAGCGTTGATGTCAGTCTCCAGGTCTTCTCGATCTGTCACACGACGATGGTGGGTTGGCACACAGAGGGCATGCCTTCATGATGCGCCCGTGCTTGAGCCGCGCAACGCCGTGCGCCATGTCATTCAGATGTGCCACGAGCTTCCGCCCCTCGGCCGACAGGCACGGCGCAAGATTGAGGAACATTCCAGCTCCGAGCTTCCAACTGAGCGGCGCGACCAGGGTCACACCTACGTGCATGTGTTCAAGCAGCCCTTCTTAGAGCTGCAGCAGCGTGTGGTTGAGGCCGTCCAAAGCACGGACCCGGAGGCCGTCCAGAGTTGCTACGCCACCTTTTGCACCCTACCCGCACGGCCCCACAAGTTGACTTCACCCTTGTGCCATGCCCTTTGCCAAACCGGTCGCGTTGACCAAGCGCTCGAGCTATGTATAGACAAGCTTGAGCACGGAGCGCCGCTCTACGATGCCGAGCTCTACAGTCTTATGTCGGGCTGCCTGCAGGCTGGCCACCCCGAGCTAATGCGCGAAGTGAGTTCACATTCAATACCGCCTGACCTGATGCTCTCCCTAGACGAGTTGAGACCTCTCCCGCATACGCGCCTCGAGCACTGATGGCCATGACCCGTGCTTGGGCAGATCTTAGAGTTTGTGTGCACAAAGCCTCAGCTCGCACAACAGCGTGTCTTTGTCACGGTATGACTGTGCAGGGCTGACTCCAATCAAACGCAGTCCCCTGCTTCACGGAGTCCAGCAGAACCACACTCACACGTTGCTGAGGGCTTACCGATGTTTCTCCGCCTGGTCAGCTAAGCAAGTTCACTCTGGAGCAGACCAACAAACCGCTGGATGCTCTCGAGATTCTCTTTGATAGCTTCCGTATCAACGGCATTCAAGACATGGTTGGTCAGCTTGGTGTTTCGCATTTCAATTTGCATGACCCCAGTGGTCGTCCGCTGTGCAGGCATAGTTGTTCTCTTGCCTGAGCTCATTCCCCTCTCGCTGGATTCGTACCTCTTTGCCATACGATTTCGCATAGGGTTTAGTGGGCCATGAAAATACCAATGCGGCTTTGGCTCAGATCCTGTCAGCAATGGATGCATCCAACATGGGGCCGTTGCCGCGAGCCCGAACTGTGTTGGACAAGCTTGTAGCTTGGCTTCGGCAAGAATACACTGGTACGAGTGAGCGCTCTTTGTTCCGTGTGTCCTCCCCGGGTCTGGTCCTCATCATTATTGCGTGCCTCGCCCGGCCTCACATGCCAGTTTTGTCACCCGAGTGTGGCCAAGCTTTACTGCATGCACTGGCTCTGCTCGAGCCCATGGACATTACAGAAACAGCTGTGCCCGAGCATGGCGTCTGCCCAGCTTGTGAAACCAAGCTAGAGGAAGCTGAGATATCCGGTACAGGCTGTGCGCGTGACACTTGGCAGTCAACTCGCAAGGTCGCATAACACACACACTCACACACTCGCTCACACACTCACTCACACACTCACGCACACACTCACACTCACGCACACACTCACACTCACTCACACTCACTTCTCTCTCTCTCTCTCTCTCTCTCTCTCTCTCTCTCTCTCTCTCTCTCTCTCTCTCTCTCTCTCTCTCTCTCTCTCTCTCTCTCTCTCTCTCTCTCTCTCTCTCTCTCTCTCTCTCTCTCACACACACACACACACACACACTCAGTTCCATGCACGTGTCGCTTTCATTCATTTCTCACGCTCACGCCAAACTCGTGGCATGTAGAATCGGAGCTTCAAGCGCTCATACAGGCAACGTGGGCCATGCTCGAGGCATCCAATCCCAAGCCAGGCACCATCAAGAACTTTGCCGAGTTCCTGGCTAACATCCCCAAATATGAAGATGCTGTCATCATTGATGGCCTCAACGTGGCACTGCACCATATTTCTGGGACTCGCTATGTGCAAAAAGGCGCTCGATACCCGCAGATCGAGGCGTGCTTGAGATATTACAAGGTTAGAGATGTAAAATCATGTTTTCTTCTTGGCACAAATGTGCAGGGAACCATTCCTTTTGCCTCTGTACATGCTAAACGCTGCTTGCTCTCCCGTTTAGGAGCAAGGCACACCTGTCTTTTTCGTGGGCCGCCACCACTTGGCGCGATTCGCGCCCAAGCCTATCAAGGACATGCTCTTCGAGATGGTCAAGGCAAGAAGAGCCTTTCTCACGCATGACAAGGACGAGGATGACCTCTTTTTTTTGCAACTGGCGCTGCGGCAGGGCAGCAATGCCCGTATGGTCAGCAATGACTTGCTGGCCGATCATAGCGCCATTATCAACATGAAGCTTACAGACAAGCGTCTATTGACCGCGTGGTTGCGACGAAAGCGTTGCACCTATGTCTTCCAACAAGATCCCAGCGGAAAGGGTTTGCGCTACACCGAGTCACCTGGTGACGTTCATGCACACCTCGTGCAGCGCACACCCGATGGCTATCATGTTCCGCTGACCAACGGCCAGTGGCTGTGCGGCCTCAAGACTGAATTGCTGGTGGGCTGATCACGGGTCTGGGATCAAGGCCTGGCGAGTGAAGCAAACGGGATTTGAGGTAAATGGCGCAAGCAAAAGTTTTTAATATGCCTGATCTAATCTGGTCTGGTCATTGGGCTGTGCTCGAGTTGAATTTTAAAAAAGAAGAGTCAAGAGAAGCCAGTCCACACGGAAGAAAATGTTGTGTCACTCCTGTGCGTCACCCACATGTACAAAAGAGAAGAGACAAGAGCACGCACGCGTGCTGGGCAAGACAACACACGGGCAAATACCTGGTCTCAGTCAAGAGAACCTAGTAAGGCGTATTGCTAATGGTCTATGACTCTTGACCACCGCGGACCATGCGCCGACCGCCCTTTCCGGGACGCGACGGCCGTGAAAACTTTTGCTTGAAGACCGTTTTGGCGGGATGCAGCTACACGCAAATGGCGTTGATTAATGCGTATATTCCGATTTTTTTTTTTTTTTTTGAAACACGCGTTTGCGTGGTCGAAAAAAAATGGGTTGGAGATAGCAAGGCAAACGGCAATGTGAGCCCAAGGCCAGAGGCAAGACAAGCGCAAAATGTGGCATGGGTGGCTCTTGCGAGTTGTGTGCGGGCAGGGGAGTCATCACGTTGCAAAACCATACTTGGTCGTAGAGAAACTCTTGGGTCAACTCTGCAGACTCGCCAATCTCGAGCTATGGACGACGCGATGAACGATGAGGCGTCGTGTTCGGGCCAGAGCATGGGCGGGGTTGCGAGAATGCATGGACGGGCCACAGGATGAAACTGACCTTCTTGGCCAGCTCCAATTTGATCTCGTCTTCAACGACGTCGATGAGAGGACTCTTGCAAGTGCTGTACATCATGCGCTGCTTGACGGAGCACTTGAAGCCGGGGCACGAATAAATGAAGACGGTCGATTCAATCGTGTCACCTTCGTGATTGTGCTTGAAGTTGAAGACGTGATAGCGGGGCTCATCGTCTGACACAAGTGATTGAATCTTGTCGACGTGGTACGAGCCTGACTCGGCCAACAGAATTTCTTCCTTGCTCAGATCTAGGCTCTGTTGTAAGCAGGGTGCAAATGATAGAATACAAGCATCAGCTTTGTGTGAGCCACAGCCGTCTTGAAAATGGGAAGGTATGCATGAATGTGAAGGTGTGAGCTTGTGAGCTTGTGAGCTTGTGTTGCCCTTGAGCAGGGGTTGCCTTGACAAACCATTTGCACGTAGGTGATCTTGCCCGCCTTCAAATCCTTGAGCTATCAAACAAGTGGCCAGCACAAATTGTGTGGTGATGCATGAGGTGGCTGCATGACGCGCGCAAGCGTTGGTTGCATGGCACAATCTGGCGTTGTGAGGAGCGTACCGCACTCATGGCCTTGGATTCAACGGGAAAAGCCACGCCCGTGGCAATTTGGTGTTTGGTGCTCGCACCAATCTCAACGCCCGTCTATTGTTAAGGGCCAAAACACACATGGCAAGGGACAAAAAGAAGGGGGTGGGGGTACATGAGAGTGAAGAACGGAAAGCGAGCAGAGTGGACTTAGGCATGTGTTTGCGTGCAAATGGTACCTCGGCCTTGCGAATCTCAGCCTTTTCGTATTCCTCTTCAGTGAGCGGTGGGGGTGCGGCTTCGCTGACAAGGTGGCGTTGGTAGCCAGCGTAGCTAATGTCATCCGTGACGGTGCCAAAGAGCTCGGCCTTGAGGTGCAGCATGCCAAAGGTCTGCTTGAGGGTGGCACGCGTGGCGGCGTACAGCATCTTCTTCTTGATGTGCGCAAAGTCAGGAGACCAAGCAATCAATACAAACTCATAACCTAGTCTCAGATGGTGCCGTGGAGTAGGGTTTGAGGCTTGATTCGACGCCAAAGTGCTACAATGAGTTGCTAGCGGCCAAAGGAACGTGCATACCTGACGCATTTCTTGAGTCGAGGCGAAAAATCATGTAGCACGGCTCCTTTTCGTCTGCCGTCTGCTCATGATCGAGACCGATGCTGTGAGGGTGAACTGTTGATGGACAAGGGCGGTCCCTGGTTGGCCTGAACTCACGGCAAGCACGCAGTTGTCCCAGTCTTCGGCTTCGCTGCCCTGGGTGGGAAACGTCTTGGACAGCACCATTTCCTCTGCGAGCGTTGTTGTTCGGGAATGAGACAAGCCCTGACCGCAGATTTTGGGCCAAGGCTGAACGAGCGCCGTGCCATGACTTCAGACCATACCGTTCTCGATGAGAATCAAGAGCATGCGAGTGTCATCACTGTTGTACAGCTTGGCAAAGGCTGCAGTCAGCTCGTCCGAGCCTGTGGACGGAAGCCGGCGAGGCGGGATGTATGCGCATGGAGAAGAATGGGGACCAACAAGGAGGCCGCTGGTGTTTTTCACTTTTGTTGTTGTCGTGTCACGTCAAAGAAGAGTCAGAATGTAGCATACCTTGGATACCGGTCTGGTGTGACATGATGCAGAGCTACTGTTGGCCCGAAAACTCCCTGCCAGAGTAGACCAGGCGATGCGCAGGCAGAGAGCGCCGAGCCCCCCATTATAGTGAGTGATTACAAACGATCACTCATATATTCGGCGCCGATGTCGAGCGAAACACAACATTCCCAAAGGATTTCCCACTGGCTTGCGCGCCACCCTCTGGTCTTTCCCCCCCCATCAACAGCGCCTTCCAAGAGCACCAGCACCAGCACTCGCCACTGCCACTGCCACGATCACGACTTCGCACCGTTCAATGACAAGCAAACAAAACATCACACACTCTCTCTCTCCAAGACAGAGAGACAGACAAAGCGAGAGAGAGACACATACAGCGCTGAGTTGTCTTCTCAAAGAGAGAGAGGGATAAATGAGAGGAAACGTCAGAGAAATAAAAAAGAGGGCCACAACAGGATTCAAAGTTTTGCTTGCAAGCTGTTTTTCTGTTAAACAGGTGAGAAAAGGAAACACACACACACCACACACACACACACACACACACACACACACACACACACAGAGTCTCTCACTGTTTCTTGTGCGCGAGCCGTTGCGAGGTGAGAGGCGATGGAGCGCGAGATGGGGAAACGGCAGTGAGGAGTGTCGTGGTTGAATGCATGATAAAAGGGAAAAGGGAACGATGGTCGATAGTGCGCAGTGTGTGAATGGCTGCTGGTGTTGATGGTGGTAGTGTCGGACCATCAATCGCGTCGTGCACGCAAGGGAATGACACCAACCGCATGCGTGGCATGTCGGGTTCGCTCACCCTGCTCCTGCGATGCCGATCTCTGCTCCGCCCTGCATTCACAGGGTCTTGACACCAAGCATCATGCGGCGGCGCACGACAGAACGGCTGATCTATGTGGTCATCGCCCTGGCCTTTGGCGGCTACCTGCTCTACCCGCGCCTCGTGGGCACCCCGTCGAGTGATGCCCCCCTTTCGGGTGACCATGGCGCAGCGGGCAACGTCGAACGCCGCGACGCAGCACAACCAGCCAAAGCCAAATCGAAGGGTGTGCAGCCGCAAGTGCCTCACCCCATCATCGTGCAGAGCCACGAGAGCACGCGCGGTGAAGTAACAGAAGATCGCATGCATGGTGATATGATTGGTATGATCAACCCACGCAAACCCGGTTTCGAGTTGCGCCCCTATGTGTCGTTGTCGGAGGAAACCCTTGAGATGAAACGCGAGGCCCACACCCAGCACTGCTTTAACCTCAAGCGCAGTGACTCCCTGCCCTTGGACCGCCCCGTGCCTGATCATCGAGACAAGCGCTGCAAGGAGATTGAGTATCCCCACAACCTTCCGACCACCAGCGTCATCTTTGTGTTCTACAACGAGCCCCTTTCCCCGCTTTACCGCAGCATCCATGGCGTGCTGGATCGTACCCCGGAGCACCTTCTTCATGAGATTATCCTTGTAGATGACGGCTCTGATGCCGATTATCTCAAGAAGGACTTTGAGGATTACATCAAGCTCCTGCCCAAGACCAAGCTCGTGCGCAAGAGCGAGCGCTCGGGCCTCATGGACGCCCGCAGTTATGGCGCTGAAGTTGCTACGGGCGATACCATCACCTTCCTTGATGCTCATATTGAGGTCAGCAAAGGCTGGCTTGAGCCCATGATGGCCCGCATCAACGAGGACCGGAAGCACGTCGTCATGCCCATCATTGACTCGATCGACCCTGATTCGTTCAACTACATGCGCGGTGGCCTGGACATTCTTGGCTTCTCCTGGGGTATGGGACAAAAGTCGATTGGCTCGCGCCGACGCACCCGCGTCGAACCCATGCCATCCCCTATCATGGCGGGTGGCCTTTTTTCCATGGACCGAAAGTACTTTTTCGACTTGGGTGGCTACGATCCCGGCATGAAGCTGTATGGTGGCGAGGAGCTGGAAATTAGCTTTCGCATTTGGCAGTGCGGTGGCACCCTGGAATGCATTCCATGCTCACGCGTGGGCCACGTCTTTCGCACCGGCGCTTACTGGAAAGGTCAAGTCTACACCGTTCCTGGGCACGTCATTGTCAAGAACAAGCTGCGTGCTGCTGAAGTCTGGATGGACGAATACAAGGAGGTGGTTCAGCGCGTCATGCCACCGCTCCCCCGCGGCATGGACCTGGGCGATCTCTCTGCCATGCAGGAGATTCGTCGCAAGTTTCAATGCAAGCCGTTCAAGTGGTTCCTCAAAAATGTCTATCCTGAAATGTTTGTCCCCAATGATGAGGAATCGATCGAAGCCAGCGGCGAGATTAGGAACCCACAGACCAACGCATGCTTTGACACTCTCGGTGCCTCTCACCAAGGCGCTAAGATTGGCGTGTACCCCTGCCACCACTCGCATGGCACCCAAGAGTTTGTCCTCTCCAAGGCTGGCGATGTTCGTGTGGCGGCGATGGACTTTGACAATTGCCTGGACCGAGGCAACGGGGACGGCAGCGTTGGAATCTGGCCGTGCCACCAGACCGGCGGCAACCAAGCTTGGAAGTGGGATCGGACCACGGGTCTCTTTGGCGACGCCACTGGCGATTTTTGCGTCGAGGTGCGCCGCGAGCAGACGGCCAACTCGCCCTTTGCGCTCCACCTGGCCAAGTGCGACCCCAAGGATCCCATGCAGCAGTGGCATGTGGGTCAACCCAAGTCTGACAATTAGAACCCAGCCTGTTGGAGCATGATAGATCAGAATTCTACCCAAAGTCGGAAGAGTCGGCTTTTTGATGTGTGCACATGCCCAATGTTCGCTTGGCGTCCTTTGACTCGGGAGAGACTGCTGTCTTTTGAACGTTTGGGGCACCCTCAACGTCCATGCAGCGGCAAAGCTTGCTCATCGGTAGGCTCCTCTCGGCAAGTGTGTCTGCTCCATAGTGCACGCCCCAAGATTCGACCGTTCAGTTCATGTCTGGCTTGGTTGGTTTTTTTTTGTATTTGTTTGTTGGTATTCCAGTTGTCGCCTTGAAACATTTTATTTCAGCATGAAATTGAAAACAATGACATGCGTCCTTCGTTTTTGGCGGGTTTGATCAAAGCAGAGGCTCACTTCCCCTATCCCCCTTGAGCGTGTGGGCTGAAGACCAGTCTTGCCTCTCACTGGGGTGATCAACATTTGGCAACTGTATGACTGTAGGTCGTGCATTTGAAAGTTAATTAGTAGTCACACAAGCGAAAATGACAGCCTCAAACGGATCCCAGCTCAGCGTCCCTAGCACCGTAGCCCCGCTTGATTCTACTCAGGCTTGGAAGCGTCATACAAAGGTTGCTCTGCGGAAGCGGGCGGAGCTTGTGCTGCAGCCGAGGCTTCTTCGCGAACTGCGAAAAAGTCCCAGAGGTTGGTTGCCTAAATTGCAATGGATCGAAATGACTCATTTAAGCCTACCAATGCAAAAGCCAAGTCCGCGCTATCGTAAAACACAAAAACTAAACAGACCTGAGCACGTCGTGCCTCGCCGTCGGCGTTTTCTTGATAGCGCGGTTTTGGAATAAATGCTGCCGTCCCATCCTGCCAAGCAATCACGAAAAGTCAAAGGCATCCATCACCTCAACAGCAAAACCAAGAAAAACAGTGGGAAAAACAAGAAAAAAAGGTCGAAAAATGACTCCGAAAATAGAAATCGCGATGATTCACACAAAGCAAGAGCCATGTCGCAACCGCATTGGCAGACAGGACTGGATCAGCGAAGCTGACCAAGCGAGACGAACCCGATAGCGGTGGCGGTAGAAGCAAGAGTTGCCAAAGGGGCACGAGCCAGCGCCCATCTGGAAGTGCATGCAGTCAATAGCCGACATTTTGCTCCTGCAAGTTTTGAAGAATTAGAGGGATCCATATGGGCGTGAATGGTGTAAGTGCATGCGCACAGAGAGCGCAGTGCAAAAGCGGGTTCAAAGCATCATGTTTCCTAGAGGCTGCGACCTACTTGTATCCGGCGATGACAGCTGCTTTTTCCTCTGGTGAAAAGACCCACACACTATGAAAGAAGCAGGTTCAACACGTGACACTGTCGCCATGCAGCTGAGTGGTCAACGTGGTCATCGTGTCGTACCTGGAGGGGACGACAAAATAGGAGATAGTTCGACAAATGGGGCAGGAGCGGACAGCGCTCCCCTGTTCGTGCTTGGCACGCCATTCACGCAGGCATTGAAGGCAAAAGGCGTGGTCGCAGTTTGGCAAAATCCCAAACCTGCACATGCGACGAAGAAAAAGCGGTGTGAGCATCGGGGCGAAGCGCGCGCGCGCGCGCGCGCGTGTGTGTGTGTGTGTGTGTGTGTGTGTGTGTGTGTGTGTGTGTGTGTGTGTGAAACGAGGCAGGTCTGCGGTGGTACACGTAGAGCATGTGGTCAGCATACCGCCTCTGTGAGGCCGTGGGCTTTTCCAAGACTGGTTCCATGCAGATGCAGCAGTCAATCGCCTTGCTCCGCTCCTCTACGTCTTGTTGCTGCAAGTACAAAGGCCGCCGTTCATGAGGTCGAACAAGGCAGACTGCAAAGAGATGGTGCGTGTGAAGTAGAGCTGCAGCTGTTCGAGTGATGCAGCAGGGCCTACCTCATGCTCGCGGGCCAGCTGTTCGTAACAGGCATTGGTTTGAGCATCGTGTTCTTCAGGTGCGTAAGGATGCAGATGTGCGCGACCACAAGCGGGGCAGACGAGTCCATGCAAATGAATACAATCGTCATCCGGGCATATGCCAAGGGCCATGGCCATGGGGCAAAGGGGCGTATTCTAAATGCCAAAGCAACAAAGTGGGGTCAGCTCGAGCGGGTTACACATGCCTTCAGATGTGTAAATCGAAAAGGCACGAGTTTGTCGATGCAAGCTGGCCAAGAGATGCCAAACCTCATTGTCTTCTTCGTCATCCGGGCTGCCGCTGCTTTGAGCGGGTTGAGAGCCACGCGCAGCGTGTGCAAAGGACACTGCCACAAACATGGGTTAGCGAAAAAGATGACAGCGGACCACATACATGGATGGACACAGCTTCGAAAAAACCCACCGGCGGTAGCAGGGTGGGTGGCTGGTACGAATTCTGGGGCAGCTAGCCATTTCTCGTGAAGTTTTGTCTCGTATGCCTCCTTTTTCGAGGGCAAGATGATTCGCTGAGGGTTATGGAAGACATGCGAATGCACAAGGAGAAGTGAGCATGCTTCCGACAAACAAGAAAGCACGGGCCACCAGTGTTGCTCCGGCTGACCTTGACTTGGGGTCGGCTCTCTGGTGGCTTGTTGGCTGTTGTGGAACTGAGCGGTTGTGAATGTGGGCTGTGACATTCATAGAGAATCGAAAAAAAAAAAAATCAGTCTTCAAGGCTGCCAAACCCGAGCGGTTTGAAGGGCGGGCTTGGCCCGTACCGATTGGCGACCTGTGCAACTGCCGCTGCAGCTGGTCGCTGCAGAAGCGCTACTTTGGGCCGGGCGGGCTGAGCCGTCGTGCGCTGGGGTTTGACATGATCGTAGCGACACTTGTCGCCATAGGAGCAATGTCCCTGCGGGGGGGCAAGCACCAGGCGGAATGTCATTCATTCTGGAGGGGGAGCAATTCTAGTCTTGAGCCAGCAGGTGCACGTGTGTGAACCGGCCTTGGTTCAGGTCGAAGGGACGAGTAACGGACCTGGAGATAGTACTTGCAAACGCTCACGGCATTTCGGGACTTCTTGTCATGGGAAAATTCGCAATCACTGCCGAATCGACATTGGCTGCACGCACGGGCGACGAATGAACGTCAGCATGCGAGCCAGCGCCCAAGCAAGCAGCGCGATGAGGTTCGAGATCTGACCCTTGCTGGAAGTACCGGCACGGCACATCCTTCTTGCTGCTCATATCGGTGGTTCTTGGTCTGTGATGTGGGAAATGTCAACCTCAGCCAACAGAGGAGGCGGGAGTAGCTGAGCGATGAGCGGCCAGGGAGCGCGAGTGCTCCCGTCAAGGCCTTGGGGAGTTTTGTTGAAATTGTCTGACAATGGCATAACCGGTTGGCGGCTGTTTGCATAACGAGCAAAATTAGACGTAGTTCATCAGCTTAATTTAGATGATGACATCAACCCACGTTGCAATGAGAGAGAAAAGAGAGAGAGAAGAGAGAGAGAGAAGAGAGAGAGAGAGAGAGAGAGAGAGAGAGAGAGAGAGAGAGAGAAAGAGAGAGAGAGAGAGAGAGAGAGAGAGCATTGGTAGAGAAGACATAAAGAGAGAGCGAGAGAGAGAGAGAGAGCGTGTGTGTGTGTGTGACTGCAAGGCATAAAGAAAACGCACGCGGTCAGACTGTGCTGCTGTGCGCGGTCATTTGTTTTTCGGTTTCGGACGTCGCCTCTTGTGTTTCTGGTTGGCGTTGTTGCTCCGCGCGCATTCGTGCCAGCACCTTTTGGTTCTTGACTTGGCAAAGCGACAGACGGTCGTCGTAGTACATACCCGTGGGGTTTCAGGCGTGGTGAGTGTGTGGGGGTACGAGCGACCACACGTCAAGTTGGACTACCCCGGGCCGCGTGTACGCACCTCATTCTTGTCGCACTTTTCTGACCAGCTGTTCTTGACGTTGGCTTTTGCCTGCATAGTTTTGGTGCTTGCTCCTCGACCAGGAATCATGGCTGTCCGTGCTCAATTCGAGGGCAGCAACGAGATTGGTGTCTTTGCCAAGCTCACCAACTCGTACTGCCTCACTGCGCTCGGCGGTTCCGAGAACTTTTACAGGTTCGTGGCTGGGTCGTGGGCATGCATCTGAACTGAAGTTGACGGGGTGTCGTTTCTTTGTCGCTCATGTATGCGCACTACTTTTGCCCATGATCTGCACAGCATTTTCGAGAGCGAGGTCGGCGAGGTTGTGCCCGTCATTCACTGCACCGTGGCCGGAACTCGCGTTATCGGCCGCCTGACGGCGGGCAATCGTCACGGCCTTTTGCTGCCCAACACCACCACCGACCAAGAGATGCAGCACATCCGCAATGCCCTTCCCGATGCAGTCAAGGTTGGCGTGGGCCTCGTTCGACTGCCCCGTTGCCTATCTTGTCCCCTTCTCCCATCGCTCGAGGATGTGCCATTGAGGATGTGCCATTGAGGATGTGCCATTGCCAGCCTTGATAACATGAAACGGTGCTGCCTGCTTTGCGACTTGAATGTGCAGGTCCAGCGCGTGGAGGAGCGTCTGTCGGCTCTGGGCAATGTGATTGCCTGTAACGATCACGTGGCCCTGGTGCACCCTGATCTGGATCGTGAAACGGAGGAGATTATCATGGACACACTCAACGTTGAGGTGTTCCGTCAAACCGTGGCAAACCATGTTCTTGTCGGCAGCTACTGCGCTCTCTCCAACAATGGCGGTCTGGTGAGTCTGGTTACGGATGGGTTTCGTTTCTTCTTTTCGGTTGATCATAGATGCGACGTTCGACCTGGCGGTGCGTGTGTGCGTACATTGAATGCTTCCGACTCAAACCCTTGTTGGTTCCTTTGCTTCCATCTCCCTTACCAGGTTCACCCTCACACTTCTATTCAAGACCAAGATGAGCTGTCCTCTCTGCTCCAGATTCCGCTTGTTGCCGGTACCGTCAACTATGGTAGTGATGTTGTGGGTGGCGGCATGGTCGTGAACGACTGGGCCGCTTTCTGCGGCCTGGATACCACCAGCACTGAGATCTCGGTCATTGAGAGCATATTCAAGCTGCAGGACCGCAAGCCCATGTCCATCATGGAGGAGATGCGCGACCCTCTTCTTGACTACATGGCTTAAGTTGTTTTGACGTTTTGTTTCCCTCTCCTTGTCATTCTGTTCCAGTGTTTTCTATCCTTGGTGTAGGTTTTGTGCGTGTGGGTGAGTGGTTTCTGCTCCTTCCTCGAGTGATTTCCCCCGTTTCGGGGGTTGTGGGCTCAACGGCGTCCTGGAGCTTGCGATGCCTGTCTGTGTGAGCATATTCATGAAGCAACAATCCACCTTGAAGAATGAGTCGAAGGGCATCCATGTGTGCTTCATATTATGTTGATAATCATAAAACATGCCCCAGCTCTATATTTCAACGTGTTGTTGTGGAGTGGCAACTTGGCCGCCTATTCAGGCGGCCTCCGTCTTACAGCCAACCATGACCAAGAATCAATCGGGGAGAGAGAGAGAGGAGAGAGAGAGAGGAGAGAGAGAGAGGAGAGAGAGAGAGGAGAGAGAGAGGAAGGAATATAGGGATGGCGGAAGAGAGACAGCGTTGTTGAAGAACAAGGACCACGGCGGTCATGGGGTTATCAAGGCCAGGAAATGGGCACAATTGGTCGTCCCTGGCTATCGTGTGTGCGTGTCGGAATAAAACCCATAGCTCCCTTGGGATCACGCTGTTGCGGCTGATCAATCTGTGGCAATGGGGAAGACAAGAGGAATGCATGAGGGAGACGGTGTTGGTTGATGTACAGCAATGTAGGGGCACCTACCTTGCTTCGCTTAGCAGCTTGTGGTGTTCTTGGTGGACCAGCCAACACACTCTCGCTCAGCGAGAGTTGACTGAGGTTTTCCGAAGCATCGCTGCAACCCAGACCATTTCGATGAGACACCGATTTGGGCGATGGAGACGGTCATCAACTACCTTCCAAAACATCAAGTGGGTGGCCAGGTAAAGCGGCGCACTTACGCCAGACGCTTGCCAGGCTTTTTACGCGTTCGGCGTCGCGGGGCACGTTGCGGACGCGGTGCAAGATGAGTTTGGAAAAGGTCCAGCGCCCGAGCCTTGGTGGTGGCGTCGCGCCCTGGATCACCGCTCACGCGAGCCCACTCTCCCAGATCACAGCCGCGCGTGGCCAAGAGCTCCAACAAGTGCTCCAATGGCAGGGCATGGGCATTCAGCAACAGCATCGGATCCGCCTCTAGCCCCTCCTCTCGCCCCGCCACCTGCCCCCCGTGCTCCAAGGCGTCATCACCCTCATCAGCCTCCACTTCCATCCCACCTCCTCCCCGCCACTTTTTTTTTCCACCAAAAAGTCTGACATCACAGCGCGGAAGAGCTCCACCCCACACACGCATGTGCACGATTAAGGTTGTAAAGCGTTGATAAGCCACACCCCGCGATACGTAGCCCTTGCTTGTCAGCAAAAACGTATCGCGGGCGAGTCCAGTTGAAAAGTGTAACCTGTGCTACACTGACGGTCAAGGCTGGTTGAGGTTGAGGGTGTGGCCAAGTTACGCGGTCACTGGTTCAATTTGATCGCGTGAGTGTGGTGGTGGATCACTCCCTTGTCCAGGTACGATATACTGGCGGAAGTGGGTGCAAACGGCAGCGCCATTCGCGTCGCTATTCCCGATGTGTCATCGCTGTGAGGGGATGGGAGGGGTGGGCAAGAGGTGGAAGGAAAAAACATCTCGGACAGGGGCCATGATTTCCTTTTTGGATCGGGTTGAAGGCGTACAGCGGACTCGCCGCCGTCTTGCTCTGCTTGAGGAAGAGGATTGCACAGGAAGGGTTGAGCACTGTCGTAACTTGTAGCGGACCACGACACGCGCAGGGTGGTCATGGCGAGCGAGGGTGCCAAAGACGGCATGTGTTGGCAGGGCAAAGCGGGGGTGTCGCAATCTTCTCATAAGCGCTTGAAACTTCTCATGAGCCGTGCACGGGGGGAGAGCTTGCTGTCTGCCACTTTGGCGTGTCGTCTTTTCTCATCGACCATTTTTTGGAATCTCTCGTTCTTTCCTCTGACTCTCCGCAATGCTGTTCGCAGATCCTTTCCACGCAACCATTGCCATGTCGGAGGCCGCTGCCCCGGACACGGCTGCCGCTGCCGCTTCCAAACCGGCACCAGCAGCCAGCGAACAGGCCTCAGCAGCCAACAAGCAACCTCAAGCACCTGTGGAGGCATTGAGCGCTCCGTCGACTCCACAACAGCAGAGCTCAGCTGAGGGTCGCCAGTCCTCCACCTCAAATAGTGCCCAACGACGCAACAAAGGCCGCCAGTCCTCTCGCAAGCAACACGGCCGACACAAGCAGCAGCAACAGGGGCAGGGGTCTGACAACGGCGAGGGTCGGGGAGAGCACACCCCTCAATCGCAACACAACCAGGGCAAAGGCCGCAAGCAAAACAACGCCAACGGTCCCAGGGACTCACCTGCTGGATCCAAGGGCGGGCGCAACCCACGCACCCCACGTACTCCCAAAACGCCACGCCAGAACCAGCACCCTGGCAATCGTACCCCACACTCCAGGGGCTCGCACCAGTCTCGCAGTCCGTACAACTCGCCCTCGTCTTCATTCCGCAAGTTTGATGAATACGTATGTGTGACTTGTGGGCCGTCCCCCATCCACACCCCGCCCTTGTTTGCATGATATGGCATGATCATACCCATAGCCTGTTTTGGCGTCTCTCAGCGCCGACGGGGTCCTGCCCTCACATGTTTCTCGTGCTCGACCCCGACAAACGCAGTGGTCGCCCGAGGATGTCGCCAAGGGCATTGCCGATGGATTCGTCATTCAGGCGCCACTGCGCGTCAACGCCAAAAACTATGAAGAATGCTTTGTCTCCTGCAAACGGTTTCCTCGGGACCTCATCGTGCCCTCTTTCCAGGCCCGGTGCGTACGCGAATGGAGAATGTCGCCTGCCTGATTCCCCAACCTCTCGTACCCGGGAAGAGAGGGGGGTTTGCTCTGTCCGTCTCATTTGGGGCCCGTTTTCATCACCGGCCCGACCTGACAGAAATCGTGCTTTTGATGGAGACGTGGTCGCTGTTGAAGTTCTGCCCCAACATTGCTGGCGCATCATGCACAGCGACGCTGTTGCCGCTGGTAGGCAGAAGGAAGGCGTTTCCGTTCGTGTGCACAATGTTTCCTGTCTCCGTCCTCGTGTTGGCTAGTGATTGCTCACGTGCTTCTTCCTCAACGGCTCTCAGGGTATCAAGTGCCTCCAAACCACATGCAAACATGGGAACAGGCCCTTGTGCCCTACAACATCGCACCGGCTCAGAAGCATGGTATGCCGTGCCTGACCTGCGTCAGCCTCCCACCGCGATTCTTGGCTGGGCGCAACTATCCTCGCTCCAGCGGTGTGTCTCACGTTGTCCGTTCGCTCATCACAGGTAACGCACAACGCAACCGCATCGCCACAAATTCAGCGCGGCGTCATCTGGCGCACGCCCTCGGCGCGGCATCACCTCTCTCGCCCATGAGCCCTGCCGCCGACGCCGGTGCTGCTACGAGCGAGGCAGCGCTGTCATCGGCCATGGCACAAATGCATCTCCAAGATCCAATCTTGACTCGCGTCAATGGCATTCCCGCCGAGCATCTACAGCCCGTGGGTCGCGTGGTTGCCATCATCAAGGCACCGCCTCCGGAAGAGCGTCTCTTTGCTGGCTTTCTCAAACGGCGCGATCAAGACCAAGATTTTCTCCTTTTTTCTCCCAAGGACAGTCGCGTTCCACGCATGCGGGTGCCTGCCCACAGCGTGCCCGACGAAGTCGATGATAAAATGCTGGTTATTGTGTCTTTTGAAGAATGGACTGCCAAGTCACGCTTTGCCCGTGGTAGCTTCAAGCGTGTCCTGGGTCAGGCTGGCACCATTGACGCCGAGACTCAGGCCATTCTTATGGAGTACAAGATTCCATTTGAAGACTTTAAGCCACACGTTTTGAAGTGTCTACCCAAAGTAGACGAGAAACACCCCTTTGTGATCCCCGATGACGAGGTAAGCGTCTGTCTCGCGTGCGTGCATCATGGGCCACGATTCGTTCACTCCAAGCGTGGCTATCCCTTGTTGGCTTGTGGCTCATGCACCTGCCACGGTTCTTTGACCGCCTTTGGCATTGCTTTAGATTGCCAAGCGCCGTGATTTGCGCGACGTGCGCATTTTTACCATCGACCCATCAACTGCACGGTATGTCCTTGCCTTGTATCTTCCTTGCCTTATCGTTGGTCAGCCAAGCTCACGCCCACGCCCACGCCCACGCACGCTTTCTTTGCGCCATCGGCTTAGTGATTTGGATGATGCCCTGCATTGCACGCAACTACCGGACGGCAACTTTGAGATGGGCGTACACATTGCGGATGTCTCATACTTTGTCGAGCCCAATACGCCCTTGGATGAGGAGGCTGAATTCCGTGCCACTTCAACGTATTTGGTCCAAAGTGTCTATCCAATGCTGCCCCGCCTTTTGTGCGAAGGCCTTTGCAGTCTCAACCCCGATGAAGATCGGCTAGCCTTTAGTGTGATCTGGGTTCTGGACCCTGAAGGCAATCGCAAGTCAACATGGTTAGTGGCCAATTCTTTATCGCTTATTTCGTTACTTGATTTTCTTGCGCCCATGTTGTTGCTTTTACTCCCATGTGGTGTGATGTTAATGTGGACAACATGCTATACACACTATCGATACCAAGCTCACTGTGCTGACATCTTCTAGGTTCGGCCGAACCGTCATCCGCTCGCGCTGCAAACTGGCCTACGATCATGCCCAGCTCTTCATTGATGATGAAAGCAAGGAGTGGAATGACGTTGAGTTTCCTCGCCTGTCCGCTGACACGCAAGGCGCAGATGTCAAGGCCGACGTTCTCCGCATGAACCACATTGCACAGCAGATGCGCGACCGTCGCTTCGCCAATGGTGCACTACGTCTCAACAAGACCAAGCTTTCCTTTCGCCTGGGAGAGGACATGCTACCCGTCGAGACCTGGCCTTATGTGCAGCGCGCTGCCAATCAGCTTGTAGAGGAGTTTATGTTGTTGGCGAACATTTCCGTGGCGGAGTGCATTGCCAAGGCGTTTCCACAATGCGCACTGTTGCGTCGCCATCCTGAGCCTTTTACCAGCCGCCTTGAGGAGGTGGCGGCCCGCTTTCAGAGGGTTGGTATTCCCTTGGATACCGGCTCGTCTGGCGATATCGCCGCATCCATTCGTGCGTATCAGGAAAATGAGCAAGATCAAGGCCGCGTCGAGGTCATGCAGCTTTTGCTTACCATGGTGCGTTGCGTTCGTTTGCATTTCAATACGCCGCGTTACGTGGCAAGGGTGAGGGGATGTGAGGTGTGGGCTCGGTGCCAGGTACGTTGGTGCTAATTTTTGTCGTGTGCTTGGAATGGTTTTGTGGGTGGCAGGCCATGCAACAAGCTGTCTACTTCTCAACTGGGGACTCAAAGCTGGAGCAATCAGACTGGAAGCACTATGCGCTGGCCACTCCCATGTACACCCATTTCACCTCCCCAATTCGGCGTTACGCCGATGTGGTGGTGCACCGTCTGCTCTTGGCTGCACTTGAGAACAAGGAAACCTTTTACGAGCACGACAAGGTTCAGAAGGCAGCTGATCGCTGCAACGAGCGCAAGCTCAACGCCAAAGAAGCCGGCAACAAGTCCATCGATATTTTCAAAAACGTCATGGTCTATCACCACGGTCCTTTTGAGGAGCCTGCCATCGTCTATCGCGTTCAGGATCGCAGTATGGATGTTCTTGTTTTGCGTCTCGGCTTGGAGGTGAGTCGGGGTTGCGTGCCACCTCATTGAATCTCTGCAGGTCCTTGGGGCTCACTCATTTGTTCGTGTGTGTTCATCCGTGGCATCACAGGTGCGCCTGTGGTACGACAACATGGGTGTAGCCCACTATCAGCACGATAGCAAAGCTGAGTGCGTATATACTTTTTGTCTTCATAGCCTCGATTAACCCGCGACAGCGTCCTTTTCAGGCTTTGCAATCCTCATCTTCTCATTTTCCATTGACAGGACCGTAAATGTGAGCTGGGCAAGTGGCGAGGTCCTTGAGGTGCGCTGCGCTGGTCCACCTTTCGAGTTTCAACTGTGCATGGCGGACACGCTGTTCGGTGGAGTGCTTTTGGGTGCCTATCTCACTGAACCTGCCCATTTTTGTCTCGGCCTATGTGATCTTCTTTCTGCGTTGTAGATTCAATTCTTGACGCGAGTGCGCTTATTGCTGGCGGCAGAGCTGACATCGCATTACACGTTCACACCACGACTGCTGGCTTCTAGCGAAGCCGAGGTCAAGAGCATGGGCGAGTAGGCGGCTTCCTTCTCAAGTTGTGGATTACGGTGTTGCCAGGAGTTTTTGGGTCATGTGGCTGTCTTGTGTTGTGTTTTGGTGTGCGCACTGTTATGGCTGCTTTTGTTGTATCAGGAGTGCTGGCGCGCGGCAAAGAGCCGGCAAGTCATATGTCTGCCTGTCAATCAAAAGCGAGTCAAGTGACAAAGACAAATTTCCAAATGTGTGCATAAGAATGAGCCTGGCCCAGTCCATGGTACCACGGGATTTGATGCTCAACTTATTGAGAGCTGGCTCACAAAACAAAAGAGCCAATTATCATGTCAAAAAACGGTCCCTGGTGATTGTCATTGGCCAACTAGTTAGCTGACGACCGGGCTGGTCATGTCGGTGTGGCGACGAAACTTTTGACTAAGCTTTGCTGTCGGCACTGGACGGCACCTTTTCTAGGTCGCGCTTCATCTCCTGCACGGGCGACCAACACAGTTGCGCATCAGCCGACATTGATTGCCAGAGCTTACGGATGGTCGAGAGTGCAGTGTGGCGGGGTTGTAGCTTACCGCGCGCTTGACCAGCACGTAGCCAAGTGAACCGCCGAGGACGAAAACGTTGCCAAGCCACCATGTGGCCGTGCGGCTCTCGTCGTTGAGCTGCAGGGCCAAAATGGTTTGAGCGCACGCTTTGCTGGTGCCGCTAATGTTGTGGGTCAACGGGCTTGTGACATTAATCTGCAGCATGCTGACCAGCCCAATGGCGATGCCAAGCAGGCCAGCCACGGTCATCAGGAACCAGTAGTTGCCAGAGTACACATCCTCCGAGGCGGCAATGTCAGGAATTTCGCCCATGAAGGTGATGACGGGCAGGAAGAGAAAGATGGCGTTCATGTTGTTATAGGCTGTCAGCTTCCACATGTCGTTGTCGACAAAAGGCATCACCTTCTTGATGTAAATGGCGTTCAAGGCAACACACAGCGAGGCCAGCACACCGTACATGATGCCTGTACGTAATGGACAAGCACGGACATGAATGAGCTTGATAGGGCGGCAACATGAGGCAGCGCTTCTTTCAAGCGTCGGGGCCTACCAGCCATGGTCAGGTCGGCTTGCTCCTGTTCCTTGTTGACGCCGACGAAAAAGCCAGCAACAATGACACCGCACATCAGAAGGGCGGGCATGGAGGTGCGCTGCTGGAGCATGAAGAAGGAGAGAAGCTAGAATGCGGGGCAGGAACAGGATGGGTACGCAATCAAGGAGAACGAGTCAGTGAGGCACTTGCGCTTGCACGCCTGCGCAGTGTGCGTGAGGCATGAGTGTCATGTCTGCAAGGACGTACCACGTTGAAGATGGTGGTCAAGGAGCGGCCGACGTTATAAAACGCCACGCCCACAAATTTAAGGGCCAGGTTGTTGAAAGCAATCATGCCCACAAAGACCAGGCTGAGGGGCAAGACCTAGGCGCATCAAGACATGGTAAGAGTTTGTCATGGCTCCTAGCTGCGCTCACGCCTGGCAGAGAGGTGCAGGAGCCCACCTTCATGGCAACGTGCGTGTCAAAGGCGAAGCGGGGAAACATCTCCAGAGCGGGATGGTAGGAGCGAAGCTCGCCCAAAATGAAACAAGTCACCACGGCGACGACGCACTGAAACCAGGTCACAAACATGGGCGCGTCCAACTATCAAGACGGTCCCGCGGGCCGGAGATCATGGCAAGTCGCAAAAGCAGATGCAGGCCAAAGTAAGGCGTTGAAGGCCAGCATGTTTGGGGCATAAAGGTTCCGGCTCGATGGCAGACGCACAAACGCACCGAGACTTCACTCAGGAGATACTTGTTGAGGAATACCATTGAGATTGAGACGACCCTAGGGTATTGCCATCATTGGCAGCGCAGGCAGCATCGTTGAGGCGCATCACACCACCGAGTCTCAGTCCGGTGCCACGAGCCCGCCATTTGGCCTACCAGTAAAGGGCAACGACGAAAGCAATCTTGATCGAGCGCTCTAGGAGCGTCGCATCTTGGCCGGGGGACATGGCTGCTGTTTCACAAAGCAGCAGTGCCAACGCCCAGGGGCAAGCTCACAGGAAGGGGCGCGCCAGCCGGGATCGAGGCTGAAACGAGGAATGGAATGTGCCCCCTCTTGCTGACGCTGCAACACCATACACGCTGTCGCAACCCACGATTGCAGGATACGTTCTTCGATGAGTTTGCCCGCACAAGTTGATCAAGAGCTCTCTTCTTTGCACCCCTTCCACCTCTGCAGCGCTGCCGGTGCCATATCGTTGCGGGATCAGCCAGTGCGTCGACGCCGTCACACACACACACACACACACACACACACACACACAGAGACTCACCAACTTGTCGAACTCGTCGAAATTCAAAATTCCTCTGACAAATTGGAATTGCCGTAAAACGTCAGATGAAAACTGGGTCTCCCGGAAGATTAGAAGACTAGTGCAGACTGAGCGCGTTGTCGTTTTCCTCCACCACGTGGCACTCTGAGGAGAAGAGAGAGAGAGAAGAGAGAGAGAGAGAGAGAGAGAGAGAGAGAGAGAGAGAGAGAGAGAGAGAGAGAGAGAGAGAGAGAGAGAGAGAGAGAGAGACACCTTTTTTTTTTTTTTTCCCACATTGATGTTTGAACCTGTGGCAGTGGCTTCCTCTCCTGAGCTATTTTGATCAGGGCGTGCGGTCTTGGAAGGCAGGAGGGGTGGGCAGTTTTTTTCTTTGAATCGTTTCCCTGTCTCTCGGGTCGGAGAGGCTGGGGTCCGGTACGTCACTCCATGTGGCGGTAGATACTGCTTTTGTCGCCGCCGGCAGCGCCGAGCCCGGCCGGATTCCAAGTCGTTTTATCAAAGCCTGCCATGCAGCGGCTCGTGCAGCTGCCGCGCTTGGCCGTGCGCTTCCAGAGATCCGTCTTTCACGGTATGTCGTTTCCCTTTTCACTAGTCGCCATCCCAGCTCCTCACTCTGATTCATACTCACTCGACCACGTGGCCTGTGGTGGCTTCTTCCCTCCCTCAGCTCGTCATCTCGGTGCAGTCGCAAGGGCGTCCGCCTTCAGTACTGGTGAGTGAGTTTGAGGTTGCTGTTTTTCTGTTCTTTTTTCCCCTTTGTCTTTTGCACCTTTGCCACGCAACAGCCATCATGACGAACATCCATTTCGTCCATGTTGGATGCCCTATGGGCGTGTGGCCAGAGCAATGATCGACTGTGGCAGCGCTTGACGTTGATATATACCATGCCAAGCGCAATCTTTTGATCGACACTTTGTTATATTCAAACTATACGGCTTGCCGTGGCTTGTCTGTTTGATCGGTCAATTCTCACGTCATGCTATTGGACGAACCTGTGGTTCTCCTGTAGGCCCCACTTCTTACGATGCACCGCGTGCGTCGTTGAGCGCTCCGCCAGCGGCGCAAGCCGCCAAGCTTCCGGTTCGTTTCAGACCACTCGCATCTGAAATCCTTGTTCGTGTGAATGCCATTCTCCTCGACAGATCAAATGCTGACTGCCTGTCCCGTTCTTCTTTGCCCTCATGCAGGCTGAACAGTTTACCACCTTGGTGGGCAAGGAGAATGCTGCGGCTGTGGCGCTCCTCGAGAAACACACCCTTCCAGCTCGACTCGTGCAGCGCCTGGTCACCTCAGCCTCATCGCGTCAGGAAACGTCCATCATCGCCCGCATCTTTACACTGGCTTGTCAGCGAAACATGATTTTGCCACGCCTGAGCTACAACGAGATGCTTCGTGCCGCGATTTTGGGCCAAGACTTGTCGCTGAGCCGTGCCATTCACGCTGAAATGCGCCGCCGACTCGTGCCACCCTCTACCAACAACGTGTATGCTTGGATCGATGCTGTTTTGGCAACCACTGCGTCTTTGGATCACCCTGAAACAATGACAGTTCTCCAAGAGCTGGCACACTGGCCTACGGCCTTGTCCTCGCGTCGAGTTTACGCATCATTGCTGAATCACGCCCACACACCGGAGCAGATTGCGGCCTTGGTCCAGGACATGGAGAATAACAACGTGCTTTCCTCCACTTTGCTGAGCACGGCACAACAGCGGGCCCTGCTGTTGACAGAACAGATGCCAGAGCCACCTTTTAAGCTCTTCCTAGCTCTTCATCGCGCCCAGAAACGGTGTCGACTGCGACCAGACGCTGCCAGTAGTATGGACATTATCAAAGTTACTGCCCGTCACCCTCAACTCCTTGGTACCCTGGGCTACTTGTACCGGGACTTTCGCCGAAGTCAAGCGATGGTCTCAAACCCGGATGATCTGAGCCAGCTTATCGCGACCGTGGCGGCCACCGTCAGCCCGGCTCGCCGTGACACGATGGACAAGTAAGTTTATTCATTCTGACACTTCGCGGTCGACTTGACTCGAACATTTTAAACATTTTTCTTAAACATTTGTCTCACCTTTTCTGTTGCTGCTTTCAGAATTCACATTCACAGCGGCCTGCAGACCTTGACTATGCTTTTGCTGGATGCCCAAAAGACCGGCATGACGTTGACTGAGCTCGAGCCTTCGGCTCGCACCCTGCTCGATGCGTCGCTTCACCTTTCCAATTTTGCCGCGGCCACCGCCGCCCTACGCCTATTGCAACCCGTGCTTCAGAGCGAGGTATGTTTACCGTGCGTCTTGACTTATATGGCTGTCAAATTTCTACTTGTTCTCACAAGTCATGATTGATACCACATAGGCTTGGGATGAAGCGTGTGCCTCAACTCTGAGTGCGCTTGGAACACGGCGGCCCCGATTGCGAACCTGCTTGCCTTTCTTGGAGCTCGTGGCCGAGACAAGCAAGGAAGTTCAATCACATGCGTTGAATGTTACACAGCAATTGTGTTCGCGCATCACGGACATGCACATGTTGCCCAAGGCTGCCGCCAAGCTGAGTCGCTTTTCACAGCTTCACCTCAGCGAGGTCGTGCTCATGCGCCGCTTGACTGCCGCCCTGGCACAAGAACTGTCCCAACACGGACGTATTAGCTGCCTCCCGGTTCTGGCCTGCTCTACACCAGCTGGGCCAGACACCCCTTGGGTCCAAGCCACCCGCGAATTTGCTCTGGCGATTCGTGGGGTCGCTGACGTTGCAATGGTCGTGCAAAAGCCGATTGGGTTTCAAATCTCTGGGGACGCCCTTACGTTTCAGAGTCTTGAAGATGTCGTAACCCACATCGAATCTCAAGCTCTTACCACGGGCACGAGTCGCCGAGCTCCGCAGCGCGGATACTTTAACCACTCCGACGACGTAGTGTCGAGTGCTGTTTGAAACGCCTTGGCGGTATGATACATCTGGACAACTTTCATTTATCTATTGCCTGTGCCGACCATTCCCGTTGAGATTCGGCTAGAGCTCGAGCCAAAACGGCGTCCTCGTCTACATCTCCGTCTGAGGCGCGCAGCGCCGCAGCAATCATGGTCGCCTCTGTCTCGTCGAGTTCTGGATCGTGTGATGCCGTCGCATGGCCGTCGGCGCTGGACAATCGTAGAGCTTGCTGAAGCATGGCCTGCCAGATGGCAACATGCACGTCAGCATTGCTGTCGAGGATTGACTAGATGCTTGGACATCCTGTTTGACGTCCGATGTCATCTATTGAGGGCTGTGCCCAACCTACCTGTTCTGTTTGGGAGATGCTGGAAGCCGTCAGGGCGTCTTGCACTTGGGTGGCTTCTGTCTCATCCTGTGCGCATCCCATGCACCGTGAGTGTCATAAATGATTTTTAGCTACATTGAAGACTGCTGCTTGTCCTAGTCGAGCTAGTCAATATCCTCTGGTTTCAGCGCAGACCGTTTCAAGGATGCGTTTGGACCAGTGTTGTCCACAACTTGAGCAGTCGTGATGCTCAAGCAGAGTGGAGCTGAGCTCCTTTTTCTTTCTTACCAATCGATCTCTTCAAACCAACAATCTCTACCTTCCTGTCAGCATATGCTGCCTGCGTTTTGGGTTGTACTCACCAGCGTGCGCAGTCCGGGCAGGCCCAAGCCGATGCCAAAGCTGGGATGCTGCGGGTCATTGATGGCATTGTAGTGAACTTGACCATGGTAGCTTAAGCGAATGGGTGCCTCGCTGTGGCTGCTGCCTTGAAAAATGTTGATGGGATCTGTGGCCGACAAAAAAGGGGCGGGGGGAAATAGAAGCGGGTGCTTGGGATGAGCATTAGGCTTGAATGGGCGGTGGTGACGCAACGAGCCGACGTACGCGTATCATAGGAGTACACTTCGATGCGGCGATTGTAGATCTCAGACATGGCTTGGATTTCAACGTGATTACCATGTGTGGTTGGTCGAGCCTTGTGCTCGAGGTAGGCATCGAAATCTGTGGTCACGAATGCCTGAAAGTGGTCGCGATTGCGCCGCTGATGATTCCAGATGCAGGAAACACGCAACAGTCCGGTGAATGAAGAGGTCTCTCGAGGCAAGCCAAACGCAATGGCAGGTCCGGGTCAGCGAGGAGCGCGAGTCAGACACAGACCATGTGGTCAACGCAGGATGCCCGCACAGTATCGTGCATCTCTGGATCGCCATAAACATGATAGGCTGCACAGCATGTCAGCAAGTGGGTGATTAGCAAGGCAAGAGCGGTAGTGTCGAGCCCTGAGCCAGTTTGTGGAAACGCACCCACAGCGCGAAACAAGCAGGCTCCATCGCCCACCATGGGCACTATTTCCCAGCCATATTCTGCGCGGAGCGCCGAAGCAAACGCAACATCCGTCTGCCAAGAGACACGGGCGTAGCATCAGAGCATCACACCACCGCAGTCAAGGGCGCGGCGCGGCGCGGATGTGGTGGTGGTTGCCCAGCCAAGCCAAGCCATCCACACGCGTTCTTAGATGTACGGACAACAAGGCTGGCCTATCGGGAGCAGTCCGCGGCACGAAATGACTGACCTGAATTCGCCGTCCCGTTTCAGATGCGGCAGCGACTGCGGCATGGGTGGTCGAGGCAGCGCGGCCAACCAGGCCCTCATGGGGGTCATGAGACAAACGAGCACGTTGAGTTGCAGGGGGGCAGTCTTGCGGTCGACGGCGAGATAGATTGGCTGCCACAGCGTTGTTGGCTGACAGCTCCTGGGTTTGCAAGTCGTATTCAAAGCTGGGCCTGGGAGCTGCTCCCATGCGGCCTCGAGACCGCAGCTGTGTGTCGTTCTCTTTGTGGTCGTAGTCGCCGGAAAGATGTTGCCCTTCCCAGGCGCGACGTTGGAGCGATTGGTGGCGCTGCGCCTGCACTCGAGCTGTGTCGAGCTCTTGTCGCTGTCGCTGTCGTACAACAGTTGCGGTCCGAGCGCCAGGCTCATCGTCCTCTTCATCACTGTCACAAGAAAGCCAGCGCCGATTCGTTCTTCGCGGAGGAGGGCTCATCTTGACTGTGCCACGAGAACCAGAGAGGGAGAGAGAGGGAGAGAGAGGGAGAGAGAGAGAGAGAGAGAGAGAGAGAGAGAGAGAGAGAGAGAGAGAGAGAGAGAGAGAGAGAGAGAGAGAGAGAGAGAGAGAGAGAGAGAGAGAGAGAGAGAGAGAGAGAGACGTCGTCCCTGTCGTCGTGTCGTCTGTGCTGAAGCACACGTCAGTCAAAAGAGCAATAAAGTTTTGAAAGAGCTCTGTGTGTGTGTGTGTGTGTGTGTGTGTGTGTGTGTGTGTGTGTTTAGGATGACCAAACGCAAGAGACATCATCCAATAAAAATGTCATGAGTTGTTGTTGTTGTTGTTGGAAAGTTATGATGGCGATTACAGCGTGTCAGCTTAAACTTGGGTCATGGTTGGTGCGTTGTGAGTTGACGAGCTCGTTAGTCGTTGCCTGAGGAGGGCAAGTTGGAGGCTTTCGACGCGATTGCGGTAGACAGAATGTACAAATTGAGAAACATGTAGATTCGATTCAAGGCGTCAAAACAAGAAGAACTGCTGCTTCTGATCTTAGCCAAGCCAAACTTGGCACGGCAGACTTGACGAGACCTTCAGCCGCTGCACCGCCAATAAACAAGGTGGCGACCGGTAGCCAGAGCTCGAGGATCAACAAAGATTGTGTGACAAGAGATACTGGGAGTCGGAACATTTTTCATGCACACACATACATGCAAAGGGAAGGACACAGGGAACGATGCAGGTGCGCACTCTGGCCTTACAGGGACGAGACAGCAATCAGGGAGGCCAGGTCATACAAAGGACGGGCCACGCAAAGGCGTTCAAAAGGGGAAAGAAGGAGCCAACGGCAGTTTTTCAAAAACGAACAAACAAAAAATACAGCCCAGCCGGGAACAAAACTCTGGGAGCTTGACTAGCCGCATCGGCCAAAGACAACAGCGCCAAGGCCAAAAAGGACAGGGAAAGATAACCGAGACGGAAACTAGAGGGAAAACCAGGGTGAATGGACAAACTGCGGCTCAGCGGCCAGATCGAAGCAAAAGCGATGGTCGGCAATGACCGCGACATAAAATGATCTGGTGCTGAGCAGATTGGATAGACAAAACAAGACAAAGGACATACAGCCTAGACATGAAAGGTGATAAAGAGTGAACACTCACACCCTCGGAGCTCCTCCACTCTGCATGTGCCAAAGGTAGAGAGGGACAAGACAACAAAGAAGGATCCAGGGCACCAACACAAAGGGCCAAAAGGGAGAAATGATGTCTGGCAGCTCGAACCACACGCGTTTTCTCAACCACAAACTCAAGAAAGTTCCGTTGCGGGCAAAAAGGCCTGCCACGGTGTGCCAGGATAGCCCATGGCTACTTCCGGGACGGAAGACCAGGCCAAACTGGTCCGTGGGCGGAGGCAGTTTACACGAAACGCTCATTGTCTGGCTCGATGGTAAAGTCCATCCAAGCTTCGTGGATGGAGCATGTGGTAGCGGCGCTGCAAATGGAGGGTTCCTTGCCAGAGTCCGAGTCTTCCGCAGGAGCCTTGTTGTCGGAGAAGAGCTCGCCGTTGATAGAGCGTTGCTGGTTGTAATGGTGCTGCATTTCCGAGACAAAGGTCATGTAGGCTTCATGACTGTAGGGGTATGAGCCACCAAAATCAGTGGGAAGCTGGCTGGCGTCAAAGTGTAGCTTGAGATCGTCGTAGCCATGGGTGAGGACGCGCATGCGGCTTTGCATTTTGGTGCTCATAAACATCTTGATGACGGGGGCGACCATGCGCATGAACATGGGAGGATGCACGACGTAAAGGCCGGCAAAGCGGACCGGTAGTTTGTCGCGAAAGGCAGCAAACATTTCGCGGGGCACGCGAGAATCCATGTTGCGCATAGATATGCCGCTCATGTCGTTGACAAAGGCAACGCCCTTGGCTTGAGCCTCGGGAAAGCGCACCAAGAGGGACTCGATGGCCACGTGGGCTGCCAAAACAGCATATCGCGGGGACCAACGACCCGGGTCGGTTCGGCATTGGCGAACGGTAAGAACGTAGTGGCCGTCCTGATCGCGGTTGCCACAGGCTTCAACGACGCCGCGCTCAACGAGCGCGCGGTATTCCGAATCGTTGTCCACCGTGGTGCGATTGACGCCAAACTCGTCGCGCCACTTGATATAGTTTGTCACGAGGACGTACGCGCGTTCCACATTGTACTTGCGAGCGCGAAGACACGCCATCTGCCAAAAGGGGCCTGCACGCTCAAAGGTCGAGTTGCCACGGCCACGCACGACCAGGCGATCAAACAATTCCATCTCCTGAGCAGATCCAATCTCAATCGAGGTATCTGCATCGTCCACCTAAGAGAGGCGAGGGATGGCAGCGAGTGCGAGTGCGAGTGAGGGCGACGGCTTCCCCACTCGAGGCGGCACGCAATGGTATTGGAGGGGGTTATCCTACATCCAAATCATAATCGCCGAGTTTGCGCATGCTCTTCATGAGCTGACCCGTAGTGCGGGGTCGGTCAGCTTTGCCCATGGGGCGATCAAGTTCACACGCGCTCATGGTGGCGGTCAACGAGTGACTTTGGCAAAAACAAATGGACGCGGGAAAAGCTGGGGAACGAGTGGCAGCCTCGGCTGCCAGACTCGCACCGGCAAAAAGACAAGCGTCACGCGTCTGGTCGGCGCCGCTATCTCACGCGAGATACGCAAAGACGTGCCAAAATGCGGCAAAGGAAGGCAAGGCAAGAAAAAGCGAACACGAGACGTGCCCAACTAAATCACCTAAGCTTCCAGACAGAACAACGGCACAGCGATGAGTCAAGCCGGCCCTGACGCGACGAGGCACAACCAATCACGCAAAAGCCAAACGAGGAAAAGGAAGAGGAGAGGTCGTCGGTCGCGCGATGGAGATCACGAGTCCAACAAAAATATTCCACCCACGCGACGAGTGGGCCGACGCCTGCACAGCCAAACAGACACACCTTTGCTATCATTGACTCCAGACCCAACGATGAAGCAAGTCCAAGTCCAAAAGTCGAGCAAAGACGGTCTGCGGAGCGCACGGGCAGCAGCGCGTTTGAATGACCTTTACATGTAAAACAGACGAAAAAATTGAAACAGAGAGAGTGTGAGAGAGAGAGAACAAAAGAGAGAGAGAGAGAGAGAGAGACTGTGTGTGAGAGTGAGCGCATGCCACTAACGCAATCTCCCCCTTCCCACACACACACACACTCACACACACTCACACACACTCACACACACTCACACACACTCCCTTTTGGTGAATCTTTTGTGTGTTGTGTGTTGAGTGTGTGTGTGGATGCGCACCAAAAAAACGACGACGTTGTGGGAGTCGGGTGAGAGGGATGGGATGAATCGGGTGCTGCAATAAGGGAAAATACAAGCTAAAACCAGAGGTTGAGCTGGCAACTGAGCCCCCAGACACAGTCACGCGATCTGTTTGCTGACAAAGGTGGTCTTGCATACAAAAAAGCACTTGGGCTGTTTGTGCCGTTCAACAAACGGCAGTCGCGGTGAAGGAGAATGTGCGGGCAGAGAGAAAGTTCGATGTCAAGCGGGAAAAATGGGTGTGGCTGAGTCTGAGCCTGGCGACACCTCTCCGGTCCTCGCGCATGCGCTCGTAATCGCCCCGTGATCATCACTGCCCGCCGGCATCCCGAGTGGCGGACATCTTTGCCTCCATCAAAACACCTGTTCAAAACTATAGTTGTAAAATTTCGCGCGAAGTTTCGAATCCTCTGTTGACTTGACTTGACTTCCAGGTCGGATTTTTTTTTTCCCAGTTCTCCTTCTTTGGTCTGCTTGACACCATTCGCCGGGACGCCTTGCTCTCAGCCGGCCAATGACGGCGGGGATCCGATTCTTTCTCTCGAGCCGAGTCTCCTCTGAATTAAACACCAGAACCGCAGCGCAGCGCCGAGCTTTTCCAGGAGCGCTGCCTTGCAGCATCAACATTTCACCGGCAGCATGGCGTCTGGTCGCACCATCGCCAACATTGATCTCAAGGAAGATCTGGAGGCGGCCCTTGCTCTGATTGCCCAACTCCGATCCGAGAAAGACGAACTCTTCGTCCAAAATCAAGACCTGAATCTGCGCAGGCGCGAAGCTGAGGAGGTATGGCCAGCCACCCTCAGGAAGGACACACAACATCTCAGACGGGCCAGAGTAGGGACGGGCGGGAGGTGCGCGGGGTTGGGCAATGAGCGCGAACCCCCTGCTTGTGGGTTGCGAGGCCGCGCGGTCCCCTGCATCGGCTCACTCATCATCGTCAAAACCATTCATGGCCATAGGAAGCCCAACGGTTGCGTGCCCAACTCCAGGTTTGTTGTGTGCTGCCGCTCTCGCATCAGTCTTATGGAAAAGTTTGGTGCCACAGCCCTCTTTGTCCTCTCACTCCCCGGGCTGCCTTGTAGGGGGATGCTGGCGTTCGACTTGAAGAGGTTCGGCGTCAACTCAACCTCGCCGACGCCGAGCTCTTCCAGAAACAACAACAGGTATCTTTCGATTCCACCCCTCCCTCCAAGATAAGACACGCGCGATGCCGCCGAGGCGGCACCCTTACTCCAAAGGGATTGGGCGCTGGATCATAGTTTCAAAATCTCGTTGGGACAACTGCTGACATGGAGACCCTACGTGCAGCATACGTGGAGTTGCAGCGTAAGCACTGCACTTTCCCGCATCTCCACCCACTCGTGCCCGCCCATACTCTTCCGGTGGCGCACCCGGCCCCTGAATGATCTCACACCTTTACCTGGTCGACACGCAGAGGAGTTGGAACAACGCGCTATTGCCCACGAACGCGAGCTGCAACGCATTGAAGCCGCACACATTGAGGAGCTTCGCACTTTTGAAGACCGCGTCCTTGAGCGCGAGGTGGGCGCTCTTGTCCCGCTACCCAATCACGTTAAAGTTCGCGCTAGACTAACCACCCAAGCTTGCTCGTCTAATCCCGGTCTTTGTTTGCCCAACCAGCGAGAACTAGATGCCGAGCGTCGTCAAAAAGTCGAGCGGCAGCTTGGGGCTGCCTCTCAGCATTCAGCCCAAAAGCTACTGGAGTTGCAAGGCCTCTTGGAAGACGAGCGCACTCACCGCCAAGAGCTTCAGACGCAGCTCCACACGGTGTGCTATTCCGACCTCTCGGGCATGCTCCAGCCCTGCTGACCTAGCCCAGCTGCCTGCGTGGCTCTGTTGATTCAGTGCCTGCGCATGTAGATCTCATTGATATTGCCTCACATCCCTAGGAAAGGCAACGTGTTGCTCGCTTGACCGTGGAAGCAGGCGCACAACGCCAGCAAATGGACAGCGAGGACGCCACGTTTCAGCACCAGTTGGATAGTCTCAAGGTAAGTTGTCATGATGTCCGTCTGGCAATTGATTCAAGGTCATTTTGATACACTTTACCTACTCGTTTGAACCTCGGCTTCTTGATCATGCATGACCCGGCTTGTTTTCAGGCGGCCTTGAAGCTGGCTGAAGACGAACAGGCGCGATTGCGTGATCAAGTGCTTGCTGCAGACGAGGCAGCAGCAGCGCAGACGGTTCAACATGGGGAGCAGTTACGCGTCCTTCGTCGCGACCTCGGCAATGCTCGCAGCAGGTGGGCGCCTGCATTGCAGCACGAGTCGCCCCGCGCGCATGTAAAAACAAGCAAGCAAACCAACAAATAAAGTTTCAACTTGGTCTGCACGTCCAAGCTAGTTTCACTGGCATTACCTCTCATAAGATTGCCTCATGCCATTTCACAGCATTCGCAAGCTGGAGCGCGAACGCGGTGACTTGGGTATGTGCCCTTGTATGACCTCTTCAAACCGGGCGACCCAGCAGCGCTCACGTCCTTGCTCCATGCAACCTTGACAGAACTAGCCCACCAAGAACGCTTGCGACGGCTCGAGGCCGCATTGAAGGACTCTGAGGCCTACGCGACAGAGCTGGAGAGAAGCTTGCAAAACAAAGTGAGACAGGCCTTCTCAGACGTTCCCGGTGAGCTGCCTCTTCATGCCCATCCGGAAATGCTGACACATGCTTTTGAATTACGGCCTAGACGACGGAAGCCAAGCAAGAGTTATACGAGCTCCAGCATTCCTTGTTCGTGCAAATGCAGACGGTACGATTGCCCGCGGTCCGTCCTCGTACCGGCTTGCTAGCCTTTCGCCGACATCATTGCTGACCGTCTGGTATGCAATAGCTTCAAGCCGAAAAAGCTCGCCTGGAGGACCAATGTAGCACTTTGTCTCGGTGCGAGGTCCTTGTCCTTTTGTCTGTCGGCATAAACGGGCAAACTGAGCCGCCATGTGTTTCTTACTTCCTCACGCCTTGTCCTGCTGCCCCGCGCCAAATGCGCGCTCTTCGATGGATAGTGCGGCAACTGAGCAGCGTGATGCCAGCGCAGAGGTGCGCCAGCCTCTCGACAAGCCGGCCAATTAACCACATTCTTTCATCACAAACTTAGATCGCAAGTCCTCATGTGCAGCACGGGCATTCGCTTCTTAGGCAGCCCAGGCGCACCAAACGGCTTTGAGCAAGGCAAAGGATGCCCAGCAGGCGGCCCAACGACGTGTGACCGCGCTCGAGCAGGTTGTTCCTCATTGGATGTGGCCGGCGTGCAGAGAGTTTCCTCGGCGTGTCAAGAACCACCGTACTCTACTATGATCTAATTTTACTTGTTGACCCAATGCCTGCCTTCTCTTCTATTCGTTAGGAAAAGGTCCTTCTTGAAAAACGTGCCGCAAAGGCTGAGCACGCCGAGCAGGAGCTGACGCATGCTCGCGAAGCAGTGGCTAGGTTTGCACTCTTTTCCTGCTGTCAAGGGGTTTGGTGTTTTGAAATCCGTTGATCAAAATGCATGGGTTTGTTTTGACTCTGAGTAGTTTGGACTCCCGCTTCGAGCGATTGCGCGAGCAGCATCAGCAACTTCAGGTATGCGAGACAAGGCGCTTGTCAGAGTAGACCGTTGATCAGCAGCAAATCACCACTTGCAAAATAACTTGCTCTGTGGCCTTATCATTTGATGCCGGACTCTTTGTCATTCTGCTAGCGTGACCACGGAGTTTTGCAAACACATTTTGAAGCCACTAAGCGTCAGCTGGCGGAGCTACAGGTGAGCAGCTTCTACTCCCGGCAAGGTTTGGCTGTGTCGGGTCACATCTTTCAAGGATTCATCTGACCTTTACTTGTGCCTTTTGCTGACGTTATCAAAGTCGAATCTACAGGATGCACGCAAACAGCATGTTGATGAATTGGCAGGGGCTGAGTCTCGCTACGAGGTTTGTCCTTGGCGAACCTTGCCATGCCCCCACCAAAGACTGTCCACTGGCAGTGACTTTTGCCCTATCCGCCATGTTGATAGGCAGCCCAAGCACAGCATCAGCATCGTGAAAGCGAGCTGCAAGCCGCCATTGCTGAGCTTGAAGTCCGCTTCAACAAGCTCAGTGAAACTGCAACCGCATCAAAGGTGCGTGCAGTGTGACCGCAGGCTATCTTGATATGATTGTCGTTTGTCTCTCTGTGTATTTCGCTACCTCACCTCCATGCTTTCCGTCTTGCGTGATGTGTTGATTTTTTTCTCGCACTCTGCTGATGCAGTTCAAAGCCTCGAGCCGGCGGCGTGACTTGGAGAATCAGCTGGCCAGCTTGCAGCAGCAGCTCGAAGAATTGGTACGTTGCACATGTCTGGCCTTGTCATTCACTGCTTGATTGTACTGATGGTAATTGCACGCATCTTGTAGCAAATGGCAAAGGAAAACGTGGTCCAGGAGGCCGCAGAATGGCAGGCAAAGCATGACGCTCTTCAGGTTTGAGATGGCTACCTGTTTCGCCGTGACACGGAAAGGTTGTTGCCCAGACAAAGACTCAAGGAAAGCTCTCCCGTATCATGTTTCGGCCTTGCCCTCTACACATAGGCACGTGTTGGGAAGTTTGGCGTGGCTCTTGAAGAGGAGCGTCGCCGCAAGGGGGCCGAGCTTCTACGAGGCCCCCATGGCATTCCCGTGCGCCATATGCGCGCTGTTCAAGAACACCATGCCTATGATCAGGAGCTTGCTGTTCCTCTGACCGATATTTATCAACGCATCTCAACCTTTGACGAGCACCAAGGCGCTGTCCCTCCTCGCGTCAACCTCGTCACACAGCCACGCCGATGAAGAATCGACCAAGCTCGTTTGTCAACGACTATGCCATTGCTTCTTTCTTGAGATGGCTTCTCCCTTTCTTCTTGGCGCCTGGCGAAGGGCAATGACGTCAGGCGTCCAATTGGTCTCGCATGCTACAACTTGGTTCTTGCGGACCCAAAACATCCCCTTTGTTCTTCTTGAGTTCTGTTAGCTGTTTCCTCGTTTGCATGTAAATGCTGTGCCTCCTCCCCTCCCCCCTTTCTGTTGGCCAACCCGGTCCAATCGACGAGCTGAGCTCTTCACCCTCTTGTCGATTCATCACCCAGTCGTGGGGTCTAAGACAATCCACTTGGCCCCCCTTTGGTATTCTGATATGCGTTTGAGATCCAGCTTTAAAATGGGCTTGAACGGTGGTCGTTCATGTGCTAGAAAGCAGCAGCTTCGAGCTGCTCTGGTCTATGTCTGGGCCCAGAGCGCACCGAGTGCTGGCGGCGAGTCCCTCTGGCCATCCGCCTGTCAGTTGCCGGCCTCAATCTATGCGGCGCCAGCAAGAGATACGTGATGCAAACGAAGTACGGTTGGGTTGAGGAAACCAAATGTTGTAGCTCCCTTTATGATATGCCGGCGACATACGTGATGAGGGCCGTGAACATGACAGACAAAAGTCCAAGGAGAAGCGCGATCAGCACTGCCGGCCATGCTGAGCTTTCACGGCGCTGTTCCGCATTGTCTGCAAAACTGCCCGCAGCAGTGGAAACCATCTTCGTCGTTACGGGCTGCGTGCACTCAAATGACCCGTGCCGAGAGGCATGGCAATCTGCACTTTGTGGGCAGGTTCCGATTGGACAAAGACACGCAATCTGCCACTCGTCTATAAACTGCGGGGCCGATTAGAGTCAATGACGATGCCCCACAGAACCTTCAACACTGCACTCAAGACATACCAATTCGAACGCAAACAGTTGACTGCAATGTACATCCAAGCCGGTGATGTTATGATTTGGTGCAGTTCGAACCAACAATGCTGCAAACAAAAAGATGAAAGAAGACGAGCGGAAGAGAAGTTGCGAAATCAGGCCGTCATATTGTACCAATGATGTGTAGCAGCCAGTCATGGCAACACGGTCCACGACAAGTAGGGAAGGATACGACGGGCGATGTACACCTATACTCAATGTGACGCTGCGCAGACAAACCTGCGTCGACCTCAGACGCGGTACAACTTAAGTTATTTAGGACCACGTCACGGTCGGGCAGCAGCAGGATGCTGGCAACGATGACAACCAACTGCTGAACAAAGCTTTGGCGTTCATGGTCGCACGCCCTCGCCGTTCCGGATGGGAGGCGTAGTGTCAGGTTGAGCATGTTGATGGTAGGGCGGGAGCACATGCATGCGGCGGCCAGCAGTTCGGGCATCTGCGTCCGATTCTGGGGAAGACCAGCCGCTACGGCTTGCGTACGCGGCGGCGTCAAGCCTGAGACACTCACATTGTGCTCAGTAAACGGTGTTGGCAGCTGTTGCAAGGCCAACAGAATACGCCGACTGCGCCACAACAGCTGACCGTCGACTGCCCACCAGAGCTCATCACCCCATACACCGAAAAACACGTGGTGCCAAAATTGGCCCGTCGGATCAGCGAAAGTCCAGTTGGCTACGATGACCCGACATGTCTCCAGACTGTTGCCAACGGCGTCCCCAAACCTCCAGCACAGGTCGCAACTCGATGCATTGGCACACGCCAAGACGAGCGTCTGGCCAGCTAAAGTTTGCGATTTCCACTTTGTGCTGGCGGACAAGTGAATTTCCAAAACAGGTGCCTCTGTCCACTGCAACCAAATGCTCAAGGCACCAAACCCGAATGAGGTAGCATACGACTCCATTTGGGGCACCGCACCATCGTCAGACATGGCCATTGGCAACCCTTCCGGAACGCATGGGTCAAGGTTTTCAATCAAAGGCGCAGCCACACTCGCCACGGAGGGTGTGCTATTCGTGCTAGCCTGTAAGGGTACAGAGAGATGTGGCTCGTACATGTTTACAGTACCAGCACCGCTTTGCAAAGCCAGTAGCTGGCCCCGGTCATCGGCCGGCCAAATGATCGCGACTTCTTCCACAGAGGCAGCAGACATTCGAGTGGCGAGAGGACTTGCGTCGACCAACTCAGTTTGGCTGGCCCAGAGGTCAAAGCTACCGTTCGATAAACGTACGACCCAGAAAAAGGGGTGGGCCAACGGAGCTTGCCATCCTGCAAGGGACAAACGAGTTGCGGAGACTGCCTTCGCTTGGCTGATCTCCGTTGCGCCTTCATTTATGTTTTCTCCTGTGCTGTTTGCCAGCCCTGTGGAAGCGGAACTGTTGGATGTGGTCTTGTTCACACCAACAGCGCCTGGGCAGCTTTGCGTCAGCAACGTAGGCACAAAGGCACGGCCAGCTAAAACCTGCAGCAGCAGGCGTGCATCCTCGATGGTCACACGCCCATCAGCCGTGCTATCCAAGCACCGTAAGCATGCATCAGGACCCATGTTACGTAAATAAGCTGTCGTAGCCGAGGTCCCCTCCAACGCCAGTCGCAAGACTTGGGCCGCATCGCGAATATCAAAGCCACCATCCCCGGTAACATCCAAGGCTGCCCAGGAAGATGATTTTTTTGGGATCTGCCGCGCTTCGTAAGCCTTGGTCCAGTTCGAGTGCGCGGCGTTCCCACATGCCCTTGACGCTGCTGGCATGGGCCGCGGCGTTGACACTTTAGTTGTGAAGCTGCCGTTTGACCACCACACATCAAGTGACAGCAATGTGGTGTCAAAGGCTTCCGCTAAATTGCCATTGTTGATCTGGGCAAGCAAGAAGCTATCCTCATTCCAGAGGCTAGGCTCGTGGCAGATGACAAAGAGCGTGACAACGGCAGGTGTGCCAAATTGGACGTTGAGCGATGTTAAGCAGCCGTCAAAACCGCGCACTTGCTGAACAAAATCAGACTGGCCCACGACTTGCACAGCGACCGCCAGGCCACTGGGTCTGATGACGCTCTGATTCGCCGACCACCAAGTATGTAAGCCAAGCTGACCATCGTCTGTCCAATGCAAGTCCCCAGACTCGCCATCAACCTCAACCGCCAGTGAGAGGCTTGCGTTGATGCTCGGACCCATGACCGAGACAGTACTATTGCAACTAGTGCCTCGCACGTGCAGCGTGCTGAAAACAGGCGGGGCTGCCCTCATCACTGTCAATCCCTGATCGTTGACAGGAACTGCCAGCGTTAGGTTAAAGCGCGCCAGTGTTGCCGGTGTAGCAGGCAAACGTGCGCCATTCTCCAGGACGAGGACCGCTGGCAGGGCAACAGTGGCGTTGGGCAAGCCGCGCACCACTGCGGGGCCATTGGACGACAACGCGACGACTCCTTGCACCACAGAAGTGGAGTCAATAAGGGGTAAAGTTACGCCTTCGTGCAGGGCAAGGAGTGACACTGCCAAGTGCACAGCATCGTTTGACGAATTCTGCAGAGTAAAACAGAGTCGATCATCCGCTGCCGTCTTCCATGGTACAAGGTTTGTGGTACTTGCGTTCAGACCTGCCGTTACCACGTGAGTGTGACTTCGAGAGTCAATCATGGTGCACTCCAAGCACAATGGCTGCCAGTTGGTGCGTGCCACGCTGGTCAAATAGCGGGTTCCAACGGGTCTGCGATCATCAAGCCAAACCAGGCCGCATTGCAGCTCCGTGGCGCGAACAATGGTAACGTCCAGGATCGCTTCAACATCATCAGCCAGTGTCAGTCTTAAACTGTGATTGCCCATCACTTGGGTGTTCTGTGCAATAGTGAGCGACCCGTTGACAAGCGTAAAACCCATGGCTCGCGCATGGACATCAAGGCTGGCCTCAGCGGGGTCTAGCTCGAGACCGGGGATGGGTGTGCTCATGCGCAACTGCAATCTGCTCGCGACATCTGCTGCACCCACCAACACAAACAGATCGGCATCGGCGGGTGCTGTAAGTAGCGATGGCAGGGTGCTAACAGCCACATCAACGGGATCATCGGCCACTGGCAAGAGGACCGTGCGCTCCAGAAGAGGGAAAGCACAGGAAGGCGGCTGCCACTGCGCAACAATGGTTGCGGATCCTTGCAGCGGAGCGCGAAACTCAGGCATGCCACGGTCCGCAGAAAGAGTGCCACGCAGCGTCCGCAGCTTTAGGTGCATTGGGTCTAGGGGCATTGAAGCACCAGCGCGGTCGATGCCCTGAAGAAGCAAGACGTAGTTGCGCCCAGGCTGCAGGGTCGTGACTGCCAAGTTGGACAGCGAGTCCGGCATGCTGTCCCAAGAAGGCCCCAGCGTGGTGTTTGGAACAAGCACAAAAGGTATAGCCAGAACCTGAAACGAGAATTCAGCATGGCAATCAGTTCATGAGTCTGGCATCGACGTAGCGCGGTCAGGTTAGGTTGAGTCAAGACATTTGGTGGTGCCACGTACCTCGAATCGGGCTGGCCAGCGTGCGGTGGCCATCCAGCTCGTGAGGTGGAATACCTCAAGTGTCTGCCACGAGAGCGATGCTGGCAGGCCAATAATGTGACCAGGGCCATGTGGTGCCGGCATTGTCCAGTTGACTGCACGCCACTCATCTGACAAAGCTGTGACGGGCAGCAGCAGCAGCGAGTGGCTGGTGCTGGTGCTTGCATTCGCGTGGGCTGTCATCGTAATGGGCGGACCGATCATCGGAGCACAAGACTGAATGCCATGCTCGGAGAGGAACCAGTCGCTGGTGCCCCCCCAAGCATGCGCATTGCTAGTCAGCGTAATGTTAGGCTGACCAAGCACGCGTGGAACTATATGTTGGCCGATGCGCAGAGCGGCATCCTCAAACTGTACCATGCGGACTGTTCCACCAAGTTTGCAGCTTCCAAACGCAGCCGAGGCAGAACAGATTATCTTCTCCCTTTGGGGGTTTGTGTCAGGTCCCACTAAGGTCAGGGTGGTGAGATGCAGAGGCGCTGAAGCGTTGAGGCAAAGTGCCGGTGGCTGCAAAACCTCGGCGTACATCGAGGCAAAGGCGCTGGAGGAAGGGACAGGCACGGTTGAACTCAGGTTGGACCAATCGCTGGCCACCAGTATGGGTTGCTCGTGTCGGCTGCCATCTGGCCGCGTTCCAGAGATGTGTAGAGCTAGATGGCAAGTATCCTGGCCCGTGTAAGTAAAGGGCAGGGCCAAATCTGGGCTGACCGTTCCGAATACCAGCTGAAGAGTTGAGGCGCAGGCTTCCGTGTCGTGGGCCGTAGTGTTGGCCCCAGGCCCCGCGAAGCAACCACATTTGGGCACTTGCGTAAGGCGTAAACTGGCGTCACGCAAAGCCAAGCGAGACGCCAAATGCAAGGTATAGAGCTGTGGGAGGCCAAGGGCAGTAGCATTGCGGTACAGGCGAGCCTCCAACTCATTGTCTCCCAAGGCATCAAGGGGACGAGGAACGCGGGGCAGCCGTAGGTCCGATGACGATTGACTTGATGTGGGCTCACAGGTAGTCGTAGCATCCAGGTGTGCACGGGCATTTGCATGTTCGCGGCGCTCAAAGACCATGGGGATGCTTGGCCCCAGCGTGTCAGTAGAGCGCCAGGCAGAAGCAGCAAAGCTGGCCAAGCACACGCGGGGTTGTGAGGCTCCCGCCGACAAGGGGCAGTGCAGGATAGCGCAGCTGGCATTGCGATCAGGGGCGGAGAGGCACAGTTTATGGGCCTGGGCCAGCGTGGCCCAGTGCGGACTGTCTTGAACATTGGGGTCACACGGTACGACGGAGAGCTGCAGTACGCCTCGAGGGCTGACCAGGTCGCGAGCAACCTGTGTTACAAGAACACGGAGTTGTGCAGTGCGCCAGAGCAGGTCCCCGACAGCAAGTGTCGAGCCAGGATACCAGCCAGGGAACTCCATGTGAGCATCGCTAAGGTTGGACGCAAATATAAGAGCCTGTCCGGCGCTGTTGACAATGTAGCTCGGGCCCGCAGTCAGGCGAGGGCCGTGACCGAGGCCAATGCTAGGCCGATCGGTACGTGTATCGTTGATAAAGCATTGCCCGCCATAGCAAACGCCAAGTTGAGCAGTGAAGCCCGCGGACGGATCATCGCTGGTTGTGTTGCACGGTGTTGCATCAGTCCGGGTGGCCTGAGCAACACAAGTCTCAAAGAAACAGATGCCCGCCACACAAGGTTCAAAGGCGCAGGGCTGCCCCACCGGCCGACCCACACATGTCTCGATCACTTGAGCTTGAATGGGCAACATGAGGGGCCCTGAGACCACGATCATGGTCAGCAGAGCCCCGATCGATTGGTTGGGAGCCATGTGGCTGGCATGAGTATGGAAATTTACCCAATCATCCCATGCTGCTGCCTGACATCCTCTCTCCACCCGGTCGGGCTCTGTCTGTGCCGCCAAAATGCCAGCATCGAAAAGACCACACACCACCATTCGTGGTTGACACCAATGCTCTTCCTGCCGTGCTTGCCGGCACGCAAAACAAAAACGAACATAAAGATCTGACAATTAGCCGACATTCGAATGTCAGAAAGTTTCACACACACACACACACACACACACACACACACACTGGAGCCATCATAATTTTTCAGGCGGGCGGGAGGACGTGGCGCCGTGGCGTCGTCGTGGGGGTGGTGTCTGTGTATGGGGGCTCGGATCAGTTGCGATTTTGTAGCCGTACAGGATGCGTTTGTGGCCCCGATGGACGGCGCGAGCCTTGCAGTTGCAGGGCGCTTCGCTTCGTCAGACTGCTCGTGAAGTGGCGCGGCGGGAAGACTTGACGCGTTGCTGGTCGCTGGTGGACCAGGCCAGCCAGCAAGCGCACCTGGACGCAGTGCGACGACTACCCCGCATCGACTTTCCAGCTCTGGAGAGCGATCTTGTTAAGGCCCATGACGGCTTCATGGCAGCTGTCTCTCAGATTCCTATCCTGCTCAATACTCAAGGTGCCGTGGTTGCCTGCCTCTAATCGAGCAACATCTCGGCCGCCCAAATGGGCGGCGTATTCATTGTTGGTGTCCTCCGCTCAAAATTTGCAGTTCTTGAGAATAGCGAGGCTCTGGCGCCTCGGCTAGCTCGTTTCCTAGATGACTGGCGTCAGGCCTTTGTATCGGAGCTCGGACTAATACCTCACTACCAGGTTGGTCGACATGCCAAAACCGGCGCCGGCGGGTGGCATGTGTGAGATTGCCCCACATGTGTTATAGCCCATGCTCTCGGTTCAGCTGATGTTTGCACTCGCTTCTTTAGTTCAGTGCGCTCGAGCTCGAGGTGCTTCATGTCACAGTCAGCAATGGGCATGTGGATCACTGGCGTAATCTCTTTGGCATGTCTCGAGAGGAAATCATGTACGTCCTTATCGGCTCGCTGGGTGACCCGCGCACACGTGTTTTACCGTGGCCTCTCACTCTGGAGCGGCGGACAATCCCGATGGTGTGGCAGCTATTATCTGATGGAAGGAGCCATTGGTCCTGAATTTCGCGGTGCTCAAGAACGAGGATTTCGTTCTCCCCACCGCATCGTGCTCCATCTTGGCGCTACGGCCAACGTTCAAGTCCAATTGGTTCCCGTGGACCGCAGCGCCTCGCTGGCCGAAGCACTTGAACAATTGGACGGGCAGCATCCAGTTGTTCAAGGCACGGGACCGCGCTTGCTGACCTGCCTCACGTTTGAAGTCAATGGCCTCAATGGGTTGCCAGCTGATGCTTGGCGTCTACGAAACATCAACAACGCTATTGGTACCATCTAGTTGATCATACCACGTCACCAGCGTCCCACCACCAAGCCAATGTGTCATGCTCTCTTTGATACTGGCTGTTTATGATCATTGGGTCAGGTGAATGCATCGTCGTGACTTGTGAATAACGTTTTTTAAACTTCTTTAATCGACCACAATGAATCCCCGCCCTGCCCACTGACAATTCCGCTCTACGTGGGTGCCGGTCTAATAAGTGATCTTTGCAGCTTTGAAGTCGCTGCGCAGATGAAGAAAGGCTGTCACGACGCTCTGGTCGAGTGTTGCCTACAAATGCAAACCAAGGCGACGTGAGCTGTCCATCGCCGCGGGGGACTGCCAAAAAAAAAAAATTACAAACACCCGGCTCGCTGGCTACTCTCGGCCCACTTTATGGTGGCACGTCAAGATATCGACACCGCAGAACAGGCACCTCACCAGTTTGCCCTCGCTACAAAGCTGTGCGATATTTTCAGGCTTGACAATCAGCAAGTAGCAGAGTTCGCGCAACACTTCGAGCAGCTCGTTGATGTACGGGTCCTTTTTGCATTTGGACATTCGCAAACACATGCAGATCAATGCGCGCAGCGTTCGACCATCATGTACACAATCATGAAAGACCTTAGGGGGTCTTGCTCTGCCATTCATATGCACATGTAGACTTACCGAGAATTGATGTAAGATCTTCTCGTACACAGCCAAGTCGCGGGCAAGCAGCATGCCCCCTGATCGTGCCACAGTTCCCCGATAGGTCAGCCAAGCCGGTTCAAGAGGTAGGGTGTTCAGCCCGCCGACCTTACCCAATATTGTATATTGAAACTGCTTGATGCTTTCGTAAATGACCTTGTGCAACCGCACCCCAAGGACGTGGAGTACATTGGTCAAGTTCTAAAAGCACCGAAGCGCGCCGTGAATGAAAAGCTGGGCATGACTCACAACCACATGCGTGCGCGAGACCTACTTTGCCATTCAGGCTTTGGTGAATACTCTGAATCTGAGCTCGTAAAAAGTTGGCCACATAGGTACATGTCTAAAAAAAAGAAAAAGCATGCACGGATACAAGAGTCAAGAAGCATCGTGTTTCAAGAGCGTTTTCTAGCACGTGTCCCACATTCAGCCATGCCCTGCCTTTGCAAGAGCGGACCTGCGTGCATGGTGCGTTGAGCACTTCGGCATCCTCCACGCGAAATTCAAGTTTGTTGCGCTCCTGAATAAATGAGGCCAGAGCAGTCAGGGTGTACGCGGCCTGATCGTGGAGGTGCAAGATCTCAAGCCCGCGCAAAAACCGACAACACACGGCAGAAAGCAGGCGCCAATCAAACGCAACATACTTTGGTCAGGGATACCTTGACCCACTCGATGATCGCGTCTAGGCACACTTCGACGCCGCTGGCCAGCTGCTGTTCTAAATCCTCCATGACCTCATTCTTGTGCTTGAGACACGCAAGGTATAGCTCAAGGTCATCTCGGATGATGGGTACAAGCGCATCTTGAAAGTGTTTCTGCAGATGAGCAGATCGCTGGGGTCAGACGAGCCGGGCGCGAGCTTCAAAGTGCCCTCGGGCCAATAACTCCGGACCTGAAGCAAGTAGAAAATCTTGTTGACATCTCGAAGCACATCGAAAAACTGGATCTTCGGCTCTGTCTTGGGCTGTTTCGGAGCAGGCGTTGGATGAGTTTCTTAGTGCCAAGCAGGACCATGCGCAAAATGATTGGCCGGCATCTGGCCGCGCGACGATTACCTTTTTGGGAGGCAAGTACTTGGTTGCTACGGAGAGTGCATACTTGATGTGCTCTTGCCCCAACGCGGTGAGAAGCCGCGAGAAAAGCCTGGGATGGTGTGGAAAAGCACAGTACAATGCCAACCGTTGAGACAATTTGAAGTAGAACACAAGCCATAAAGAAGACACACGAGAAAGAAGTGCCAGACCACAGTACTCACTGCAGAGGCCATTGTGGGGCGTCGCGGAGAGGACTGAGGTCCCGGCATCGAATCAGGGCCAGTCGATTCTCGTCCAGCATCTCGGCAGCCAGATCATCGCTGAGCAAGGTCATGGACAGCTCGATATGGCTACTCTCCAAGGATTTGCTCCGCGCATGCTTACGCGGTGTTCGAGGCGAAGTCCTGCCGCGGCCCACGCCCATCCAGCAATCAACATTCCAAAGAATGAGGCACAAAGACTGTACTGCGCAAGCTCTTCCGACTCTCTGCGTTTATCGATTTTTCTCGGCAGAGCTCGCTGTTGCCTATTTGAGCACCGCTCGTACCCGATGACTTTTTCATGACCAATGCCGGCGTAATAGCCTTCCAGGGCGCTGCCATAGCTGGATAGCATGGCATCGAGTTCGCCCCTACACAAGCAAATGTCAGGATAAGCCCTTTTACATCTGTTGTGCAATGTTGTAGGCTCGGATTGTGCACGAACGCGAAATGGTTGTCCAACTCCGCCTGGAAAACCGCGCGCGTGAGCTGCAGTCCAAGTTTGGGGCCACCTGGCACATTCAGCTCCTCGCAAATACTTTGAAGCACGCTTTGTGTCCTATATATAGTCAAGCCCCGGCAGAACAGCAACCCCATTGAGATCAGCCAATGGCATGCTGTCATGTTGAATGCTCGTCCAAATAGGTCGTCGCCTTGCTTTGTGCATACCGTTTGTACATGCGGTGCACGGCAGCCAGACGATCTGGGGCACCTTCTACAGCAGCCAGAACGAAGGGCTAGGCAAGTGGGTGGCAGATATGAGCATAAAGTCCTTGGGCCACGAGTCCAGCAGGAACGCAATCCTGTCCGTGCCACCACGCGTTTGAGGCGCTCAGGCTCTACGGCTCTACCTTTAGATCCTCTTTGCACAATTTCTGGACCAAGGCCACGGTAACGGGTTGGGACTCGAATATTTTCTGCAGGCGAAGCCCCTCCTAGAGGGGTGGCAGGTATGAAGGAGAAAATGAGAAGATGCTGCAGTCTTGTTCTAGGGACGGCATGGGTCGTGGGAAGTACTGGACGCACCTGACGAGCAATGCTGGCGATACCCTCAAAGGGATCGATCTGGATCAGATGTGCTTTCGTGCGGACGACGGCCTTGATGCAAATGTGCATGAGCTTTGGATACAACTGGTAGAGACACAGCGGCGCGCCGAGGGTGCGTGGTGAGAGCACGATGGGACGGGTGGCTGGTGCTCGGCTCATATGTAAAGCTTCCTACCTCGGGCACATGCTGAAGGCACACGGAGGCAAGCTGGTGCATGCCCTCGTCGTCTTCAATGATCAACAACTCTTGAAAGCGGTGCTTAATCAATCTGATCCGGTATCGGTTGATTCGGAGGGCAAATAAATAAATAAAATACAATAAAATAAAGAATGAGCCTCAAAGCCAGCTGCTTCTGCATCGTTCAAAGCAGTGCAATGTTTGGTCCGACGACGCACGATTCCAAGTAGGAGCGCACTCCAGTTAGACGCTTGCTGGTTGGACACAGATAGTTGAGTTGTTGAACAATGCTGGCAGCATGCGCCAGATCATCGTTATCGAGTGAAAACTCGTCCTCCTCTTCTTCGGCGTCATCAACGCCAATCTCATCGGGGTCGGCATTGGCAATGTCATCGCGCTGCCACGCAGAAGCAGGTAAGAGACTCTCCAGATGACAAAGCATGCAGTGCGCACGCACAAATGTTGGTACGCTCCAGTGGCGGGTGAAGGAAGCAGTTGACCTACAGGCTCGAGCTTGGATAGGGGTGCCGACAAAGGCAGGCCATTCTCCAGCTGCATGCGGTATTCGATGAGTCGTGCAGCAGAGAGACAGCGATCGCGTTTGCCTTTGAGATTTTCCAGTTGATCGCCAACATGGACAATTTTCAGAGCAACTCCATTGATGCCGTGGCCCAAATTGTGCAGACTTTCGTGTGCCTCCTACAAAGTCGGCCAAAGCTCTCATAAGTAAGCGTAGGGGCACACTTGAGTAGTACTGCGAAAGGGTACTGCGCGGCGGGCGTACCGAAAGCAGATGCGTGGTGCTTGATAGTGTGTCCAGGTGTCGCTCTTCCTGGCTGCGGCAGCTCACCTCGAGGCGTGTGACTTCTTCCTCAACCTGGACATGGTCGTCAGAGAGATTAGGCAGGCAGCGCCCGCGATGGGTCAGGCACGATTTAGGGCCAGAGTTTATACCTGCTCGTGAACATGCCAGAGCTCAGCAATCGCATTGTCAAAGGCCAGAAGGAGGCGGTCTGCTGGCCTCAGATCCTGGTGCAGAGCATCTTGGCGTGCGCTCAGCGCCACTGTGTCCACAAAGTCCACGACATCAAAATCAGCATCCTGCACCGAACGATGCATGTCCCAGCAGCAACCAGATGAGTGAGCTCAACGTGGCCACTCGCATCGCAGCCACCCCGCCTCTGTCCACCATCGCGGGCTCACCCCCTCATACCTTAAACTTTTCAGCCGGCAGCGTCATGACTCCCGTGTGCCGCAACCAATTAATTTTTTGGGACAAAAATGATGACAACCCGCCCTCTCTCTCTGTCTCTGTCTCTGTCTCTCTATTCATCTGTCTCTCTATTTCTCTAACCAATCTCTGTCTCTGTGTCTGTGTCTGTCTCTGTCTCTGTCTCTGTCACTGTCGCTGTCTCTGTCGCCGTCTCTCTCTGTTATTTCTCTCTTTCTCAAACTGACCAAACCAATTCAAGTCTCTGTCGCTCTCTCTCTCTCTGTCGCTGTCTCTCTGTTTTTTTTATTTCATTTTTTATTTTTTTTAATTTTGGATGCGTTTGGCAGCGAGACTGTATTATCGCGCGACGCGAGGTGGTCGTTGGGCGGAGAGTTGAGCTGTTGGCTTTACTTTTGGGAAGAGATTGAGGGTGTGCAGGCGATGGCAGTGGCGTGGTGACAAGCTACGTCTTGATCCTGCCTTTGGGTTTTTGCCGAGCCAGACATGGAGGTGAGTGCAGTGGCATGAAGTCCTCCGTGCCTGCAGGAGGAGGAAAGCATATGCTCGAGTATGATCTCACCTGGTGTTTGATTCTAGCCACTTGATTTGCAGGGCCCTGATGGCACTTGGTTGCCCGGGCAGCCGCATTATGGCAAGCCACTTTTGACTCGTGCCGAGGCCTGTGCCCTGGCTCCACCCAGTGCGCGACTTTCCCTGTATGCCGGTCGTGGCGGGCACGCCTTCCGGGACGACCAAGAGTCTGGCGAAGGGGACCTTCAGGACAATGATTCCACCCTTGCCCTGCAAGACAGCGTGGCTGAAGTCGAGGATAGCTTTCTCATTTGCAACCACCATACCATCGTCACGCTCTACACCAACGATGACACGCGAGGACGAGACATCCATACGGGATCCATTAAACAGCGGCCGCTCTGCCACGACGGCGACATCATGACTCGTGAACGTGATTTTTTCAGAGTAGGTTTGCTTGTTGGGGTCTCAGCGTAAGAGGACTGTGGAACTGCGACGGGGATGTCACCTCGCTTGACTGCTGCCCTTTTCGCAGCTAGCCATCGGCTACAACACGGGGGAAATCTTGATCTGGGAGTATTATCGAAACGAGCGCACCTGGCTCAACGACCGGGTAGGTGATTGGACAGCCCCCCCGTCATCCATTGTCGTTCCACCAGCCCCCTTTGTGCTTCTGTGGCTTGGGTCTATCGATGTCCCATGTGGCCCCATTTCACTGGTCGCTTGCTTCGACTGACACCGGGCCTCGGAGGTGCAGGGCACATTCCTGGCCTCTCCCTGCCAAATCATCCGCTGGATTCCCGGACACCCAGACTTTCTTTTAACAGCACATGAGGACGGGACGCTGGCCGTACTGAATACCGAATTTGCATCGTCTGAGCTCGGAGCTTCTCGCGACTCGGCCCACGGCCTTCAAGTCTGGACTGCCAAGATGCCTCGCCACAACCCCTGCGTTGCGTGGCGCCGAGCCGAGGCGGTGGGTATTTTCGAGCCGTCCCATTTGCTAGTCTTGCGGCTCTGGCCATGCTCTATCTCATCACATGGCGAAAGCAGAAAACCATCACGGATTTAGCGGTAGCTTCTGACTGCCAAAGCGTTGCCTGCGTTGACTTGGGTGGTCGCCTCTCGGTGTATACCCTCAAGGTTGGTTTTTTTTTATTTTGAAGGGAATCTGCCCTGACACATCAAACAAGGGATATGACGTCCAGCAACTCGTGGGCAATTGATCACCTGCCATACGTTGTCGACTTGCCTGGGTCAATAGTTTGCCGCCGATACCGTCGACATCAAGCTCAGCTTTGCTGCTGACAGCTATTATGGTGGCTTCACTTGCTGTTGCTGGAGCTCTGATGACAAATACCTGGCGACGGGTAGCCAAGATGATTTGGTTCGTGTTCCTTCCTTCTGGCTACCCTCTGTCCATGGTAGTCTCTCCCTCTCGTATCCTTGATGGGCTCTGCGCATATTTTTTTCTTTTTTCTTTTAGATTTCAGTTTGGTCTGTGACGAGCAAGTCACTCCTCGCCCGCGGCGAGGGGCACACCGCTTACGTGGCGCGCATCAAATTCGATCCCTATGCCGCTCTGTATGCTTTCGAGTTCCTGTAACATTGACGACGATATGCAACAATATCGACTTGACTAGAAGCTGACTCATCCAGCTGCCTCTCACATCCACCCTAGGCTTCCCTCCACCTATCGGCTCATAAGCGTGGGCCAGGACGGTAAAATTGCATTTTGGGACTTTAGCGAATCAGACCTCAGCGTGCCGCTTCGACCACCATCGGCAACGGCGCCTTTGCAGCCCGCTGCACGCAAGGTTTGGTGACCCATTGTAATGTAATGTACTGCCCTGTACCTGTTCCAACTAAATTTTGCTCATTTCGTCTGGTACACTTGCTCCTGGCTTTTTTTCCGTAAAACTTTCCAGACCACTCGTCGCTTGCGCTTGCGCCGCAAAGCCAACGGTTAGCCTTCGGCGCCTCTCAGTCTTTTGCGTCTTTTTGTCGCTTATACGCGACGATCATTTCAAAGAATCTCAAACTGTCACCGCTGGTCTTCGCCGATGAACCCCCATTTTTGTAGTTGTAGTAACGACCAACTCCCAGAACAATGATATCCTCAAGGCCCCATCTCGCCGAGAGGTGGCCACGATTAGACCCGTTGCGATTCAGCAAGTCTCTTCCGAGCCTGTGACAGGTGCGAACAAACTCTCAAGGGTGGGACATGTGGCGTGCTGACACTTCATCAAGTCTTGATGCTTTGTGCTGTTCATTGTGCGTGTGTTTGTGTGTTGTGTAGACGTACACGTCCAAGCGCGACGCCTTTGGGTAGTCGTTAACACGGGTCAAATCCACCAATGGGAGCGGCCCAAGGCATCGCAGACGACTGCCGTTTAACCTGCTTGACCGCTCCGAGAGCACCAAAAGAGAAAAAAAAAAAATAATCAGGATTTTTCTCATCACTTATCATCGCCATCACTACCATCATCATCATCATCATACGCCTTCCTCCAACACTCCATGCGCCTCCCCACTCAACAAAGCAGAATAAAAAAAAGAAAATAAAAAGAAGAAAAAAATCAATCAAAGCAAAACAAAGGAGGAAAAATACAGGGGCACGAGAGGAACTGTTCTCAAATCGCCACTCAATGCTTGCAAAGAGTGGCCCAGACTTGTCACGGTTGTTTTGCGTGGTTCGCACTCACGCACGCTTGCCTTCCTTTCTCCGCCTGTGTCAAGAGCATGGGCACGAACGTTTGAGTGAGTTGACGTGATGACTGACGAGTGAGCAATTGAGTCTGTTGCAAAGCCTGCAAAGCAGGGCAGACGTACGCCAAAGCGGCCCGAGCGCGTTCCCGAGCTTCACGGCGCTTTTGTTCCTTCAGGCGCAACTTGCGCTGCTCAGCTGACTCTTCAGCCTCTGAAACTTCATTGTGTAGAGGTGGATCATCAAGGTCATTGAGAGGCGCACCCTCCGCTGAATCGTCTTCTGATGCACTAGCAGATGAAGGCTTGGGCTCGTCTGCTGACCGAACTGGAGGCAAAGAGCTTGTGAGTGAGGCATTCTGGTCCGCGGTGCTGGGAGTGGCCGGAGACAGCTGTTGCGTTTCTTCTCCGTTCGATTTTGATGAAGAAGAGCGTTCAGTTGACAAAGATGGAACGGCCGAGGTTGGCAATTGAGGCGCAGCAGAAGACGGCAATTGAGGGGCTGCGATAGTAGGTAGCTGTGGTACAGCAGAAACTGGCAGTTGTGGAGCTTCCGAAGCCTCTGCCGCCGTGGAAATGGATTCCATAGTAGCAGTGGGCACCTTGACATCGATAGGCTCTTCAGCAGTAGTATCGGACTTCTTGATAGTGGGTTCTTCAGTAGCGGGCTCCTCAACAACGGATACTTGGTTTGTAGCAACAGGCTGCTCAGCAACAGCAGGCTCCTGGGTAGCAGCAGGCTTCTCAACGGGCTCCTCTGTGACCGTGGGTTTCTCAACATCCGAAGGTTTCTCAGTAGCAACAAGCTCACCAATGGGTTCCTTCGTAGCAGTCGGCTCCTCCTCAGGAGCAGCGGGCTCCTCTTGGGTAGCACTGGGCTCCTCAACAGCAGGCTCCTCGGCAACAGCGGCCTCTTGGGTAGCACTGGGCTCTTCGACAGCAGAGGGCTCTCCTGTGGCAGGCACTTCGGCAACAGGGGGCTTCTCGACAATAGCGGGCTCCTCAGCAGCAGTAGCCTCTTGAGTAGCAGCGGGTTCCTCCTGGGGAGCACTGGGCTGCTCAGCAGCAGCGGCCTCCTCTGTGGCAGGCACTTCGACAACAGTGGGCTCCTCGACAACAGCAGGCTCCTCAATAGAAGCAGGTTCCTCTGTAGTAGCAGACTCCTCAGCACCCCCTTGAGTAGCAGCAGGCTCCTCTGTGGCAGCGGGCTCCTCTTGAGTAGCAGCGGACACCTCTTGGTGAGCACTAGGCTCCTCTGTGGCAGCGGCCTCGTCTGTGGCAGGCACTTCGACAACAGTGAGCCCCTCAACAACAGCAGGCTCCTCTGTGGCAGTGGGCTCCTCAACAACCTCTTGAGTAGCAGCAGGCTCCTCTTGAGTAGCAGGCGCCTCAGCAGCAGCTGCTGCCACAGAGGGCTCCTCTTGAGTAGCAGCCGACTCCTCTTGGTGAGCACTAGGCTCCTCAACAGCAGCAGGCTCCTCTGTGGCAGCGACCTCCTCGACAACAGCAGGCTCCTCTGTGGCAGTGGGCTCCTCAACAACAGCAGGCTCCCCAACAGAAGCAAGTTCCTCTGTGGCAGCGGCCTCCTCAACAGCAGCAGGCTCCTCTGTGGCACTAGGCTCCTCAACAGCAGCAGGCTCCTCTGTGGCAGCGGCCTCCTCGACAACAGCAGGCTCCTCTGTGGCAGCGGCCTCCTCGACAACAGCAGGCTCCTCTGTGGCAGTGGGCTCCTCGACAACAGCAGGCTCCTCTGTGGCAGCGGCCTCCTCGACAACAGCAGGCTCCTCTGTGGCAGCGGCCTCCTCGACAACAGCAGGCTCCTCTGTGGCAGCGGCCTCCTCGACAACAGCAGGCTCCTCTGTGGCAGCGGCCTCCTCGACAACAGCAGGCTCCTCAACAGAAGCAAGTTCCTCTGTGGTAGCAGACTCCTCAGCAGCAGCGGGCTCCTCAGCAACAGCGGGCTCTTGGGTAGTAGCGAGCTCTTCAACAGCAGCGGGCTCCTCAGCAACAGCAGGTTCCGCTGCGGCAGCGAGCTCTTCAACAGCAGCGGGCTCCTCAGCAACAGCGGGCTCTTGGGTAGTAGCGGGCTCTTGGGTAGTAGCGGGCTCTTGGGTAGTAGCGGGCTCCTCAGCAACAACAGGTTCCTCTGTGGCAGCGGGCTCCTCAGCAGCAACAGGTTCCTCAGCAGCAGCGGGCTCCTCAGCAACAGCAGGTTCCGTTGCGGCAGCGGGCTCTTCAATAGCAGCGGGCTCCTCAGCAACAGCAGGTTCCGCTGCGGCAGCGGGCTCTTCAATAGCAGCGGGCTCCTCAGCAACAACAGGTTCCTCTGTGGCAGCAGACTCCTCAGCAGCAGCGGGCCCCTCAGCAGCAGCAGGTTCCTCAGCAATAACAGGCTCCTCTGTGGCAGCGGGCTCCTCAGCAGCAACAGGTTCCTCAGCAGCAGCGGGCTCCTCAGCAGCAGTGGACTCCTCAGCAGCAGCGGGCTCCTCAGCAACAGCGGGCTCCTCAGCAGCAACAGGTTCTTCTGTGGTAGCGGGCTCCCCTGTAGCAGCAGGCTCTTCAACAGCAGCGACCTCTTGTTTAGTAGCGGGCTCTTCAACAGCAGCGGGTTCTTCTGTGGCAGTGGACTCCTGGGCAAGCACCTCAACAGTAGCAGGTTTCTTAGCAGCAGCAGCGTCCTGAGTGGACTCCTGGGTTTGATCATTCTGTAGCTGCGCCTCGGTATCGTCTTGCAGCGCGTGGCAAATCTGAGTGTCCTCTGCATGGGGCACAGGTGCTGGAGGTAGAATAGCTTCATCATCAGAGTCGCTCGACTCATCATCGTCCATCTCCCGTGTAACCGACACATCAGTGTCGATGCCAGCAGGCGCAGACGAGAGCGGTGGGGGCGAACTAACAAAGGTGTGTTCGCCCTCTCCATCGCCTTCTGCATCCACATCCAAGTCGGGGCTCATGCTGCGTCGCACCTCGGCTGAAGGAAAGATTTCAAGGTCTTCTGTGGGTGCACCTGATTGAGTTTTGGGGTGCAGCGATGCCTCGGCCTTTTCTTCGTCCTGAGCAGAGGTCGTTGGTGAAAGGCGTGAGTCCAAAGGGCCGTCCACTTCTTCGGCTTGATTTGCAATTGGGAGGCTTGCAGGAGCCGTCGGTTCAGTGGCCTCTTCTGCTTGAGAAGCGGTGGAGGTCTCGACCCCTCGAGTTTTGCGAGTCTTTCTTCGGACGGCAAATTCAAGCTGAGTGGCACGGGCATGGCTTTTGATGGTGGCGACAGCTGTTTCGTGTGACACGTTTTGAAAGTGTTCTAAAGTGATAGATACCAGCGTAAGCGAGCGTGCAAAAGCCCAGGAGCATGGCCAAGACAATCGTTGTGACGAAAGAGTGAGCGCAAGTACTGACCGCCGTTAAGGGTCACGATAATGTCTCCCTTGCGGAACCCAGCCTCAGCCGCCAGGCTGCCTGGGGCCACCTATATTTGAGTAACGCAACCGGTCGTTCAGAACAATGAGACTGTGCTGCAGTTGGCACATTGAATTTGAGTGATGGATCATGGATGTTTGCTCCCTGTCAAACTCGGCGATGAACTTGTAAACAACGTCGTACACAAAACACGGACTGAGAAGACAAACCTTGCGAACTGTGATGGGCTTATAAGAGCCATCTTCCTGCACGCCCCCACCAACGCCCACACCCAGGGGTTGATCAGGTTCTTTTGAAATGTGGATATGAAACAAGCGGCCGGTGTCACTGGCACTCCGGCGGGATTGTGCAGCAGCACCACCAGCCAGCAGCCCGCCTTCTTGCTGAAGATCACGCTCACTCAAAGAATTGCTTGCTACCGCGAGTGGACTGCGCGAGTAGAGGCGTCCTTTGGCACGATCCATGCCACCGTTCGTACTCGGGTTAGAGCCTGTGCCTACAGCTTGATGGTGTTGCTGATGATCCTCTTGGGATTCACGAATCGTCATGAGATCTGAGGTAGAGGGCGAGGCGCTACGGGAACCAGAGCTTCGCCGCCGTCTTAGTTTCATGGCCAATGAGTCATTAAACTGCAGACGCAGAGTAACAGCCTGTTGGGAGCTCGAAAGCTGCCCCATTACTTCGGTTTTCGTCTTGCCCAGGGTTGGCTCTGTATGTGTGCGCGCGTGTACGTGTGCGTGTGTGGCAGGACGGAAAATAAGGTATTAAATGTTCGGGAGGCAGGCCCACAACGGGGCCACAAACCGGCACAGAAGAGTATGAGCGCGCGTGAAAGTTGTAGCAGTTCGTTGAGCCGGCTTTATTAATGCATGCCCATTGACCGGTATCACGCACCTCCATCCACAGCAAGCAGCAGGTCACCAATGCTCACGTCATCACTGTAGTACGCGATGCTTCCATCCAAGATTTGGTTGATGAAAAGCGGGGAGGAAGGTCCCTATGAATGATGAATCACATGAGTCATGCGGCAGACTTGAACAGGAGAGAGACCCCCTACATAACCACTGGCCCACCAGCCAGCATGTGGCGACTCCGCATTCATGAAATGTCAAATCAAAGCACAACTCGTACCTTAACGGCGCCCAAGCCAATGCCGAGGGGATGGCCAGTCACTCGATGCAGTGTGACCTCGCGCACAGGATGGAGATCGCCACCGTAAGGTTCCAAGAAACTTGCAGGTACATATCCACAAGACACGACTAGGTCGGAACCGGGGCTATTCTTAATAATACGAGCAAGCCACCATCCGTTGGGCTCCTTCACTTCGACAGCCAGGACCGTGCCCCGCTCGAGGGAGAGTTGCTTGGGATGTTTCGCCTCAAAGCGATGCTTTGCCACATATATTTCACCACTGTCCGCCCGCACGGGCCCCGTCAAGAGGGCCGTTGCCGTGGCGCCTGTCGCTGCGGCAGACTTCACGTCTTGCTTGTTCACGCCATTTGAGCTGTTGGTGGACCCAGCCGCATTGTTGTTGGTCGGCGTCGGTCCATTCGTCTGAGCTGTATTGGCAGCACTGACCTTGGATCGACCGAAAGCAAGAGTGCCGCCCAGTTGCGCAACGACCGAGTCGGCAATATTCTCCGGAGCGGGTGTGAGAAATGTTCCCGGCAGCCAACCTGCTGCTTGGTTTGCGATGTTGCAGCCTAACCACCAGCCGTTGGTGTGCTTTGTTTTGATGACCAAAATATCTCCGCGAACCACAGAAAGCTGCTTTGCATTTGATGTCTCAAAGGAGTGTTTCACAACAAACACCATCGAAGGATCGATGCTGAGCTCGCCTCGAGATTCTGCCCCTTGCGAAGAAGAGAGCGCTGGATTGGGGGTGGACACCGTTGCATTGGCCTGGGGCGATGCTGGCTCGGCAGACGACGTGTTTTTGACAGCCTTTTGGGTGTCGCCAAAATCAATCGTGCGCGTGCCATCCGCATCCACTGCAACGCTCTCTGCGTGTTCAGGAGGCGATGGTTGGGCCACCTTCTGCTTAGTCGTCGTTGTAAGATCGGCTGGTGCGGCCGAGACCACTTCCTCTGAGTTCCTTGGTAGTGCTGTGCTCTCTGAGCTGCTAGGGGGCTTGGCCAAAGCATCATCGGTGTCCGTGCGCGCTGCTGCGGGATGACTAGAAGGGTCGTCAATGGCATCCAAATCGATGGTTGCTGTAGTGCCATGTGCGCCACCTTGATCTACTTTCAAGGAGGGTGTTCGCGCGCTCGGCGTGTACGCGCTCCCCTGACTGGAGAGGGTATTGGTGCGACGGCGGCGCGGGGGAGCGATGATGGGTTTGGTAGCACTCTCACCCTTTGAGGCGTCTGACTGTTCACCGGAAGCGCCAAGAATGGACTTGGAATGAACGTAACTTTCCTCATCCGATGCCTCAACGTTCCCGTCATGTTTGTGGCGCTAAGAATCAAACGCGTGGTGAGCAAAGCAGGACCTCGGGATGTCACACGGCCAAGGGCGTAAGTGTGAGTATATGACATACCGCAGTTAAGGTGAAGGCTCTGGCACGCTGTGATGGGTTGGGCGTTTCGCGCATGCCGGTCACGGCACGTTGCAAGGCCCGACGGGTATTGTCGACGCCATGCTCGAGCATGGCCTCCTTGATAAAGTGACATTGTGCACAGAGCGTCTTGGTGAAGCCTGGGGTGGAGGCGCGACAGAGCGCGCACTTTGGCATTATGATGATTAAACATAAGCTACAAGTCTGTGCGCAGTCGATGCCATGACCCCCTTGCAACCTCGAAGCCGATCTGAAGAACTTGGATAGAAAGAAGGGAGCTAGTTGCAAGTTTCAGGCGAGCCTTTGCGCAACCCTGCCACACTAAGGTGATAAATAGCGACCGGCAAGAGGGGAGCACGGCTGGACCGAATGCACTTGGCACAGTTTCATAGAGGCCTCATCGACACTGCTTGATGTCCGTGGGTAGTTTTTAGAGGCAATCAGCGGTCTTGCACCAGTGCCTCTAGGCCTTGTTGCAGTCACCCAGGATCGCACAAGGACGCACGCGCACCGATCAACCGAGCTGAGCCACGGTGGCGCTCTACAGTGGCAAGTTCTGGGCGGTGGTAGCCCCCAGAAGAAGAAGTGGGCGCAGGGGAGGCCGAGTAAAACACGGCGGCCACCTCCTCCTTTGATCTACACCCAATGAATGGATGGTGGCCACAATCACCCGCCACCTTCACATCAACCCCAATGAAGAAGGTTCATGCGCGCTCGACGGCACGACACTCCACCTCGATCGGGTCAAAAACAGCAAAGTGACCCCCCACCCCTCTCGCCTTCTTCTTCTTTTTTGATGTCTTTTAGCTGTTTGAGAGGAGAGAGAGAGAGAGAGAGGGAAAAATAACGCGCTTCGAAAAGTGAGTCTCATGTAAGACTGGGAGACTGGCTGGCATCTGACATGACAGCATCCTCGAAAGCCGGTGAACCCCCCCCCCCAAAAAAAAAAGGTTTCGTCTCCATGTTATTGTTGTTATTGTTGTTATCATCATCATCATCAGAAAAGCATGATGAATTGCAAAGAAGAGGGACGCTCAGGTCATGTTTTTGCCATACGAGCCAGGCGGGGGTCGCAATAGCAATGGTAAATGATTCTGGGAGTCAAAAACCACACAAACGGCATGTAAGAGGATCGGATGCTGTCGCGAACATGTGCCTCGACAGGTTGTTGAACTCACCTTAACTTGGTCGTCGTTGAAAGCAAAAACATTTTTGCCAGTGTTAAACGTCACATTGGACCGACGTACGCCAGATTGACGAGTCACATCCAAGCTCACGCGCAGCTGATTGAACGGCATACCATGGTGGCGCACAAGCGTCTCTGCTGCCTGTGCGGTTGCAAACATTGCTAAAAAAGAAAGAAAGAAAGAAAAAAAGAAAGAAAAAAAGGAAAGGAAGGGAGCCCAGTGCCAAAAGAGAACATATCAGCTCAGGCTTTGGGCGTGCGTGCGAGAGCACGAAATTACGGGACAAGGTTACGTTCCAGTATGGCGTACCGGTGCGATCTTTGGCGCTTTTGCAAGAAATAAACTGCAGCCCATGAAGCAGATCACCGAGCTCTGCCACAAGGTGAAGCAGGGCCGAGTTCTTAATGCCCGAACGCGTGACTGCAGCTGCTATGCGCGTCTGCAGTTCTCGAATTCGCTCCTCCTTGTGCCTATCAACCAAAATTCAACCTGCTTGAGATGGCAGGCTCAGTGCAGGAGTGCGTTCCGCATGACACCCACCGATAGTATAAGGTGTTGTGCTCGCCGGCCTGCTCGGTCAGATGGCTGCGCACTGCATCGGCATGCTGCTCCAAGAGTTGCCTGGCAAAAAGGATGGGCACAACGACAGCCAATCACGTTGTATACAAGGCCTCAAAATCAATGCACCAAGTCACCGTCAAGTCTAGGCCACGTACCATGATGCTGCATTAATTTCATTCTGCAGCTGGTCCCCGCCCACCTTGAGTACCTCCGTCTGGACTTGATTGATACCTTGATTGAATAGGACGGCACAGACAGGTATGTACGCGTGCTGGAGCTCCGGCGGCAGCAGCTGCCACGTGGTGGGATCCACTGTAATTTCCACGACCAGATGCCGACGACTGCCGAGTAGACCAATCTTGTATCCTACACCATGCATGGACAAGATCATCCAGGCGAGGACATCACAAAAAGTGTACGGGGTTTGGCTCAATGAGTCACGTGCCGATCAACGCGGAAGCTGCAGATTCGCCCTGGCACAAAAGCTCACCATCGCGTGGACTGCGAGCCAAATCCACGCCCAAGCAAAAGGACACGCCGTTCAACCAGTGCACGCCGAAGCGATGGTCTGCGACCATGCCTACTCCAGCCAAGTGACGGCATCAATGAGCACGAACCAGCCATCCAACTCAGGCTACAGAAATTGCAAGCAAACGAAACACAACAAAACACACACACACACACGCGCGCGCACACGCGGTGCCTGCTTTCCTCTTTCTACAAAGCAAAAGTACAACCAGTTCACACACCTAGCTCAGTTCCACCGGTGGATAACAGGCTCGTGAAGATCGCCAGCACGCCATGCAGCGCAACATCATTCAGCCATTGCAGGCTTGCACCAGCATTTCGATCACCGTGCTCAATAGACAGCTATCTCGGGTCCAAGGACCATCCACATGCAAGCCAGCAAGCACGCGCGGGCGAATAATTCGAGGGTCAGGGTATATGCCTAGCGTGCACTTGAACGACCTCGGCTGAATGCGGCAGACCTGAAGTTTTTCGCAAAAGCCGCTGGTAAGCGCACTCAGCGCCGCGCTTCGGATGCTGTCCAAGCGATGTTCCGAGCCCTCCTGCTTGCAGGAGAACAGAAGAACAAACTTGGATCAGGGTGATCAAAACTGCCAATTACCGGCTGAACGTAAGTTAGGTCAAATGACAAGACCTGAATATCCCAATTGAGGTAGGCATTGCTCTCTTGATCCAAAACACCCAACACGGCGGCTTGCATGCACAGCTGATGATGCGCGAGCAACAGCAACGGCATGAGACAAGCCCGCACAGCATAGAGAATTTTTGTCAAGCACAAAACCCGGAGAGCGAGCATACATACTTGCACGACGCATGCGCGCGCGGCCGCCACCGTGGCGGCGGCCGCTGCGTTGACGTCTGCCATGTCCCCGCCGGCCTGGAGCTTGGCTGATGCGACCGCCACCCGAAGAGCTGTCACTATTGCCTCGCGCATCACGCCCCGTGAGTCAAAGCCAAAGTTACATTCGGTGCTCGTCAAAGTAGTGCCGCTGCTTTACCTGCCAAGTGCCGGAGCTTAGCCTCTGGAAAGGCAATTTCCCAAGCGACTCCCTGTAGAATGCGCACAATTGCAGCAGCATTGGCCTTGATTGCCTCAGCCTGCTCAACGGCCGCGTCCACCTATCCCACGACGCGCGGCCATACAGGCTCAGGCTATGTGGCGACACGATGATCTGCCGACCATAACACATCCCAACGAGACAAAAGGAGCGCAGGAGCCTAGAATATACGGTGGCTGTGCTCACCTGTGTTGACGTCAGGGCGCCTGTACGCATAATCAGACGCACAGGTGCATAGCCCTCCGCATTTTGGGTCACGTTGCGCACCTACACACAAATGATGCGGTCTGTTATCATAAACGACTGAACCAACACTGAATGGAACGGTCCACAGACGCTAGACGCTCGAGTCGACGCGCCACTGACCCAAATGAGCTCGTTGGTGCCGTGCATGGCGGTGTCCTCATGCATCTCCAGCTCATCGCCCTCACTCAATGCAACTTCAATCAGGCGATTCTGTGGCCGATGGTCGCGAAGAACGACGCCTGTGGAAAGCAGAGGACCTCAATCAGCTTACGACAGACTACGACAAAGCCAGGAAATGCCCTCGCTGTCATCGCGCCCGCCACCTTGTAGGGGTTGACAGCGAGAGAGCGCCTCAGCCAGTTCTTCGAGTCCAAAAACGAGAGCTTCGACCTCATCCAAAAGGTCACCAACTTCGCTGCGCGGCACCACACCCTATGGTACAATGCATGTTCGGCCCACACAGCAGAGATATTGATGCTTTCACCGGGCCCAGTTATTGCCTCCAGCCCGAACACGTACCTTCCAGCCACTGGCCGTATTGCGAAATCCGAGGTGATGCGCAGCAAAGGCGCCCACAGTGGTCCATGCGTGTGCAGCCACGCCACGAGTGTCCCCAAACACCTAAACACAGCAGCACTCAGATGAACGGCATGGGCTTGGGGAGTTTCTGAATCGGTGAGGGCTAAAGCTCAGGCTTGAAGGAGGCATGTGCAGTGTCTCGGGAACGTCAACCTAGTTGAGCTGAGTAATACAATGCATACCTCGATAATGTAGGTGTGCAGGTTGATGGCCTCCAGTGCTGAACATGGCACGACGCGAGCGAGTGGTGATTTCACGCGCACAGTAGGCTGATTGATCACGACCATATTCAAAGAATGCGAGCACCGTGCATACCACGATTCCGACTATCTTTGTCAGCTGAGCGTTTGACAAAATCGCCCGCAACGAGGTTGGTCGAGGCAGTGTCCAGCAATGTCTGCAATCGGATCAAGAATATCCAGGGCATCAAGGCACGCATGAGGCTCTCCCTTGCATTTCTGCGCGAATGCAATGCAAGCACGTGTAATCATACGCGATGTAGCTCAAGGCGTTTATGTGTCTGCATAAATGCCGTCATTCGCGCCGAATTATACGGTTGAGGAAGCGTGGGCTCCAAGGCCTAGTACAAAACGATGCCAAGCACCCCTGATGAGAGGTCACCAGAGCCACGCGCGGTGTTGGTGGCGGTGACGGGGCCATAACCATGCCTAACTCTGCCGTCTAAAGAAAGAAAGACAGATGCACCGACTCACCTCCAACAGCATCTCATCTTCTTGAATCAGCACACGCGCAAATGCCTCGGCTGCGCGCAACCCATGAGCTGAGCGCTGCAATGATTCGATCACCTAAACGGAGAAATACGAGCATATCATTTGCAAATTGGAGAAAGTCATCGACTCCAACAAGGCAGAAAAGTACAACCCAGTGTGGAAGGTGGATTACAGGGGCGCACAGCACGCAAATAACACGCACAGTGAGCTGTCGACTTGAGCTAGAAGTGTACACATAGCGTGCCATTGCGCTCAGCTCCTCATCGCTAGCAAGAGGACCGGCCACAGTTGGTCGTCATCGAACAGTTAGGAACGCTTGCTTGCACAAGCGAGCGGAAACCGAGCAGGAGCTGCCATACCGGCGAGCAAACAGGCCTGCGTGCTCGACTGTCAGTTCGAGCCGAGATGGAGTATTTTTGATAGCTTCCGCCACTTCGCCCAGCGTGCCCTCTGACAGATCATCCCCGTTCACCTGTGTTCAACATACGTTCGAAGAAAAGAGTGAGATCAGGCCAAGAAGTTCCGTGCCATCATGATATCGCGATCAACAGGACGGACACCTACCGCTACAACGCCTAAACCGGCAACGAGGCCCGCTGCCTCGGCTGGTGACCCTGGTTCGACATCACGGATGCAAACCGGGTCATTTCCGCTCTGAGCTCCAGCGATAGGTTGGCCGACACGTGAGATGGTGGAAACCCTGCCAGGTCACAGGGGTAGAACTAGCGAACGTAGTTCAAACTCTAAACTCACAAGGGTAAATCCACAGCCTGAGGGTCCGGGTTCAAGCACGACGCTTCGGGCCGTCACAGTCGTCGGTTCTACAAAGCGAAAATTGGGCGAAGTTGCAGGTGCAAGCCACTAGTTCGTGGTCAAGCAGGCAAAGGCGTAGGGTTTAAAAGCCCAACAGTAAAGACTGTGAGGCATAACTTTAGGTTGACGACAAACCTGGAACCTTGGCAAATTGGGTTGCTTACCGCATCGTCGGCTGAAAAGCGATAAAATAGACTCTTGTCTTTGAACACATGTTCATCTGCAACGTGATGAATGAAGCCAGCATTCAAGAGGGCGGAACCCAGTCGCACAGCCTCCGTACGGTCCTTGCAATCACTCTTTTTTGAATGGTAGCGCACGGCAACATTTGATCAGTTTGAAATTAATATCCATGCATCACCTGTGTCTTGCGGAGCGCCCAAGGTCCAGCCAAGATCATCGCAGGGACAAATTTACCTGCTCGATCAGCCAGTCAACAAGGGTGGTGCCCTCGAAACTCAGGGGATAGGTTTTGAGATGATGGTTGAGCTCACCAACTACATCGCTGTCCTCTGTTCCGTGCAACCGCCTGGTGACATGCCATGGATTAGTCTGCACTGGCTGCCCGGGGGTGAGACAATTGTGCAGCAGCGCCGCCATTGACTAGGCGCAGGCAGCACGCTAGAACATGACTAACAGATAGAGTTGCAGACCCTTGTTGACCGTATCATGACTGCTTGCATGGTCATCAAAAGTACCATCGTCTTGACGAAAACGATAAAGCAGTTTGCCATTCTGTGAAAACCCCACCGGTCAAAAGACCAAGAGAAGCAGTTCGTGACGTGTCGTGCCTTGTGGGATTCTCAGGGGTAGCAGGGAAAGCACGAACTGCGAGTTGTAGGCCAAGGTTCGACTCACCTCAAAGCCAGCACGGTCATGAGCATGATGTATGATGCCAACATCCACCAAGGTTTGCCCATACACGACGGCGCTTTCCTGTTGCGTGCACAATAAGCATGAGACAAGAACACAACTAGCACGTGTTGTAGGTGAGCCGCAACAGACCTCCGTGTCGAGACCATCCCAGCGCTGAGCCAAGAGCCAGCGCACGAGATCTTGGCCATAAAAAACATTTCGCAGTGAGGTCAACATGGTCTTATGGTCGCGGATGACTCGAGGCTCAGCTGCTCGGACAGCGGCTAGTAGACGTCCGCCTAAAAAAGCACAAGATGCCAGGTTGGTTTAAGTACAGTGATCCTTGACTACAGACAGTTGAGAGGGAGAAAACGCACTCAGCTCGCTGTGATCATCAAAGGAGGCCATCTTGCCCTCTTGGCTCTGTGCGATGCGCTCGACCTCGGCGTGCAATGCCTAACAGCAGCGCCATTGAGTTGTTGTCCAAAAAGAGTTGGCTTGCACAACCAAGGTAAGTATAGCTGCCAAACATACCTCGAGCCATTGCTGCTTGACGGCGGTGCTATCGGCTTGCAATACATACCACTTGCCCTTGCTCACGTTGCTTACTTTAAAAGCATTCTGCACGGCTTGGCCACTGGTTTGTACATGAGCTGTAAAGATCCACAGCCAATATGGTGTGTGAAAAGCACGAAGCCAGGTGAGCATGGAACGGCTGCTAGAAATACAATGGGACTACCTCGGCCGTCGTCAAGATCTAGCAGGGACATGTTTTGTGTGCTGATGCGACCCTTGAAAACCAAGCCAGCAGCGTCCTTCAGCGCGTCTTCGACTGGTATGATAGGATTTTCTGTAGAGGGGCGGCGATGGCGGCATCAGCGTGTCAAACAGGAGGTCGTCTATCGAAATAGGACAGCCGTAGTGAGCACAAACCGACCTTTAGCTACTGCGGCGGGCACGCCCTTGCAGTAGATGAGCTCGTTGTCAAAGAGAAAGAAAGTTCGCAGGTCCGAGTGAGCAGATTTGCCATGAGAAATGGAGAACTTGAGCAGCGTTCCGCAAAACAAAAGCTGGGTGGAAGTATCTCGCAAGTTTGGTCCCTATCCCCCAACAGCAACAACACAAACGTGATCAATCAACTCTTGAACGTGCTTGGTTGATGTCAAGCACAGACTGCAGGCCATTGCGCAACGCACCGTCCAGCCTTCAACTTGATTTTGCCATGCGTCAATGGCTTCCAGCCGCTCGAAACGGCGCTTGTCCTCGTTTACCACGTGCGCTACGTGCGCCATGGCCTCTGCAAGGCCATGGTGCATCAAGAGCCAGGTGAACGCAGCCATAGGTTTTCCCGTCGCTCTGTCACCTTCCCGTCCTTCAGCGAGCGATGTAGTAGAACAGACATACCATACGCTTGCTGGGTGACCTGGCGTTGTGTATCGGTAGATGAGCGCTTTAAAAGTTCTTTGAAGAGCAAGGGATACTTGCAGATGCGTTGCATCACGCTAAGAAGATACGCTTCAAGGTTCAGCTTGGATTGGCTTCGCAATTGGCAGGCCTGGCACAATTCAATCAAAGCGTCAGGCGTTCCAGAGTTTCGACGCGAGTGAGTTCAGGAGGTGCGATGCAATGAAGGATGTGGGCACATCAGGCATATATCGGGATCGTACGCGAATGAAGCTTCGAACGTCTGGGTGATCCAACAGGCCATAGAGGCGTTGCAGTCCGCGAACCTACACAGGGCATCATTTCAAACCCCGAGGCAGTTGAGTTTGGGTCCCATCGCAATGTTGGGCGGTCTTTTTGCGTGGCTTACATGACCCCGGCAATACTCCGAGTAAATCTGAAAGCGTGTACTCTAGCGGAGTCACAGCAGCTTGGTAAGGGCCATAGGCAATTGTGAAGCATCAGCTGCCTCACGATTAAAACTGACGTGTTGCAGAAAGACGCGTTGACAGGCCACATCATCTCCCTCATTCGCAAAGGCCGCCTCGAGAGCATCGACGAATTCAGCCTGAAAGGTCAGGATGTCCACCAGATTGCTATGCCATCAGCGCATCAATGTGGGTCAAAAATCAGCGAGGGTTATGCCAAGTGAGACAGAACAGACGCACGGCGCATCGTGCACGGCACGCGGCAAACAATGTGCACTTTCGGCAGAACGTACACGAACACATCACGGATTGCGTCCTCGCTAACATGCTCGCACTTCTGGAGTGGCTCAATGTAGCTCTGGAAAGGACAACATGGGCAAAGAGATCCCAAGACGCATATGAATAAGATGTGCAAGCACAGGCCTGACGAATGCATGATACACAAACATTTCAAGGGTGCCCTCACAGCAACCTACTGTTTGCACGAGGAGCAAGCCGTTGACGTAATCGCGCTCGGTCGTGACGAGCTCCTCGAGGACACGCCAATACACGAGGTCTGCCATGCTGCCAGCACACCCCTCCCGGCTCACTCATCAAAAGAGCCCGCCACGGATGGCCAGCATGTACCAGCAACCGGGAGGCCTCGCTGTCCCGCGGATGCCGATTGCCAACTGCGGTCCACACACACTGCACCGCGCACCTCCGCTGACCAACGTCATGAAGCTCCTCTGCCGACCTCAGCTCCGTTAACTCGATCAACACTATTTGCCATAAAATGCTGACAATGGCTCTTCTCTTCAGTTGGACATGTGGTGTGCTCTCTCTCTCTCTCTCACTCTCTCTCTCTCTCTCTCTCTCTCTCTCTCTCTCTCTCTCTCTCTCTCTCACACACACTCACCGCACACACGCACGCTGAGTTGCATTTGAAAGGCTCTCTCATCTGAATCGACGACATGGAGTTGTGCAGCGCTGCATGCAGTGCATCCACGGGTGCTGCGCGCTGGCAGCGTGGTACCAGCGTGTACGCGTATGGTGCTGGCCGGCGCCTGCTGATTGTCGACACACAGGTACGGCGCTGTAAGCCTTGGAACAAGGGCTCATCACTGCAATACAAGAAGGCAATCGTGCGGCGTCACGCTGGTTCATCTCGGCACACTTGATAGGAGGCCCGAGAACCTCGCGTCGTCGCAGCTCTGCTGGGCCACACCGATCGCATCAACTGTGTGGCCTGGTTGCCAAATACAGACATTGTTTTGAGTGGCGCCACCGACGCCACCCTACGAATCTGGGCCAAGAATCCGGTTCGTGGCCGCGCCCCCGGTCAGGTGGCCGCGCAAATGCTCGGGCACAATCTCACGGGATATTAAAAAAAAATGAATCGAATCATGGGGGCTAGGATACGGAATTGTACGGCTGTATCGCAGTTCTTGAAGGCCATACACGCTCCGTTGTGGCCGTCACCGCCCTGCAGCTTCACGATGGCAGCCATCTAGTGGCTAGCGCCTCAGCCGATCATACCGTGCGACTGTGGCATGGTGCTTCATCATCCTCATGGGCCCCCGTGCAGACAATTGAGTGTGGCCGTCACTTTGCCCTGTGCCTCGCGCTTGACTATCTGCCCGGTGCGGCCATGCGCGCCTATCTTGGCCCCTTTCCCAGCCACTAGCCCAAGAACAGGGCAAGCAAGAGTCCCTTACTCACCCGCTATGTCTTTTTTTGTTTTGCACCAGGCGAAACCTCAGCTGTCATCTTGGCTGCCGGTCTCTCCAATGCCAAGTTGCATCTCTATGCAGGAGCGACGCCCACCGCTGACAACACGTTCAACTTGGCAGAGGTGGACATTGTGGCTGGACACGATGACTGGATTCGGGCCCTGGCCTTCACACGGCGTGGCGATGGTTGGTGCATCCTGCGTGCACCTCCCCTTAGCTCAGTGGCGGTTTGATTTTTTGAGCTTGGTGCTAGCCAAGGAATAAGCTGACGGCCTGCGGTCTATCTGACACTCGGGATCTGGTCGCAGAATTGCTCTTGGCCAGCGGCGCTCAAGATAGCTACATTCGCCTCTGGAGCATCGCCACGACCCAGAGCACAATGCTTGTCAATCAAGGTGTGTCCCCTGTGCAGCAAACAGGCCTATCTTAAGAGGCCGCTCTGTGACCATCTCATTCTTTGCGACCTTGCCTAGACGACTTTAATGCCTTGCTCGAGTCCTCGGAACGCCGTTTTACCGTTGCTGAACAACTGACGTATGTTGCATCTGGCCTGCGTGAGTATTGTGTTGCTTTGACCACCAACTCAAACTTGATCCGCTCGGCAATGGTCTCCAGCTTTCGCCTGCGCCTCGAGGCATTGCTGATCGGACACGATGGGCAAGTCTATGGCCTGGATTGGTCTTACGCCTCTGATGAGGACATAACGCTCCTTTCTGCCAGCGCCGACAAGACCATGATGCTCTGGAAATACGACAAGAAGGTTGGGTGGTGCTCCTTGACCTTGTATTTTGAAGCGAGATGTTGAGTGCATCTTCCCAGTTCTCGTGTGCCATGAGCCTTGATGTAGCGGCCTTGGTTGCTCTCCGTATTTTGCAATAGGCTGATGTCTGGTTGGACGAAGCCCGGCTGGGAGAAGTGGGTGGCAACACCTTGGGCTTCTTTGGGTGCTGCTTTGGTGCCAACGACAACGAAGTGCTTAGTCATGGCTATCAAGGCGCTTTTCACTTTTGGCGACGCTCAGAAACCGGAAAGGCTTGGCAACCACAAACTGTGCTGAGTGGTCATTTTGCCGTATGTCCATATGCCGTGCAACGATTGGCGCGGTGCATGATACCAACATACGCTCAATTTGGTGTGCAATTCTTGCAACTCAGGCGGTACGAGATGTGGCGTGGTCTCCCGACGGCCGCTTTGTCTTGAGTGTTAGTGAGGATCAATCCGTGCGCCTCTTTGCACAAGCGACTGGCCATGCCGGCTGGCATGAGCTTGCTCGACCCCAGGTACTTTCAAAAGTGCCCGCCCGAAAAAAATCAAGGAGGTGCATCTGGCTGAAGTGTATTTTAACACTTGATTCACGCGTGTGGCTTGATGTTCCGTCCCTCAGGTACACGGCTACAACATGCGCTGTTTGGCCTTCACTGGCGACCTTGCCTTTGTCTCGGGCGCCGACGAGAAGGTGTGTGTAGACGGAAGCTCGCAGCAACGGGGCGATGCAGGCTCTCTTCACCGGTAGAGGCGAGGTTGCACTGGAACCTTGACTCTCCTGCTGCATTGGCAGGTATTGCGGGCGTTTGAGGCACCAGCCACGTTTGTGTCTAGCTTTGCCAACGTCAACGGACATCAGTATCCCGAGGTCAGTAGCGCAGCCGTTCAACCTTTGAACCGAGCGACTACCTGTGCCTAATCGACACTGCTGCCGCTGGCTGAACGCTGCTGGCTGCTATACCCTTATCGTGTTAGCGGGCCGAACGGCCGTTTGGCGCCAGTGTTCCAGCCTTGGGCCTGTCCAACAAGGTATGCTGGTTCCCCTTACCAGTGATGCTCGCATCCACACCTCTGACGCTGCATTTGGGATCTTGGCTTTGAACGCCTTTAGGCCATTTCGTCCGACGAACATAATGCCACTGTTCAGGAGGAACAGCTGGGCTATCGTGCAAGTGATGATGCTGTTCTTCCTTCTCGACCAACGATCCACACGGGCAAGTCAATGTCGAGAAGTGGCGAGGATTTCGTCATCATGACATGGATCATGTTCTTGGGTTTTCTTCTCCGGCGATTTGGGCTGAGTACTCCAAACCCCGTGGTGCTATCTTCTCAAGCACCTCCGTCCACTGCCACTTGCACATGTCATTTACAGCACCCCCATTGGAAGAAGACTTGATCCAAAATACACTTTGGCCAGAGAGCGCGAAGCTGTACGGTCATGGCTACGAAATTCTGGCCGTGGGCGCTGCAAGGACGCAGCGTGTGCTCGCTACCACGTGCAAGGTCCGTGCTTTGACCTGGGCTTCAAACGGGCTTTTGCATTGAACTGCATGAGGGGGTTCAGTCGATTCACAAAGTTTCTTGAGATCTGCTCGCCTCTGCCTGACAAGAGAATGCTGGGTGTAGGCAACTTCGCCAGAACATGCTCTGATCATCCTGTGGAGCGCCGATAATTATCAAATTGTACGCACTGTTTGCTATTGGCGGTGGTCAAAATGAATTCAAGGGGAAGGGGAGAGGGAGCTTCGTGGATATATCTTTGGTCTGGTTGTCCGTCGACCAACAATCTGGCAGACTAACCCTGGTTTCTTTGATTTGTGCTCGTGGGATAGTTGGGTCGCTTGGCGGGACACACGCTCAGCGTCGTCAAGTTGGCTTTTAGCCATAACGAGGCATATCTTGCCTCGGTGTCGCGTGATCGCTCCATTTGCCTACATCGCCGCACACCCGACGCTGAGCGTAGGTCGTTTGTTCCCCATTCTACTCGCCACACCCTTTTTTTGATTCGGAATTACACTGGTGCGCGCTGGCTTACGTAACCCGTATCTTACCTCCATCAGAGCCATACGGTGACACCAATGTTTTTCCCAAAGCCCACGACCGCATCATCTGGTTTGTGCAAATCGGTTCGATGCGCCTTGTCATGTCCGCGCTCATTCTGGCTTGCTTCATTCTTGTGTGGCTTGTCCACAGATCAAGGTTTGGTTGGCTGCCGACGGCCAGCTGACACTTGCAACTGCATTGCGCAAGCTACACAGCAGCGTCACCTCGGTTGCCTGTCATCGACGGTGCGTACTGCAACCGACAATTTCCGACAGAGGCTGTGCCCGACAACGGAGAGGTCATTTCCTCTGACACTAAGTCACCTACAGGAACGATGATGGCGACGTGGTTGCTGCCGGATTTGAGGACGGTAGCATCCACATTTTCCACTTGGATCCAGCTGGCCAGCTGGCAGAGCTCCAACGTTTTGAGGCCGGACATATTCACAGTCAAACCGTGACTGCTCTTGCGTTCCAACCCCAGCACGACCCGACCGACATCATTCGAGTACGCCGAGTCAAATTTGCCCTGTAGTCCACCATCTTGACGCGCCCGCTAGCTTGCTGCTTGGTCTCACGCTCGACACCCCACGCCCATGCCATGTTTTTGTTTTTTGTTTTTGCCCTGGCTGCAGCTCGCAACGGTCAGCGAGGACCACGCGCTCTGCATTTTGAACCTTACCACCCTGCCTAGTCCGACTACCTCTGCTGCGCCATGAAGTTGCTGAAACCACATCGAGCTGCCAGACAGACCAAAGCAACCCATGAGGTGCAACAGTTGAACATGATTAACATGTCAATCGCAGGAACACACCTCGACCACCTCACGAGCACAAGTAGAAGTCACCCAAACAAGGAAATTGACTTTTCCATACGCACATCACCCAATGAGGTTTTCACCTTTTTGTCAGATAAACTCCTTTTGACATGTCAGACAAACGATTCATGTTTGACACGGCAGAGGCACGACCGCGTGCTCTCTCTCTCTCTCTCTCAAACTCTCTCTCTCAAACTCTCTCTCTCTCTCTCAAACTCTTTTTCCAACGCACGACGGGAGGCTGGTGACCCCATCGATCTGTACGAGGAAGAGCGCCTCGCCACGTAGCAGGGGAGAGCACAAGTGTATTGGGTACGGGAGGTGGAGGACTGAGTGGTTGAGAACGGACAGACATGCTGAAGAAGAACAACTTTAGCAAGAAGACCCGCAAGGGCGCCGTCCTGAAGGTGTCCCGCGAGCACTACCTCCGCGATGACATTCATTGTCGGCTGCATGGTGCGTACATGCCCCTATGCCATGTTCTGAACCTACATCTGGTAGCTGCTGCTTCCTGCGCCAGCGGCAGCCAGCCTACCAGCCTCGAACTGGCCCGGCCTTTGGATATACACCTCAACAGATCACCGGTCTGTGGCCCCGCCTATGCTCCTAGGCTGCACCAAATGCCAACAGACCGAACCCTGTCTAGAGCCCGGCACCGTGCTCGTTCCCGACACCAATGCCGTTCTACATCAGGTATTTTGTTTGCAACCTTGAGCAACACCGAACCAGCACATGCTGCAGGATCCCGGAGTGCGCGCTTTGATCAGTCAGCACTCATGCTCTCAAATGTTTTGCAGCTCGACGTGTTGGAGCATCCATCCGTCAAAAACGTGGTCTTGACCACCACCGTTTTGGATGAGGTCAAGCATCGCAGCCTGGCGGCCTATCAACGTATCCGTGGCATTAGTTCAGACGCTGCCAAGAGGTTCTATGTCTTTTCTAACGAACACAGCAAGTAGGTGATCATGGACTGATTACACGACACCATGTCATCCAGGCTACTCCCTCCACCAATCTCCGCCAGTCCTGACTGTGGTACACTATGCAGGGATACACACGTCACAGCAGAGGAAGGAGAGAGTCCCAATGACCGAAACGATCGCGCAATTCGCCGAGCCGCTGCCCATTACAAAGAGCATGCTGAGACTTGCCCCGAGGAGTTTGCCGTCATTCTGCTCACCAACGATGCCGAGAATTTGCGTCGGGCCCGAAATGAGGGGTTGGCAGCCTACAGCGGTACGCAAAAGTGATACCTTCATTCGGTTTTCTTTAAAGCAATAGATGTCTCAAGATGTGAGGTGCTTATACGCCGCTGTTGACATGTTTTGCCCCAGTGCACGAATGGGCCAAGCGGTTTGGCCCTAGCCCGGATTTGGTGGACCTGCTTGCAACCATTTCCGACGCTGTCGAAACGGCCATTTGCAAAGAAGATGAAACGACCGTGTTTGAGGCCCACCTCTCACCTGCTGAAGTCCAAGGCGGACTCAAGGCTGGAAAACTTGTGCAGGGCACCCTGCGCATCTCCAGGTTCGGCCTCGCAATTCTCCCACAAACACCACACCCACTCCCATGCCGGCAAGCGTATATATGACCCCATTGCTTGTGACAACTCACAGAGAAAACACCCAGGAGGCCTTTGTCAAACCTCGCGACGATCCAGAGCATCCCGTCTTTGTCCCTGGCAACTTGATGAACCGTGCTGTTGACGGTGATTTGGTTGCGTTGCAGATCTTGCCCGAGAGTCAATGGCAAACTCCAAGCGGTATCATCGAGCGCCCCGAAGGTACTCACCTTGTTATGGACGGTACTCAGGTGAGCGGCAGAATATTGCTTTCAGAGTGCTTGTGCGACACTGAACCCGTAATCATTTTCATGGAATCGGCGCGTGAGACGCGCTTGCACCGTACAATGTTTTGATTCGTCCTGCCCGTGCTTGTTTCTTCTTCTTTTTTTTCAACAGGACGCCGAAGGAGAGCTGGAGGACATGCAAGAGCGTACTCAGCGCACTGGTCAAGTTGTTGGTGAGACCTGATGATCCGGACATGCCAAGCTGGCGTGCACCTGCGCCACTAGCCTTGCCGACGCTCACCTGCTTTTTTGATTAGGCATTGTGCGACGGCGCTGGCGGCCCTATTGTGGTATCTTGGCCGCCAATTCCAACACCGCTTCGCCAAACCTGTTCTTGTTCACGGCCAAGGAAGCCACCCTACCACCTATTCGCTTTCGCTCCCAGCAACCTGACAAACTCGTGGGCCAACAAATTGTGCTCGCTGTGGATGGCTGGCCGACCAACAGCAAATACCCGATTGTACGATCCCACTCACCCAACCACCTCTCGCTCGCTCTCACAGGCGCCGCTTGCATGCTCACGACTTGTGGTGGGCTCATTCTGCGCCCTGTCGTGCCTTTTAGGGTCACCTCGTCCGCGTGTTGGGGCCCATTGGTGATGTCAACACGGAAACCGAGGTTGTTTTGCTCGAACACGCTGTACCCTTTGAACCGTTTTCGAAAGCGGTGCTGGAGTACGTCACGATTGTCGTTGTTTGCTTGTTTGTTTGTTTGTTTTTTCTTAAAGGAAGATGGAAGGGCTTCAGAGGATAGTTGCTTTTCCACAGCTGCGCAACTTTGTACCAAGTCGCACCTTGAACCCTCTCCGCCCTTACCATTTCTGTTCTCACATGACTTTTGCTGGGTCTGGGCATGTGGGTTGTACCTGCCTCGATAGTTGTTTGCCAGACGCAACTTGGCTGGCCGCAGAGCAAGACCTGTCCCGGCGCGAGGATTTGCGGCATTTGGAAGTCTGCAGCATTGATCCCCCAGGTCTCGTGCATCATCGCACTACAGCACGTCATGTGGACGCTTTCGCGAAGGGTCCCGCGCTCACATCCGTCAAACGCAAACGGCAGGTTGCACGGACATTGATGACGCTCTTCATTTACGTGACTTGCCCAACGGCCACTTTGAGGTGGGTGTACACATTGCTGACGTGAGCCATTTCATCAAACCGAACACCGCCTTGGATCAGGAAGCGGCCAAGCGTGGCACGACCGTGTATTTGTCCAACCGCCGGTATGTTTTTCTGGCTTGAACTCAGCGTCATATTTTTGGCCGTTGCGCTTCTGACACTGAACTCTCGGTCGTGATTGGCAACGCTAGCATTGACATGGTGCCAGGGCTGTTGAGCTCGAACCTGTGCTCGCTTCGCGGTGGCGAGGAGCGATTTGCCTTTTCTTGCATCTGGGAAATGACGGATCAGGCTGACATCATTTCAACTCGCTTTTGCAAGTCCATCATTCGATCTCGCGTATGTTTGTTGCGCCCTTGCTTTCGGGGCCACACAACCTCGATGCCGTCGTTGTTGCTAGACTACGCTCCTTGGGCCACCTGCACTCATTGTTTCATGCGATGACAACACCCAACGATAGGCTGCGCTCGAGTATTCTGAAGCACAAGCACGCATCGATGATGAGACCGACCAAACCACGTTGACCGACTCAATCCGCCGCCTCAATGCTTTGGCTAAGATTGTGAAGCGGCGGCGCATTGAAGCTGGTGCCCTCATGCTGGCATCGCCCGAAGTGCGCTTCCGCATTGACACAGAAACTCACGACCCCGTGGATGTGCAAATGAAGCAACTTCATGACACCAACTCGCTTGTGGAGGTTTGTCACGCGTGGTGGACAGGATCTTTCCGGTCTAAACGCCTGATCGCCGGCCGTGGGATCCATCTTGCGAGTTCTTGACAAGATACACATGAGCTCCCTACATTCATTGTCCTTTTTGCCGCCGCTTCGATGATAATCGCACAGGAGTTTATGCTATTAGCCAACGTCTCATCAGCTCGAGAAATACACAAACAGTTTCCCACATGTGCCGTCCTGCGTCGCCACCCAGCGCCCCCTCCGTCCAACTTTGAGCCTTTGTTGAAAGCGGTCCGTAGCTGGGCTCGCATTCTTGCTTGCTCAGTTCTATTTATATATTGCGGACTGAGAGGCCTCGTGTCTTCCCTCATCGCATGACACGCTCGCACCATTGCATATCGTCCCTCAAATGATTGCCTTTGCGCGTGCTTCAGGCCGAGGCTGCAGGTGTCACCCTGAGCACGACCTCATCAAAAGAGCTGGCGGTGTCGTTGGATATGGCCCAACCCGAAGGCCAGCCTTATATGAATACTCTTCTTCGCATTTTGGTCCGTGGTTTTCGTGCCAGTTGAACATACATTCTATTCCTTTGAGCACCTGCTGGCCACGGGTGTATGGCCGTCTCGCACCTTGATCCAAGCCATGTCGTTGCCATTATTGTGAATTCGCCCACAATTGCTGCGTTTTGCCGACCCCGCCCTCACGGTCTCTTTCATGACACAGGCCACTCGATGCATGCTCCCTGCTCAATATTTCTGCTCAGGCACTGTGCCACAGACTGAGTTTGGCCACTACGGTGTGTTGGGCTTTGACCGCGGCTCTACACACGCTACGATGGCACTTACAAAAAACGCACATCGTCAACCCCTGCCCGTCGCTCCTGCAAATGCCAATGGTGGTGGCCCACACGTTCATCCTAACTTCTCCTTATCATTGCCCGAATAGGTTTGGCAAGCCCAATCTATACCCATTTCACCTCGCCCATCCGTCGTTACGCGGATCTCTTGGTACACCGGCTTTTAGCAGCCTGTATTGGCGCTGATCCTACCTATCCTGATCTGCTCAACAAGGTGAGTTTTATGTGCCCGTCAAGGATGGTTCAAATCCTTTTCCACTCTGCCTGACACCTCCTTTGCATTAGGACAAAATCGCCAGCATTTGCGATAACCTGAATTTTCGCAACCGACAAGCCCAGTATGCGGCACGGTCTTCATTGGAACTGCACACATGCCTCTTCTTCAAGGTCCGTCATGAGCAAAGCCACACAAATGATTTAGACTTTCTTTTTTTCTTTTTTTCTTTTTTTTTTTTTTTTTTTTTTTTTTTTCTTTTTTTTTTTTTTTTTTTTTGGTTTCAGTTTGGCTTCATTTTGTCTGTGAAACTGATTGCGCGGTGTTTGGTGCGATACCCGTAGAAACGAACCACGCACGAAGAGGCGTACATCATTCGGGTGCGAAAAAATGCGATTGCTGTGCTGGTGCCAGCATATGGCTTGGAAGGCCGCGTCTACTTTGATGCAGCGGACGGCCAGGCGCCCGAGCTGAGTTATGATGAAAACAAGATGGCGCTCACTGTCACCAAAGACGACCAAGTTTGTGATCAAGCTCTTTGCCTTTTTTATTCTTCTGATCAACCACTTGTGCTCACGGTGGCATCGGTGTTTGTGGTGCCCTCTCCAACAGCACATTAACTTGCGTGTCTTTGACAAGGTCAAGGTCCAAGTTCAAGTGGATAGCTCGGATCCTCAGCGAGAACAGTACGTGTTGCGTGGCTGGCATTGACAGGAAAGAGTGTACATGGTATTCAAATGCTGATCGATTGAATTCTGGCCTAGAATGCTTGTGCGTTTGGTTGAGCCGTCGCTGCCCGGCGTTACGGTGCAAGTGCCTTTGGCAAAGGATGCACATGCTGGCAAGCGCCACGCAGCTGAGTTGACGCAGTCGACAAACACTGATGCAGCGGCCTCACCCAAAAAGTCAAAAAAGCCCGCTAAAATGTTGCAGAACAAGAGCAGCAAATAATGCCGCTGGCCTGTTTTATTCAACTTCAGATCGAGCGAGCTGCAAATTGACGAGCAACGATAAAAGCCCATGCGATAATCCGACGCTCACGCAAATGTGTTCATGCGTTCGTTTCGACCAAAACAAGCTTGAGAAAGATGGTGTCAAACAGATACAAGAAGGAGAAATTTAACATTGCGAATGACTCAGGGTTCGGCGGCGCAGCTCTCACGATTCCTGGGACAACTGATGCTGACTGGGGAGCTGATCGTTGCGATCCGTTTCAAGCCGCCACTCGCCGATTTGTGTGCAAAATGTGTGGCGACACTGCAGGTGAGAGGCATCCCGTAGCGCCGTCAACTTTAGCTTGATGGCTTGAGCTCGCACGGGCTTGGCTAGAGCAAAGTGCTTGAGCTCATGACGCTGGGCAAAAGTTTGATTGAACCGCTCATCAACCGTCTCCCAAACGTGAGAATCGGCTTCTTGCACCAGCAACGTCCTGCAATTTGGACATGAGATCAGTGTCGCTCAGGCAGGCAGTTAACAGGAGCCGAAAAGGTTGAGGCAAGGGGCAAAAGTTAAAGAACAACAAACCAGTTGGCGGGGTCGCGTAGCTCAAAGTCATCCGCGGAGCGAATGGCATAGCTGCGCAGTTCTACTGCGTCAGGAAAAACAATGCTGAGCCAAGGAAAGGTATCGTAGAATTGACTGGGTTCCCACTGCACATGCCATTTTGTCGAGTTGCTGCCGTCCAATGCATGGGCGGGACCTTCTTTGCTCCCAAAGGTCGAACCACCGCAGCAAGCACAGGCGGTCACGTTGTTGTCGTAGAGGCCACAAACTGCAAATACGAAGCAAAGTAGATTTATGCAGAAGAGTGTGGGTGACCTGACAACAGAACCACGAGAGAAGGGCGTAGCTCGGGGAAAGCAGGCAACCCCGCAGGAAGTGACGCATGCAGCATACCGGGGGTGGGTGGCAGGGGCTTGGGTAGATCGTGCAAGATGAGTTCATTCAGGGTCAAGACGCGGTCGTTAGAATTGCTGGAGGCAGTAAAGTTGAAGCGGTAAAAGGCAAAGGGCGTGGCAGTTGTTGTTGAAAACGTTTGGTCCGTCAATATGGACCAGTCCACGGCCTCGCGCGCATCAATTTTCACCCACGTCCCCGCTTTGTCAGTGGCTCCGTACACAGTCCAAGCTGTCGGTGCCGAATCATCCACGATCAGCTCGTAGGTTTTGAGCACAAAAGGCTGGGCATCCGGGGATTGGAGGGTCAATACAATGGGCAGTTTCGTGTGCTTATCTATCGTCCACGCAATAACCATGAATAAGAGGCTCTCAGCCGACTGATTTTACCAAAAGCATTGGCAACATACCATCGTATTTCCAGGGCTGGCGCCAGACCGTGCCAACGTCACCGTCCATGATTGCTTTGATACCATATCCGACTTCAGGATATCCACGCACACAGGCCTCAGCTTGACTGGGCCCAACATCACACACTTCTGAGATACGAAGGCGTCGAGTTGGCATTGCCGGTGATGAGAACATGGTGAACAAAATCAGACCAAGCTGAAATCGCACCCCAAGAACAAGGGCACAGCCTGTGGCCTGGGCCAACGCACCAGGATCCGGCAAAGCAAACGACGGGGGGGCTGGCTTTTTTTTCCATGACCCTTGAAAGTTGTGATGAATCAAAATCTCATTGCCAGGAAAGTTGGGGGGAGCAACGTAGCCTATGCTCGGCAATACAAGAGTGGGCATGAATGCTAGCCGGCGCAGAGTCACGAACACGCATACATACATGCATAGATAGACACAAAAGCACAGCAATCACGATGGTCGTGGCGCACGTACCAGCCGAGCCGGTACCAAAGGCACGCAGAGGAAGCAGCAAGACATCTCCAACCAAGTAAAAGTTGTCACGTAACGAGTCTGACTCAAAGGGTGCGACACCAAATTCAACGCCAAATTCTTCGTCGAAAAAGCCGGTCACGGCATCAGACCAGACGGCAGGGCCAGTCAGGTCGACCGCACTCGCTTGTTGCACCTTGAAACGATGATGATCGATGTGATGAGCTCGACATGTAAGGGTTAAAAAGGTTGGCTGGTATGAGCGGAATGACAGTTTGGCATTGGGTACCTGGGCATCCGTTCGGTTATCAAACTCGGCCCAGATGTTATCAATCACGCGTGCCAGGATTGGATGCTGCGGGATGGATGCAATCGTCCATTGACACATCTACGACATAGAAGAAGAAGAAAACGAGGCAGCCAAAATTGCATCAGCATTGACGTCGGACTAGGCACGATGGTCATCCTACAATCAGGAGGAGAAAAGCTTCACGTGCGCCGTGCCAGACAAGGACGCTGGCTCGCTGGCCCACGACAACACGCCTCCACATCGAGTGTGCGAACCTGATGCTTGCGCGCAAACCACTTGCGCCAGTCTGGCCGCTTGCCCGTGATGACTTCAAAACCAACCATCATACCAACGTTGAAGTGGGCATGTGCTCGCCTACAGAACAGAAGAGTTGGGCATGTTGCATATCAGCAATGGGCTCGGGCGCGCCGTTGACAAATACATGGAGCAAGCGGGCGTGCAGTGGGCCATTGAAGGCTGCTGAAGACGCACCATTGCCACTCGTCAATTGGCTGCGCACACTCGACATCAATGTCGGCATAGACTCCACCCTCATCGTACAGAATCAAGTAGCGGAAGAGATCCGCCTTCATGATGGGCGACATGCGCGCATACAGGGGCTTGAGCTCAGGATGTCGCTCGTGGATAAGCTGATCAATGTCCCGATCGGTGTAGAACCTGAAAGAAACATGCGGGTTCTTTTCGTGAAATGTTGTGGATTGATCAAAGCCGAGTCTGCTGTGCGCGGGAGGATGAAGAACGCCATAGGCGCTATCAGCGCAGCACCGATGGCATACTTGTACGTGTAGTCGGGGTTGAGTTGCTTCCATGATTGCACGGGCGCGATGCAGTTGGCAGGCACATTCTGCGGAATCATGATGCAAGCAAAGAGGCGTGCCCGTCAGCGCCAGCGAGCGATATAGTAAGGTGGCTTGCAGCCGGGCGGGTCTCAGGAGACTCGAGTGGACGCAGGTCGCCCGCTCTGCAGATGGAGTGGATATGCCAGTGCGCTGATCTGACCTCATCCTTCCAGGTCTGATGGATGATCTTAGGAATGGCAATGTGTGCCTCCTTTTGGCTCTGATGGTGCATCTGGTGATCTGCTCCCATATTAACGTGCACAGACGGGAACGAGAAGCGAAAGTCCCCGGCTTGGCGGTGACTGTGCAGGTAGAGCACGAGGCCAGCCGTCGCGACCAGATACGCGATCAAAAAGAATCGCGCGATCTGCGGCCACCTCATGGTCCCGGCTGCCACACCACCCCCACCCCCACCTCGTCTATACCCCCACGCACTGCCTCACCCCCCAGGCACATCCGACACACCCTCGGCACTGATAATCTCCCTCCCCCCCCCCACACCCTCCTCGCTCTTGTCTCCGCAGCTCATCCAGCGGCTCTCTCTCTCTCTCTCTCTCTCTCTCTCTCTCTCTCTCTCTCTCTCTCTCTCTCTCTCTCTCTCTCTCTCTCTCTCTCTTTCTTTTTGAAATTTGTCTCCAAATTCTGTTCACGAAGGGTTAATGTAGTTTATGATGGACTTTCTGCAGATTTGTTAACCTTGCTCATTCAAGTTGCTGCGCCAAAAATAACGTCGCGGTGTCATATGGGGAGTGGTGTCCAAACGGCCAACTCTCTCTCTCGCTGGTGCTGCCAGCGCCTTTGTGATGGGCTGCTTCTCGAGATGAACGGAAGAGCACGAATACAGTCTGTATTGATTGCTGAACCCGGTCTTCGACCAGACCTACATCAATCACCAGTGTGGCATGATGCAGCGGTTTCCCAGAGACAGTGAGTCTTGCTGATGTCCTTTATTTCTTTCGGCGGCTAGCGGGACCTTTTTTCATGCGCTGCTCGTCGGCCTTGCGCTTGCAAATAGGAATGTGTCGCTCAGCCGCATCTTCGTTGAAGGTACGGCCACAGTGTTGGCACTACGTGTCGAAAATGGCCGTTCAATTACCATGGCAGAAACCGGTCGGTGAGACGATGCACTACAGCACGACATCGCCCAGGCGAGTCACCAGATCCATGCACGTACCTTGACCAGCGAAGGGTCTTCCATGGCTGGCGGGGCGGTATCGCCTGTTTTAGCAGCGCGAATTGCGGCAACAAAGTCCTGATGCTTGCGCTTCCAATTATTCTGCCACGCATGAGATCATCAACGAGACGAAACGAGTAAGCACCCTCCAAGAATGCGGGGGGTTTGTCGACTCAGCTCAGGCAGGGATTCCACGGCCAGCTAGCAAAACAAACCTTGCGAACTTCGTTCTTTTTCTGATACTTCTTTTCCGTACGCTCGGCATTTTTCGCGAAAGCAATGGCTTCAGAGCCCATGGCCTGGAGTCGCTGTTTTTTTACGTCAAAGGCTTTACGCTTGGAGTCCTGATTTTGTCGGCACACCTTTTGATGCTTTGCCAGACTACGAGGGTGGATTCAAAGGTGCATAAGATGGAATCGTTTCCAAATTGGTCAAGACCATTGGCCGAAAATTCGAAAGTTGAGTCGACAAGAAGACGCGGTGCAGATGTGGCGGTACCAACCGATCGGCTGCAAAACTGCGGCCACATGTGGGGCAGGGCATCAAAGTCAAAATAGTTCCATCCTCAGTCTCAATGGTCGCAGGCTCCGGCACCTGATACGTCGCTGATGGCATTGCAGGCTCATCCACGGCCGGTACCACCTCGGCTGGGGGATTTACAGGCGGAGCTGGTCTAGAAGCATGAATGGTTGTTAGTATGCGAGAAGAAACGAAATGGCCTGTCCAGCGCTCACCCGAGCCGCAATCGGTTGAAAGACTCACGTGGGGTCAGACTGCTCGGCAGGGGGCGCCACGGACTGAACCGCGGGACGGTGTGTCGGTAAGGGTGGTGAGGCGGCCCGTACAGGGGCGGGCACTGCATCATCGGCATTATCACCGTCATCGCCCTGCTGCTGTTGTCGCTCAATGCGCTGCTGCTCACGCTTAGCTTCACGCTCGCGCAGCCGTTGCCGCCGCTCCTCGGCGCGCTTTTCTCGTTCCTACAAGTCAACAGAACGCAAGAACTTTGGATTGAGAAGGATGCTGGCGGAGAGCAGCCAGTCCTCGCCATTGGGAAGAACAAAGAGTGGCCACCAAACAGGCATTGAGCCCCAAAACCGGCGCAGAACAAGATACAGACAACATGGTCACTACTTGCCTCAGCTTCCTGCTGCCGCTTCTTGGCCATGGCAGCCATTTTTTTCCGGCGAGCGGCTTCAACGTGCTCAGCCTCAGCTGACGCGGTGTCCCGCTGTGCTTTTTTCAACTGCTCGTGTGCCTCCAGAGCTTGCTCGAGGTCTTGAGCTGCAGCGACGGATTCTTGGCTTGGCGGGGGGGGCGAGGGGTCGACGGAAGTGGCTGAACCCGTCGAGGAGCTTGCCTTGACGTGGGGTCGACGACGACCAGGGGCAGCTGCTTCAGTTGGGGGTGCTGCCACTTTTGGACTCGGTGCACTTGCCTTGGGCGCGGCTGCAGCCTTTGGACTCGGTGCGCTTGCCTTGGGTGGGGTCGTGGCCTTTCGGCTTGGTGCACTTGCCTTGGGCGGCGCAGCGGCCGCAGCTTTGCGATCCTGTGTTGCAAGTTGGGCCTGTGGCTTTTTGTCACTTTTGGGGGCGATGGGAGCAAGTACAGGATGCTTGCCCGCGCTGTGAATGTCGCGAACTGGATCGGTGGGGGGGCGCCAGTGGGGTGGGGCAGAGGTATTGCGCTCAAGGTTGGTATCATCCTGCTGGGCTCCGGCCAGTGGGGTCAGGTGGTGGTTTTTGTAGCGTAAATTAGGCTTGTTCATGGGCCGGCGGGACACCATGGTCGTGAAGCTAGTTTCGCGGGGATTGCGCACGGGGCCGTCGACAAGCTGCACGGGTGCATCATCCAGATCTGGGTTGTGGCCCACAGCTGGGTCACGTTTCGTACTGGAGCGATTGCGGGCGAGTTTGCTTGGTCGGCGCCGTGGATTGGAATTGGCAGGTGGGGCAGCAGAGGCGGCCGTGCCTTGACTGCCGCTTCCTCTCCGTCGACCAGGGTCTGGTGCTCGCGGTCCTGTCGGCTTTGGAGCAGCAGTTGTGGTCGTGGCTGCGGCCTGCGCCAGAGCCTTTTTCTGAATCATCGTAGCAGACATGAGGGCGTGTCGGTTGAAGCAAAGGCCTGTGCACCAATAGCAAACGGGATCAAAGGGGATTCGACAACGAACCTGGGCGCGAATGCGTTCGCGTCGGTGCTTCAGATCATCGTACTCTTCCTGGTGCTCTGCCACAAACTGTGATTGAAACTGTCGCTGTAGTGCACTAACGCTCTGCACGCTCCGCTGGCGCTGCGCCATGGCTAGCCGTTGGCGCGGCGGCAATGGACACAAATGCTGTGCTCACCCGTGCAGCGAAGCCAACGGTCATGCCACGCCCACAGAACGACCCAAAGGCGCCGTCCAACCGAACCGCGGTCTCAGCGGGTCACTGCGCTCGAAATTGGGGAAAAGTCTTCAAAAATTGGTGTCGCTTCCTCTTCTTACTTTCCTTCTTCGGCTATTAACTCTATCATCACCTTGTTCTCTGCAACTTCTCTAATATTTTCTACAATATCTTAATGAAGACCCTTCTTCAACTTGTTTCCAGTGTTGACATCAACGTCTTGTTCTTGTGGTTGCTATCTGCCAAATCCTGTAGGAACAAGAAACCCGACAGTGTGTGTCTCTCTCTCAAAAACTACTCTCTCAAACTCTCTCAAACTCTCTCAAACTCTCTCAAACTCTCTCAAACTCTCTCAAACTCTCTCAAACTCTCTCAAACTCTCTCAAACTCTCTCAAACTCTCTCAAACTCTCTCAAACTCTCTCAAACTCTCTCAAACTCTCTCAAACTCTCTCTCTCACACTCATTGCATAACACATCGCGGCGTTCGTGCTCCGTGCTCCGTGTCGACGGGAGGTACGTTGTTGTTGCTGTTGCTGCTGTTGGAGCACGGTTCTGGGGCAAAGCGCTGGGCATTTTTTTCCTGTTTCCTTTCTTCCATGGGCATATGGTCTGATTTTCACAGTGGATCGCCGTTGATTTGCACCGAAGGATTTTTTTCGCTGGCCCTCTCACACCACGCCCACTGACGACGCTTGATCACCATCAACATGGAGCTCGAGGTGTGGCTTGTCTATGGGTGGGCCACCCTGGTGGATGTCCTCACCCAAGTTTGGTACAAGCTCTGTCCACCCAGTCAACCCACGGCCACGTGCACCACAGTGACGCCGGCTTTCATGCGCCGGCTCCTCAATCTCGATCCCACGGCCCCCTTGACCGTGGAGCAAGGCGCCCTCAGTGAGAATCGCGGCCTCTCCAACAACATGCAGTCCATTGATGTCCAGATTGATGGCGTTCAACATCGATTCATGCTCAAGAGCAACATGGTCGGACAACGCCGCGTGCGAGCCATGGGCATCTTCTTCAACGTGACCCGTGAATCGCGAGCCTACACGTTTCTTGAGCAGCGCAACATGGACCTGTCCCCAAAAATGATCTATGCCAATGCCAGTGCCTGGACGGGCAGCTCATGCATTATTATGGAGCGCTTGGGCCCCGATGGCATCTGCGGCGTCAACATGTACTTTGGCAACCAGTGCTGGGGTGTGCCCCCCTTTGCCCCCGGCGCCGAGCGGCCTTACGATCAGGTGGCGCGCGCTGTCATGGAAGCCCAAGCACGACTCCATGCAAGTGACTGGTGCAACCCCGCCCTTTTGCATGGCAGCGAATTCAGCTGGCTCAAAAGCCAGGGCTGGTACACGGGCCACGGCCGCAGTCAGTGGCAGGCTGGCTTTGAGGCCACCGCCAACTCATGGCAGCGCATCCGCAAGGACCTAGCCAACAGCGGTACCAAGTGGGATCCCAAACTTGTCGCATTGATTGACGCGTCCATGGCTGCCACCACCTGGGACAGCGTTCAAGCTTTCCTGCGCGGTGCGGGTGGCCAAGTCTTCTCCATCGTGCACGGTGACTGCCACGCCTCCAACATGCTTTACGACCTGCAACGCGAGCGCGTGGTTATGGTGGACTGGTCTGAACTCGCCGTGTGGCATCCCATGACCGACATTGGCCAGTTCATGATCAGCGATGTCACCGTACCCGTGCGCCGTCAGCATGAAAAGGCTTGGGTCCGCCACTACTGGGAGCAGCTGTGCGCCAACGGCGTCCAAGATTATACTTGGGAGCAATGCTGGCAAGACTACCGCGAACGTTCCCTTGAGCGCTGGATTCTCATGCTGGTGCTCTTGGTTGGCATGCCCCTTCCTCCAGTGGCAAAGCAGTACTTTCATGATCAGGTGGCCGCTTTTGCCCAGGATCATGCTGCAGATGTGCAGTCTATCCTTCTGGGCCCGACCATCTCCATCCTCTCCTCGGCCCTCGAGGGCTAGCTAAGCTTGTCCTGATCAACCTTTCGCTTTGCCACACGTGTACGCTGGCCGACGGAAAGGAAGAATGGGCCCGGCAAATTGATGCCAGTACTCACACGTCAACAAGGCTGGCTTTCATTCGAGTTTGCTTTGCTTCTATTCATTCAATCGGTCTGTCATTCTGTAATCCATCAATTTACATGCTACGCCAAAGGTCCGAGTTCAAGGGTCAACACCCCTGCCTGGTGTGCCCTCACCCTGCACGTCCGTCGCTCGCACTGCGAGTCTGTCATGCACGAGGCATGACAAGACGGGGTAAGGTATTCGAAACAATTGTAGTAAAGCATTCAAAGGTCGATAAGGTTCATTCATCTCAAGTATCGTTGTCTACCACTCGGTACACACACGCGCGCGCGCTGCAAGGCGCGTTGCCGTTCACAAAGAACGTTTCGTCCATTACAGACGGGGACTGTTGGTGGCTGAGTCGGGTGCAATGGGCCCCAATACGCGGCGTCGGTGACTCCCAGGCCGCTCTGTCGCCGACGCCCCACGACGACGCTCCTCCACGAGGGTACGCAGCTCTTGATCAACGCGGGCAACTTCCAACGTGGAGGGCTTGGGCAATGCTGACGGCAAGCTGCGGCGAACGTGATGGGTATGGTGGCGCCGCGGTGACGTGGTGTGGGGTGCCGGATGCCGCGGTGGTGAGGGGGCCAAAGTTGACGGGCCATCATCTTTGCGTAAATTCGGTAAACAACGTACAGCCCCAGGTGCGGCCCCGGGCTGACTACCACCTGGTAGAGTGGTCGTTGTCGTTGTCGTTGCACTTGCTGGCACTGGTTGAGGCGCGTCGCCGTGAAAGGCACGCCGCAGCAGATGTAGTTGCATGGTCAACTCGGCCTGCGCACGATGCAAGGCCCGATTGTCGTCTCGAAGTGCATCATTTTCTGCACGCAGCACTGATGAAGCCTCAATTTGGCCTTGCTGGGCCGTCATGCGCGTGGCCAGCTGTGCTAGCTCTTGAACGTGCTGTGTTTGCTGGCTTTCCAACTGCTCGATCCGGGCACGCGCCTGCGCATGTTGTTCGCGCTCTGTCGCCAGCGCAAGGCGCGTCGCCGCCAGCTCTTCTGTCACGCGGGCCAAGTTTTCCGCCTGTGACTCCTCATCTGCCACACATTGAACCAGCGTGGCGCATCCATCCAGACATGGAGATCATGAGCAATGACGCTGGGTCAGGGGTGCACAGAAGGACCCCTCACACCATCAAAGGTGCAGGCCCAGAAGAACATTGGCCAATCATTGCAAACCTGGGCCGCTGGTTGATGCGGAGGTTGAAGTCTGCCGAACGTGCAACTCGAATAATAATTCTGCCGAGCAAAGTCAACGGTCAAAGGGCAGAGAGAGAGAGTGTGTGTGTGTGTGTGTGTTCGATGGTCCGATTCACTAGACTCTCCCGACGAGCACAAGCTGACAGACCTCGGTTTTTTTCCTTAAGGTCTCCAAGCTCAGTGCGCAACGCCTGCAACGTCTTTCGATTCTCCTCCAGCAGAAAACGCTGAGCCGGTGTCAATTCAGAGGTTGCCATCTTGCCCGCGCTCACGCCCAGCTCACGGAAATGTGCCAGACACCATGACCTCGAGAGCCCACCCGAGGCCAAGTGCCCTCTCCCTCTCTCCCCCAGGCAACCCCTCTCTTCCTAGTCACCCACTATCGTTCAACGTCGACACGTCTTCCAATCAAAACAGGGCCGCGCCCGGGCAGGTGACAGGGGGGGGGAACAGCGTCAGTCCTTTACCAAAGAGTGTTAACAAGAAAAACATCAAGAAAGCCCTGACAACCAGTTTCGTGTCTTTTTTTGTGCGTTGTTCCTCTTCAACTCTTTTTTCTTTTTTTCTTTCTTTCTTTCCTATGGAACCTCATTCCCGGCATATGTGCTTTGCAAGTTCATGTCCTCGAAAGGGTTATCAAGTCACAGTGTGCTTCTGATCAATTGTGAGAGGGGCCATGTCGATTATTCGACCTTGGGACGCTTTGAGGCACGGCCCGGAGTTGATTCAGCTCCCTCGTCAGAGCTGTCGGACGAGGCTGCGCCGTAGCCTCCGCCTCCTGCACAGTCAAAAAAAAAAATGGATATGAGCGACAAGCAGTTTGGGCCCAACGTGTCCCGGCCACACTGGCTCAGCTGAGGAAGACGCCTCATGTACCTGGTGTCAGCAAACGTAGGACATCACCCGCGGCAACAGACACGCTGGCCTTGCCGCCAAGATTAATCTCCTGGCCGTCTGATGGAAAAACGTGGATTTTGGTCAGGAGCAACAATACCAGGGTGAGCAAAGCTCAGCAAACCTTAGCAGCACATGTGGGAAAAAAAAGGTCAGGCACGTACCGGCACGACGCAGGATGTTCAGACCACGCGCTCCAGGCCCGCCACCCGCCAAACCGTTGGGTTGCAAGGAACGTCGCTCCGTCAGCACAGATACAACCATTGGCTCCCGAAAGCTGCACACGTCACATTTGTATAGGTGAGCGAGCGATGATGGCACTCCAGCCATTCCCATAGCCATTTCAGCACAATAGCTTGCAGAACAACCAGCTACGAGGCATGATTGCGCCACGTCAGCCATGACGCTATGGCTGTCCATCACCTACCGCAGCTCACGCACGACGCCATTACCACCGCGATAAAGACCCTGGCCCCCTGAGTTTTCGCGAAGGTGGAAGCGCTCCACCACCACAGGATAACGGCGCTCCACCACCTACCACACACGCGCCCAAACCACCCCACACATCGCATTCAGTACAGACGTGCCCAACTCGTGAACTTCCTTTCACTCACACCCTGCCGGCAAAGGCACGCACCTCTGGGTCCGTGATGCGAGTATTGGTCATGTGTGTGTGAACGCCCGAACGGCCATCAAAGCCGGGGCCGGCGCCCGACCCACCAGCAATCGTTTCGTAATAGCCGACGCGCTACGCGAGCCCAGACGAAAACGATTCGCATTCATGAGGAGTCTGGTCAAACCAGCTTTTGGAAGATTTCTTGCGCCAGCAAAAGTTTCGCCCCTGCCTGGGAAACAAATAGCGGAAACGACTTGACGAGGAGAGATCATCTGCGCGGCATTATACCTCATTGCCAAAAGTCACGTTATTCATGCACCCTTGCGAGTCGGCGCAAGCACCAAAGGCTTTTAAAATAACATCGCACAAACGCTGCGATGTCAGCACGTTGCCGCCCACCACAGCTGCATCATCGCTCGGCCAGATCAGGGAGCCACGAGGAATCTACTCGCCCCGGTCCAAGAAGTGAAGATGAGCAAACACGCTCAAGAAATCCAATTTCTAGAGTGATCACATACAAGATACCCCCTGCCCTCCTCCCCAATCAAAAATCTACGACCAAGACTTACATTAATGGTCACGGGCACCAAGCAGCCCTGGTTGAGAGGGACATCGTGGCCAATCATGCAGCGCAAGCAGTAAATAACTGCCGAATACGCCACGGCACGGGGCGTGTTCAGATTGCCCAAAACCTGGGGCCCCGTGCCCGTGAAATCAAACGTGGCCGATCCTGTGGCTTCGTCAATATCCACCTAAATCCAAGCATCCAGTGATGACACATGGGCAAGGCCCGGCTGGCTAGCGAGGTAGCACTCAAGTGCAACGGCAGCCTTACCGTGAGCTCGATGGGCGACCCGTCGTCCAGAAAGTCACGGCAGTGCAGACGCGTGGTCCCGCGTGCCTCGCGGGCAGCTTGAGCCTTGGCCTTGAGCATGTCGCGTACAGCCACCTCGGCGTTTTCCTACACGCAGGATACGATCAGCGGCCGCCGCACGTGCAATAGCAGAGCCCGAGCAGGACTGGTCAAGCGATTGCTAGAGGAGAGCAAACCTGAATGTGCTTCATGTAAGCAATGACCACGTCCTCGCCCATCTCATCCATGAGGTGATTCAGGAGCTCAATGCCACGCTGGTTGGCGGCCACCTGAGCCTTGAGGTCCGATAGATTGTCGCTCAAGTTACGAGTGCCACTGCTGTTTGGGTACTCTGTGATCACGAGAGGGTACAACCGGAACAATGTGTTTCAGATTCGCAAAACATTGTAGTCCAAACATACTGTCAGACTTCCGAGGGATCACATTCTGTGCAGAGCTAGCACATGAGTCGCGCACGCTTACTTTTGGGCTCCATCAGAAGCTCGGTAATGCCCTCTTCTTGAAATTGACCGCCTCGCACCAACTTGAAAGATTTGATGGCGGCACCTTCCTCCAGCAGCGACTTGGAGTGGGGTGGCATGGAACCTGAGTCCGAACGAAGCATGATATGACGATGAATGTCGTGATGCAGGGCCCAGGTGGTTTTGCCTGTCGGCGAGACAAGTCGCTGTGCGATGAAAAATTGAGAGGCATACCGGGAGTGATGCCACCAATGTCGGCGTGGTGTCCACGAGAGGCCACCCAGAACACGGGCTTGGCATGGCCTGCTCGAAAGAAGGGTGTAACGACGGTAATGTCAGGCAGATGACTGCCTCCAGCTGCTGGATGGTTGCTGACCAAGACATCGCCGGCTTGCAGGTCATTGTCCACGATGCCAATCTGATAGCGCACAGCCTCTTGCATGGCTCCCAGATGCACGGGGATATGAGGTGCATTAGACGTAAGCCCGCCATCCGGCGAGAACAAAGCACAGCTGAAGTCCAAGCGTTCCTGCCAGGGGTATGCAGGAGTGAGAAGGCTCACAATTGGATACCGGACCCGGTCTTTAATCAAATGCCAGCAATAAAGTTGGGTGTATTGGCTGAACATGGAGCATTTGCACGAGGCAAATGCGAAAGTGAGGGGGGGAGCAAATGCAGGAGTGCCCACCTTGATATTGGTGGAAATGGATGTGCGCTGCAAGGCCCGACCCATCTGCTCGGCGATGGTCATGAAGCGGTGCTGAAACAATGAAAGATGAATCAAATCGAGATCGGTCGTAATCCGCCTGCAGAACAATGCCGAGCACGGACGAGCCGGTGAGCTGGATGGAGTTGTGGTGCGACCATTTTGTAGATAAAGCGGAAAGGAAGGACGCGTCCAAGCATGAAAGGGGGAGGAACAATATAAAGAGTCATAATCCGCGCTCACCGCGAAGTGCCCTCGCCGACAATGACCTCGAGGTCGCCTTGCTTGGTCAGTTGAGCTTGGCAGTTGGGCTCAATGAGAATGGTACTGGTGGCGGCCGTCATCAAGGCAGGTCCCTGAACTCGGTCTGATAGGCTCAAATCGCTGAAACGATAGACGGGCGTCTCCGTGGGCTTGCCGTCCCGAAAATAGATTGTATGCGTTGCCGAAGGCTGACGGCGTACAAAAAGAAAGGCCCAACAGGATCGGCATTTATGGCGAATGTTACCCGTGAGCGCATGTGCGGCCTGAGCTTAAGCATCAAAGATATGAATAATGAAGCAACCCAGACACGCAAGCGTACTTGAATGGCAGGACCGGTCTCCTTTGGCACATGGCTGGCCACATGGCGGGTCACGCCCGTGGCACGCACGCGAACATCATCCACGAGAATGTCACGTCCGGGAATGGTAAATCCAAATTCACGCTTGTACTGCTCCAAGAAGGTGGGCAAGAAGGCTTGAGGATCCAAACTGGCCAGCTGGGTGAAGGAGACGCGGGTTGCTGAACCGATGGTGGTCATTTGCGCACAGTCAGTGCCCCGGTAGCGCATGTTCAAAAAGGGCTCGACTGTCCCCCACGTGTGCGGCAAATGAGATGCGTGAGCTTTTTTACCAAGGTTAGGCAAAGCCTGAGCTTGTGCCTTTTCACTTTGTAAGTGTCACTCGGCCATGGACATGAACGGTGACAAGCTGCAACGTCGGGGTGCAAGCCCAAACCACGCTTACTGATGATTTTGTCTTCGGAAAACCCTTCGGCAACAAGGGCATCGCGTGCCTTTGTGGCCAGCTGCTGGATGTGCTGGAACAATGTGGAAGCGGTTTTCTCAGAGTACACACTGGCACACGGCTCCTGCTCCTCACGCACCACATCGGCTGCAGCCAAACCATGCGCTAAACCGACCAAACACACAACAGCAGTCAGGCATCATCCAAACGCACGTGCAGGTCAGTCGCAGGCCGTGAAGGCTACACAACAATCAAAATGGTCCTGACTTGCGAGCTACGGATGGCCGAAATCAAGTTGAGCCCACCAACTCAAAACTCACCGGACAGGATACCCGAGTATTTGGAAATGTGGATGCGAGCCATGCCCAAGGATTGGGCGATGGCGCAAGCATGCTGCCCACCTACAAGACCAAAGGATGGTAAATAAAGATGGCTGAAACCGGCGGGGGAGGGCGGAGGGGAGGGCACTGGCCGCTATCCTACCAGCTCCGCCAAAACAAGCCAGGGTGTGGGTCGAAATATTGAAGCCGCGTGCTTGGGTGAGTGACCTGATTGGGCGACACATGGCTTCGTTGGCCACATCGACAAAGCCCAAGGCCACCTAATCAACACGCGATATGGCGTGAGCTCACAAATACCCTGACTTTGATCCCGTGAACACAAACGCACGCGCGGTGCCAACACACACACACACACACACACACACACACACACACACACACACACACACACACACACACACACACGTGCCCCTCTTTGCATCTGGGTGTCTCCGTTTGCGCGCCAAAAGAAAAAAAAAAAAAAAAAAGAAAGGACAAGCCAGGTGCAACGCTGAAAGACGGACTTCTTGTGGGGTAAGGGTCTTGAGCGGCTGGCCAGTCTCTTGGGCCTTGGCTTGCATATAAGCATTGATCTCATTGGTCAGTGCATCAAAGGCCGCACGTGTCGCTGCTTCGTCGAGCGGCTCATCATTGTTCTCGCCAAAAATGTTTGGGAAATCGGCAGGACGGATGCGACCCAAGAGGAGATTGGCGTCGGTCACTGGCATAAGGCAAGGCATGACGAGGCAGATCCCATGTCGCATGTGGAATGAGCCAAAGAGCCATGCCTAGTCAGAGGCGGGACATGGGGAAGGCCAACAGTCAAGCAGAGCGAAAGAGGCCTACCTGTCAGCGGTCCACCCTTGCGGTAGCAGGTGGGGCCGGGATGGGCACCCGCACTCTCGGGCCCAACCACAAACATGCCGGCACGGAAAAACAGACGTGAACCGCCGCCAGCGGCGACGGTATTGATATCGAGCTGGGGCACTTGAATGGTGGTACCAGCAATGGTTGTCTCGAAAACATGTTCGAACGAACCACCGAAGCGAGACACCTATTGCCACAGGCACCGTGTGGGCTGGGCGATGAGTGAAGAGCGGATGGCGCGGACATGGTTGTGGCTAGTGCATGCATGGACGGCACAGAACACAGGGGCGCACACGAACATCAGTTGAAGTGCCACCCATGTCAAAGCCTGCACGACAAATACATGATCCAAATACGTGAGCAGAGCAAAGACACTATGGGCTGCGCTTGGGGCCACCGCCTGCATGAGGGACAGCTCGAGGGCGCACGGGGCCAACTGACCGACGACGGGTGTGGTACCGTCAAACGCGGCCAGAGCGTAGCCGACCACGCCTGCAGCAGGGCCGCTCACAATGGCGCGAGAGCCGACAAAGCGATCCATTGGAGTCAAACCGCCATCGGACTGCATGAAAAGGACGCGAACCCCCGCAAGGTCTCCCTCAAAGCCGCCGGCAAAGGAACGCAGGTATTGGTGGATGGCAGGCGTGAGGTAGGCGTCGGCACAAGCTGTGAAGCCGCGGGGCACGATCTTGGCCATCTGCATGACATCAGAGCTGAGGGAAACGTGTGTAAAGCCCATGTCGCGAGCAATCTGGCCGACGCGTTGCTCGTGCTCAACGTGAAGATACGAGTGCATGAGAACAACAGCGAGGCAGCGAATGCCGGCATCAAGGATCTTTTGCAGCTGTTGACGCAGAACAGCTTCATCCAGTGCTTGCCGAATCTCCAGGCGCTCCCCCGTGGCACCTTGCAAGGGACCATCTTCACTCAGGAGAATACGTTCATCCACTTCAACCACCTATTTACGAGACATCGTACGCGGTCACTGGCCAGTGTGTGCATATGCCGCACCGGGAAAAAAAGGGGGGGTTACAGAGGGGGAGCCTGAACGAGCCTGTTCATAGAGCACTTCGGGCATGCTAATATCAAGGTCAAAAAGTTTGGGGCGCGCCTGATTGCCAATGTGCAAGAGGTCCCGGAAGCCAGCCGTGATAGCCAGAGCCATGCGTTCACCCTTGCGCTCCAAAAGCGCGTTGGTGGCGACGGTGGTGCCCATGCGGATGGACTCGATCTGTTGGGTGGGGATAGGCTGAGCCGCATCCAGTTCATGACCCAAAAACTATGAAGGATGCACATGGACCATATCTTTGAGGAAACGCACAGGGCCATCCGAGCCCCTCTGCCTCTGCCCCTTAATCAGCTTGATTGGCGCAGCGACCCATGACCCAGCAAGGGGTCCGCGGCCGGGACGGCGGAAAGGAGCTGGGGAAGGAGCTGGGGAAGGAGCTGGGGGGTTGAGGGAGATAGAAATCAAGACCAACCTTGGACATGACGCGACGAATGCCCTCGCGCGGTGCATCCGGATAGGCCGGGTCCACTGAGAGGAGCTTGAGGACGGTTGCGGAGCCATCTGGCAGCTCGGCATACACGTCCGTGAACGTACCACCCCGATCAATGGCAAATCGAAACATGATGCCGAACTTTGGAGATCAAGTTCCCCCTGAAACCCTGGCACAAACACCCTGTCACCCTAAACAAGAAGACCCCCCCCAGCCAGAGTGAGACCACGCCAGCCGTCCAGGAACCACGTTCCCGAGCCCAGGCAGATGCAGCAGAACAAACGCGATTGGAACGAACCTGGAATTACAATAATATGCTGTGTTGAAACAATTTCTACAACACGCAGAACACGAGGTGGTGCGTCTCTTTGGAGGTCTTTGGAACTTGCTCTCTCTCTCTCTCTTGCTCTTGCTTAGTGCTCTCTCTTACCAATTCATTCTCTCTCTGTCTCTCTCACTCTGTCTCTCTCTCTGTCTCTCTCACTCTGTCTCTCTCTCTGTCTCTCTCACTCTGTCTCTCTGTCTCTCTCCTCTCTCTCTTCTTCGTTCACCCACTCACTTTTGCTGACATGGACATGCTGACAACTGCATCAGGGGTGTTGAGAACAGGTGTCTGAATGATCGCTGATGCTTGCGTGCATGCATGTTAAGGCGGTTCCCAGCCAGGGACGGCGAGAGGATTGAAATCCTAGTCATTTCCACTGCTGGTGAGACACTGCAGAACACAGGCATGTCGCCATGTGTCTGCGACATTGTGTGCGTGTTTGCAAAAGGTATGTTCACAACGCTCGGCACTGCTGCTTCCTTCCACAAGTACCCTCCCTTCGATTCCTTTCCCACTCGCACATCACATAACGGCCAAGGCTGCCTGGCCCTTGACGAGCTCAACCCCCATTCATTTCTCTGTGTTCCGATTTGCCATTCGGGTGTCGCTGGGATCATCGCCCTCCGGATCGTCGACGCCCCCGACACATCCTGGCGAGGATCTCCTCGGTCACCCTGCCACCACCCACCACCTACTGGTCGTCTCGTGCGTAGCTCTGCCCCTCAAAGCAGCTCGTCAGACCCGACCCTGCTCCCACACCTTTCGTTTGCCCACAACATGCCTGGCGCGCCAGCCGCCGGGTGTCGGGGCTCCGCACAGATGCTCCTCCTTCTGCTCCTCTCGGCCTGCATCCATGCCAAAGTCATCATGGACCAGCACACGGATGACAGCCACACCATTCGCACCGTTCTCTCAAGCGACGGCATCGTTCAACACTTTCAACCACATCAAGACGGTCTGCTGACAACCGTTAACCTGAAGCTGGGTTCCATGGAGGTGCGCTCCCGATGCCTACCCAAACGGCTATACTCACCAGCCGCCCTATGCACCATGCTTGTGTCTCACTGCGCATCTGTTCCGTTCTTCTTTTCACTCGACTGATTTGTTCATGTACCTGGCCATAGCCCTGTCGTGAGTTTAGCGCAGAGTTGATTGTGTTTGAGGCTCTGGCCGACACACTGGAAGAACCTGCACCCGTGACCAAAGCTTGGCAGCCAAGCAACCGTGAAGCTACCCGACGCATCCTACACCGCCAGCCCGTCCAATCGACCTGCTCTGCTTGTGAACTGTCCGCAGATACCTGCCTCATGACGCCAGCTTGCTCGCGCACGGCCTGCTTGGCTTGGCAAGGTTTTCAACTCGACGCTGCCATCACTGTTTTGCACAATCAAACGTATGGTTTCCAGCTTCAAAACTTTGCCTCCCCACTCGGTGGCCTACCCGCCGTGGGTGTTTCCCTCGCGAGTGAAAACCATGGTGGCTGGTCCAACTTGCCCATCAACACCCGCCTCCTCAACACCCCCACCCAGTATACCTTTCGCGCCTTCCTCGACGTCAGCGATGCACAGAACGAAGCTGCCCTCCACGCTGGTCCCACTACCGAGGGTCCCAACTCGGGACCCTCGGTCGATCAAACTGACCCAACCGTCGCAGTCGTCGTTGGTACGTGAATAGTCCCTGCCTATGTTGTCCGTGGGTTTTGCTTGATTCTGTTTTTGTTTTAGTTATTTGTTTTTTTCCCGTTACTGGTCTGGTCAAGTCGTTGCCCCTGACAAGCTGATCGTGCATTGCCCTCGCTCTCACAGCCGTACTCTTAAGCTTGGTTGTACTTTTGGCTCTCGTCGTGGTGCTGGTGGCGCGACGCGCTCGGACCAAGGCCCGCGTCGCTCTCGATAATTATCAGCCCAAGCCTTGTGACCTCGACCCTGACTTTGACACGCGATCTCAAGCATCCTCTGTGTTGGCCTGGCGTGCCCCTGTGAGCGTGACGGCCTCCTCCACACCGTTGTCAGCCCGGCGCATCGAGAGCACCCCTGCAGACTGTGCGAGCCTACACGATGGCGCTGCGCTACCCCTTTACACCAGCATTCGCCACTTGATCGATCAGGGACATGCTGATAACGTTTCCCACTCGGCGGATACCATTTCTTACACCTCCATACCAGCTGCCACCTCGTTTCTAGCCCATCCAAGTCGCCAACCGGCAGAATACCCGGCGCGCCAAGGTATATCGCTGTGCCAAGCCGAATTGGTCGGTGTTTTCTCGCCATCAGCCCTCCCACAACTCACTCTGAACACTGTTTCCCGTAGTTGTGGTGGCCCCCTCCGACACATCCTCCATCGAGGGCAAGGAAGACGTGGTCTCGCTTGAACATGTTTCCATCCTACCCGCGCAGTCTTCCTGGAGCAGCACGCCCATGGCCTGGGGCACTACACCTCAGTCACATGTCCTTCCACATGTCCTCTCCCTCGTGGAGGATATAGACGACGAGCACGACGACCCTGATGCCGCCGAGAAGCTCTTCGGACGCCTGACCCTTTCTGAGGTCTAACACAATGCATGTCGCCGCACCACTAGGCCATTTGCAGCATGCGCTCGCAAGAGCAGGCATGTTTTTTGTGCCAGTGGGTTCTTCTGGTGTGGCTGCGCCCTCTATCCCTTCTCGTTCCTCTTTTTGTTTGTTTTGGTTTTGATCGCAAGGCATCTTGCCCAATGTGCTGCAAGAGGTACAAGCGTCTGTCCAAGCACACTCAACCCTCCTCTCTGCGCTCTTGTATAAGATATCTCTCTGCACCATATTCTTCATTATAATTGACCAATTTGCTCAACCACTTTAATGATTGGCTCAATTTGGCTTGGGCCCATAGACTCAATCAACGAGTCTCAAAAGCAAACGCGCTTGGCGCAAGTGTGTGATCAAATCCAAGCTCACATCACACATCGCAAACAGAAACAAAAAAAAGGGGGGGGGGGGGGGGGGGTTAAGAACTGTCCGACCGTCAAATGGATGACACCCGGCCTTGGGTACTCAAAGTTGATACCTGTTCATCCTCTACAAGACCTCCTCCAAGTCTGATTCATCTGACGCTCGCGTGATCGGTGCAACCTCTTCAACATCATCCAACGAGTCCAGATGCAACACGGGGGCGCGAGTCACGCGCTTCTACACGAGCAGATGCAAAAACCACGATGATGAGCCATTGTCAACTTCCCAGCCGCACAGATCCTGAGAAGAAGCAGCTGGAATGTCCACGTACTGAGCGCTTGGGCGGTTGTGAGGGTTCATCCTCAATCTCATCAGAATCGTCTGCGTGAGCCGCAGCCCCGGTTTGGTCTGCACCGTCGTCGTCATCGCTGTCATCTGAGATGGCGTCGACGAGAGCCGCACGGCCTCGGCCTGCACCCCGGGTGCGCGTCGATGCCCGGCTTGCTTGACGGGACGTTTTAGCTAGAACATGCAACATTGGGAAGCAGCAGATGGTATGAGAAGAGCGGCTTGCCCACTGGCATTTGAACGTCGCACGCCCTCTTGGATGATAAGCTCGAGCAGCCCAAACGCACTGACCGCGCTTGGGCACAGTGGAAATCCACCCATCGGCCTCATCCTCATCCGCCTCATCACCCTCGCCGACTTCGTCGTCACTAATCGGCTCACTGCGCCGGCCACGATTCGCACGTCGGCCGGCCCGCCGAGCAGAAGTAGGAGCGGCCGCGGGACTTGGTTCACCATCATCCTCAATGTCTATTGAGATACAAATGTGCGTAAGCAAGGCAGATGGCAGACACAAGGAAAAAGAAAGGCAAACGAGAAGCAAGTCGGAGAGAAGTCCCAGGCAATAGTGTCACAGTCAATGTGCACCGGCCACAAACCTTCATCTGGCTGAATGCGACGTGTTGCGCGACGAGCTGTGATCACAGATACCCCCAAACATTGATGTCAGCACCCGTGTGGTGTGGCAAAGCAAGGGAGGGCCCAGCACAGCACAGCACAGCACAGCACAGCACAGCACAGCACAGCACAGCACAGCACAGCACAGCACAGCACAGCACAGCACAGCACAGCACAGCACAGCACAGCACAGCACAGCACAGCACAGCACAGCACAGCACAGCACAGCACAGCACAGCACAGCACAGCACAGCACAGCACAGCACAGCACAGCACAGCACAGCACAGCACAGCACAGCACAGCACAGCACAGCACAGCACAGCACAGCACAGCACAGCACAGCACAGCACAGCACAGCACAGCACAGCACAGCACAGCACAGCACAGCACAGCACAGCACAGCACAGCACAGCACAGCATGTACGAGCAAAATGCTTACCCGAGGCTGGCGTCTTGGCCCCTTTACTTGCTCCCGACAGCAGATCAACGAGAGCAAAATAAGGCTGCCATTCCTGGCTGTGCTCCTTGGGCTCCATGGGCTGCTCAACCTCGATGCTGTCAAAGCTTTTGGCCGCATATTCGCGATCCTGTGGTAATCAGACAAGCCGTATGAATCGACAGAACCGGCTTTCTCCCACTCTCTTCCTCCACCCTCCTGCATAGCACTCATCCCTCAACAAAGGCCGGGCATGACTTGATGCAAAACACCTCACGACAGACGCACATACCGCAGTACCCATGCGAGAAGCCACTTCACGCGCAAGGGCAAAAATGAAAATGGTATTGGCGCTGCGCGAGCCCTCCGCAAGCTGCGTGCAAGCTACCTTGCATAGGCTCTGGAACAACCAGTGCAGCTGTCGACGATGGGCATCAGTACGCTGACTGAATGTCATGGCCAAGCTGCGAGTCACCTCCAGCACCATGTGCTGGTCTTTCTCATCAGCCGTCAGTGCCCACTGTACGTAGTTCACGCCCGGAGTGCCCGAAACAATTCAAACAGTGGACACAATAGAAGTGTGAGAGGAGGCCGATGATGAGCGGGATTTTGGAATGTCAAGGACGACTGCAAGGCACGGAATTTTGCCAGCGCAAGCCCATGGGGCCGTGAACGTACAGTCGTAAGGCCGTTGAGAATGACTCGTGCTGCCGAAACACTCGACGTGCTGCTGTCCTGCTGACGCAGCTGCTTCAGGTATGCTTTAAAAACGTGTTTAACCTTGGCATTCTACGACGCGATACAAGCCAACGTCCACCGTGGAGCTGATAGGTCAGTGTCCGCTGGCCAAGACCGCGACTAGCGAGTCTGTGCAGTGGTTGCGGTTCTTGCGCACTAACGTACCGTACTATAATGAGGTACCAAAGGTACCCAGACGCTTTCAGGTAGCAGATGTAAGGTGGCCAAAGCCGTAAAAATGGAAAGAAGAGAGTCCAGCAGACCTGCGTTGGGTGCATTGCATTTCGCGTCGAGCCACGTTAAGAGTCGGGCGACGAAAGCGCAAGCCAAAAGAAACTTTGGTAGTTGATGGCAAGGCAACAAACGCAAAGCAACAAGCGCGTGCTCCCATGGCGTGCACGTACCTTCGTACTCGACCACATCTGCCGGGTCGGCATCGCTGGCAGGAGTAAATGCAACCATGTCACGCACGAACTCGGCAACGCTGGTGGCAAACCCTTCGGAGCAAAAAAGTACGAGCTCTTGGCTGGGTGCAGCAGCCGCATCGGCATCCGCTTTCGCGTCACTCTTCTCAGACTCATCAGAGTCTGATTCGGAAGCCTCGTCGTCTTCGGCATCGTGCGCCAGCTGCGCGCTGACGATGCAGAGCTCGCAGTACCCAATGCAAGCCTATGCCAGAGCGCAGAGTCACACCACCCCAGCTGTATTGAGTTGTTGCACCATCAAAGTTGCAAAGTACGACAGGACAGTCGGCCCCCAGCCATCTCACCGCCACGGCCGTGTTGGCAAATAACGATGACAAAGCCTTCTTCACCAAAGCCTCGAGCCGAGCCACATTTTGCAGAAAGGAGGCCTGTTGGGTGAATGTACAGTGTGAACGGCATGAATTAGTGCTCGTTTACAGCGGACAAGAGGCCCAGGCTCACAGCACGCCACCCCCACCCCCCCCGCCAATGCTCGCTACGCAAGCGGTCCTCACATCCCGGGTAGCACGTCTGCCACTCGACCAACCTTGGCGGCAGCATCCTTGGTGTCCAAGGTAGCCAGACAAATCGCCAAAAGCCGTGACTGCAACACACACAGATGCTCCAGACTCTACATGAGTGGAGGGACAAGGGAGGTGAGAGTTGAGAGGTGATTGCGTCGTCTGGGACGGCAATTCACAGGTCTCCTGCAACAGCTGAGTAGGCCGATCAATTCAACCATGGCAAACAAAAACCTCAAGTCGAGTGACACGGTGTGTGCCATCTGCACTTGCCTCGCTATCCAAAGTCAGGTCAATGGCCCGCTCGACCATACTGTTCAGCAGCTGGTGGAGTGCCTCTGGCACGACAGGGAAACGCCTGGCGGAGGTTGCAGCGAAAACCAGGATGAGCCTTGTCATTCAATTAGTCCGGCGGTGCCAAGATCAAGTACCACGACGCAGACTTGACCGCACGCACGTTGCACAGGAGGCCAATCGCTTGAGTGTGAGCCGGAGGCCCACGATACCATCTGTCTCATCGTCAGTCTTGGGGTCAAACTGAACACGAGAACACATGCAATGGCACGCAGGCAGCACAGTAAACCGCAAGATGAGGCAAACTGTCCATCTGCGGCCCAGATGGAGATTGCAATCGCGCACAAAGCTCCCACAACAGAATGGCGATAACCGTACCGTTACCAAGCCGCTGGCCTCATATTGGTCCAGCTTCATTTGTAGATCTTCCAGGATGCTTTGCATGCACGTTTCCTATCAGAGGATGAAAATTGGTGCAATGTTTGCAAAACAGAGATGAGCTTGCCAAAGCCCTCCACATGTGAGGTTGTGAGATTGTCACCGGGCCATACCGCTTTGGCTGCGACAGCCATCTTGGATTCAGCGAGGTCGCCAAGAAAGTTGACGACGGCACGAATGGCAGCAATGTCGTTGGCTCCAAGCAGAGCCTTGGCCACCAGCGGAAACAAGCGGTCCAACTCCTTGGCTGCAGCTCCCGAGTACGCCTTGGGGTCCACCTCAGAGAGCGCCTTGATGATTGCGGCCGTGTTTGCATCATCGTGCGCATGCTAAAAGACATACACGGCCACAAAAAAAAGGGGGGCACGCATCAGTAACGTACGCAGATGATTGAGAAGATGTACGAGCCCGTTTGGGGTCTGAAAAGACCACTTGTTTACAAAGCGGTGGCCGTCTCTGACCTTTTCCAATAGATCACCAGCCTTGCGCACAAACTTCTTTGAGACAGCACTCCATTCGCTGCGGCTGGTTGACTTGCTCTCACCTGAGCAGCGAGACACAAACGATGAGAACGCAGCACCGCAGCCCGTCATTCCCAAGCGCTACGCAGAAATCAAGACGGCCGACTAGACCATGACCACACCAACGCATGGCCAAGCAAGGGCGTCACGTACGAGACACTTTCATGGCCGCAGCAAACATGTGCAGAAAGTTGGCTTCCTCCTCCGCCGTCAAACTCGTGTCAGCTGCTTCGGCGCTTTCATCGAGGGCCTCCTCACCCGTCACATTGTCTTGCTCCAGTAACTCAAAATAGCAATCAAAATCCTGCTCGCACGCCGGCACGAGGATTAGCCTCTTGATTTGATCCGGCTTGCCGGGCGCCAAGCCCGGCCGACTGAACAGCACGCCGGTGTTCTGTAGCAACCAGCTAAGCGCACTCACCTGAAAGAGACTAATGTGGTCCCAGCCTGCGCGGACCATGTTATCGATCATGTCGGTGCTGGTGATAAGACGCACAAGCGTCTTCATGGATAGCCGACGTTGGTGGGCCTGCAAAGAACGCAAGCAACAAGGTTAATTCCGACGCACCACGCGACTCACATGCACAAAGTTGGCTGAAGGCAATGAATTAGGTGTGATGAAGTGGGGCTGACCTCGTCCTCAATTTTGTGCAGCTCAAAGTGGAGGGGTAATTGCGCGTCGAGCAAAACCTCCTTGGCCAGCTTGGCAGCCTGCATCAAACCCGCAAAAAGATTTGAAGAGTGAGGCCCCTGTCGTGCTATCGCGCCTCGAGGACAACGCAAGGACTGTATCCTGTGGGATAGGGGCAAGCGGCGACACAAATGCAACAAAAACAGGAAGGCTGTCTACGACAGGCATACCGCGCTTGCTACAGGCGCTTGGTCACTCTGCAAGCCGGCAAAAAGCAGTTGAATCTGCTCTGGGCTGAGTGCCTGCATGTTGCAGAGGTGGTGTAGGACTGCAAATGCCTGCACCGCCACGTCGGTGTTGGCATCCCAGACCATGAAAAGAATGTTGTCCTATCCCAGCAGCCCGCACCGTGCTTAACATGTCAGCCTCAGAGCCAATGGGGTCTGCTGTGCAACTCCGTGCGATCAAAGGGTACGTGCAAACATGGCACGGGTTCGGCTTACCTTGAAGCGCTGCGTGAAGGATCCGAGCTGCTCACGCGTGTCCTGATTGCCGTACAGTGCCTCCAATGTGTGCAGCACACAGAGGCGAACTTCATGGTGCTTGTCGGACAAGGACCAGCCAATGTACTTGAGGAAGGTGTCATCAAGAAACTTTTCCCTGAGGCAGCCAGTCAAAGTTTAGCCAGTTGGCCATTCGCCCAATGAGTCCTTTGCCGTGTGGGCCGACAAGCATCCTCTGGACCGACAGCGCGCGCCGAGCGCGCCAAACTGTGGGTCTTCAAGAGATCGGGCATGAGACAAGAGAAAACGGACCAGCTGTTGATGATCCAATAGCCCAGTGCCGTTAAGGTATCGCGCCGAATATCGTGGCATACATCGCTGCGATATTGGTATGGACGTGTTGACCAGTGAGCGGCAAACTGACGGTGGGCCTGTGTCGACAGTACCGCTGGGCAATGTGCACACAACGCACCGATAGCGATGGACGATGACACCCATGAAAATCTCATCCAGCCACTTTTCTGCGCGGGTGAACAGGCTATCAAACTCTTGCAATCGAGCCGTGGCCTCGTCAAGTCGGCGGCGCTGGGCCTTTTTCAACGGTTTGCCGTTGACCTGAGGCGCGCCCAGTTCCTGGATTACCAACTGATCACCAGAACGTGAGCAGAGGATGGGTGAGCGCGGTATCAAAGAGCCTGTCGCGCCTCAGCAATTGAACCACCCAAATGACTCACATCCTGAGCTTCCATGTCTTGTGAAAGCTTATGTGTAGCATCGACCAACGCGTTGCCCAGCTGACAAGCTATGTGTTTGGAGAGCACCACGAGCGAACAATTTGTTGACACGTGAGCCACACAATACACGCATACACGACAAAGGGCTAGCGTTGATGTATCGCACCAAGAAAAGTGCCCGTGTGGCGGAAGGAGCGAACGACGCTTGAGCTGAAAGCTGTAAGCCACAGGATAATATCGCCAAGAAGGCTACATTCCTCGTTCAGCCACAATGCGTCACGCCCATTGTCAATCAGTGCATGCATAAACTTGGATAGGCGGCTCTGGTAACGTTCATGGGGACAAAGGGGTAGCATGACAGCAGCTATGGTTAGATGGGAGCCTATCCGCTGACGGGTGGCATGAAAGCCTGGCCACACGGGCGATCGGGCACAGGTAGACAAGACAGCCAAACCTTGGCGTCTTTGGCAGTGCGTCCACCAATGAGATAGGATTGGTCGCCGTCCACGGTGCGGATGAGCACATCAACGGCCAAGTTTGGTTGTTCCAACATTGCGTTGGTGATGGCCCCTGCGCAAAAGAGGTACGCAAAGATGAGCAGCGAGTAATGTCGGGCAATGGGAGGTGATGCATCCTGCTCACACCCTCTGCACGGAACAACACGCGAGAGAAAGAGAGGCACGCTCGCCTGACCTTTGGCACCGCAGGCTTGAGAGAAAACGGCCAGAAGGTCACAGGTGGCGACTTCTGGCTCTTGCCCAAAGTGTGCAATCCATCCCTGCACCGTGGACTGTGATGATGGTTGGCAGACCCAGAATGAGCGCTGGCCGGGTGGCGCAGTGGCGTAACCAAGGCAGGCGCCCCGTTGTGGAGAATGGGTTTGGGGTGTTCTACCACACCTGTAGTCCACGGCCGGTCATGACCTTGTTGAACAGAGTGACCGCACGAGCTGACAATTGCTACAACACGAGCAGCCCAGCAAGCAACGACAGCGTGATTGATAAGGAGCAACAGGATACGGAAACGTAAAACTTGAAACTCAAACACATGAACGTTGATCCTACCGGTACATCGGCGTCATCACCACCACGCGAGCGCCGCGGTTTGCTACGGGCACGGCGTGGGGCTGAGGCCGCCGGCGAGGATCTGTCGCAGCGGAAGCACACGTGAGGCATACATGGCCTCATTCCGGCTGCAACACCTGAACGCGTTGAATGCATCAGTGTCTGTCAAACCTGGCAGGGCTGGGCTTGGCTGAAGTGCGTTGCTGCGTTTGCTCGCGCGATGATGGTCGCCCCGCGGCACGCCCGCTTGACCTCTGTCGCGCGAATGGAGGCAAACAACCGTGAGGCGCATGATGACAATGGGACATCCAGGCTGCATTTGCCCATCATCACCACCAACACCAGACCAGGCCAAGAGTCATGGGGGTGCGGAGAGAAGACATCAAACAAATGCAAAAATATACAACAAGCGGGCGAAGTTGAGCCAAGGAGGGTCGCCATTCAGCCACAAATTGCATTTCCCCATTTGGTCATGACGTGCATTTGCAGCCAGCCAGGAGAGAAAAGCGCACGCTCAGACAGAGGCAGGTGTCTTAAAATCAGTGGACAAGCAAGTTGAGCAGACATACCCGCTTGGCGTTGCGCGCACCCATGACGGGCAAGGACGAGGCCGATCTGTGTTGTCACCCCAGCGGCATATTCCAATAGATGAGACGCGCGGCGTGCGCCACAGCTCTGCTGCATGACAGAAGTAACTACAGGCTACGCTTGGGTTTCCGATTCGAGCTCGCCAAGCCAATGGATGCATGCATTGGCAGCAAGCTCCACCAGCTCCAGAGAAGAAAACCATCATCATGCATTCAAAAACCCAGGCCGCACACCCATATTCACATACAAAGCCAACAAAGATTACATTCCAACACCCATGGACTTGGATAGGGTCGACCATTCAACTCACTTTGAGCGCCGCGCCGGCATCTTGATCGGCGCCTTTTTTTTTTCTTTTTTTTTTTCCTTCCTTCTCTATCGATCAAAAACTCTTTCAGCTCGAACCACGAAATGGAAACTGCTTGACAGAAAAGCGGAAGCGAACGGTTTAGCTTCGAGTGTTTTTTGTAACGGTTCAATTGGCATTTGCTGACAACTTGTCTCTCTGCTGGTTTTTTGCAACGCGATTATCACACGTGATAAACTCTGCTCGTTTTGGCGGGAAAAAAGTTGAGACGCTTGAGCCATGATCAACGCTTGACAAGAAAGAATAAGCATGCATGATGAATTAATAATGGTCAACGGGCTGGCCAGTCGAAGCGAGAGCCACTGGTCAAAGCATGAAAGAGTGGATAGGAAAGCGACGAGTCGAGAACCCGCTCGGCGGGACCAGCCTCGACCTGGTTGCTTGTGACAACGATTGAGCACCTTTCCCCACGTTTGACATGACGATGGCATGCACCAGATCGACTTGAGGCTTGGCGCAAAACCCGAAGCGAATGTGGCAATCAGGGCGAAGTCTGCGCCAAAGGATTGGAAAAATCGGCTTGAAAATCGTCGGCCAAGGGATTGAAGTCACCTTCGGGCAAGGAGGGCTGACGCTTCGGACGCCCATGTTGTCGACGGGGTGCTGTCGAGTCAGATCCGTCCGCGCTGTCACTCTGATCACTGTCGCCGTCTGATGATGCTTGTGCTGATGATGAATGTGTGGATACCAACTCCGACTGAGCGGCCGATCCCTTGCCCGTGGGCCGTCGAGACAAAGAGGCCCGGTGCTGACTATGACGCCCCTCGGTTTCTGCATCTGAAGAGTCTGAGTCACCCACTTCACGCACACCATCACCAGCGCCGCGAGGCACGAGGTTGCGCCGCACATGCCCGGGCGCTACGGCAGGAATGGCCGAGCGCCGTGGCTCACCACGGGGCTCGTCGGCATGTGCCTGACTTGTCTTGGCATAGCCGTTCTTGGCAGGGGCCCGCGATGCCTCTACTGGCGGATCCTGGGTAGAGGTGCGGGGGGCTTGGCTGGTGCGAGCCCGCGAGGCGCGGCGCTTGGGGCCGTTGCCAGGCGCGGGACGTGCCGATCGACGCCCGGGCAAGACTGACGGGTCAGTGGTCGACTCGAAGGCGGCATCTTGGTCGTCCGCTTCCAGTGTCAACGCAAACGAACGGCGCGTTATCATGTCGTCCTGGACGGACACCAGGTCGCCTATCAACAGCACCCGTAACAATGAATGAGTGTAGGTTGTCTCATACTCGCACATGAAGTATTTTGCCGGGTGTTGGCAGTGCAAAGACGGCGGCGATATGGGATCACCTGAGGCCCAGTAGGGATTGCGCCAGCTTCGAAAGGAGCGATGAATGGGATCACGAGTGGGCAGCTTCTGAACAAAGGCGGCGTTGGTCGTCACTCGACGTATCATGCGGGGCCTGTAGCACTCGCAACCAATGAGCTCATGTTCCTCGCGTGACGCAGGAAGACTCAGTCCGAGCAGTCCGAGGAGAAAAAAGTGGGTGAGCAAACACACCGAGGTTGAAATACCCGAACAAGGTTGCCCGCCAAGCACTGGTGTCGCAGCCATTCGCACAAGGCATGAAGCATATCCCTACAAACGTTAACACCGACCATATGGGTGCGTGTTGGATTTCAATCGTCACAAACCACCTCTTTACAAGGTGGCGTCAACAGACGTTGGGCGGTGTGGACATACCGTTGGTCACCCGGCATCCTAAACACATCGTGATTGACCAAAACTTGCTTTAAGGAAACAGTTTTGATGTCGGCATCTACACGTGTGAGCCACGCACAATGCCTCATCTCATCAGACCGAATGGGATAGCATGGGTTGTGGTAATCAAGAAGAAAGGCCAGGGCTGGCAGATTTGACTCACCACTGGTAATAGGCGCTGCGTAGAGCACACTAAGCGTGTGCCAGTCTTTAGCTGGCTCGCGATGCTGGGTACCATGGCAGGAGACGCAAAAGACCTGTTCCAGCGCAACTACAGGGGGTCCAAAAAAAAAACAAATCCAATAAATAAACAAAATAAAATTGGTGAACCTGAAGCACTTCCACCCATGCTGGTATTGGATCGTTCCTCGTATGACGTGGGAAATGCAAAGACATGAAGACGTACTTTCAGAGTTTAGATTTTCTGCGACGGCCTGGCGAGCGCAAATGTCAAGACGCTGTCCGGGCTCCGCGCGACGCTCAGGAAAACTGTAGGTATTATTTGTCTTGTTGTACTGCAGAGCCAAAGAAAAGAGTGCACTATCAAACCGAGTAGGTTCAGCTTCTGGCACACTCTCATATTTGATCACAGCAACAGCACTTGCCAGACTGGGCTGATCCAACCTGTATTACCAAACGTCCAAGTGTGTGTGTGAGTGTGAGCGATAGACAAGTCGGACATGAGGCCATTCCGTGGACGGAGACATTGCACTCCAGCTGTTCCAAGTTTGAAACAACAGAGGGCTCAAGTGCCAGTCGAGCAGCGCATGGTTCGGCCAGACAGCGATACACCAGCTGGCATGACTTCGCCCTTCGACATTTGGCCTGACATACATGCGAACGTGTTCATCGACGAGGTTGCCACAGCGCTCGCAAGTTGCGCGATCAAACACATTCTGCAAATCCGAGTAGACCACTGTTTTGGGGGCGGGCGGTTGTCCTTTATAATCACGCTCATACTTGCCAGTCTTGAGCTCGGCCAGATCCACATAGGTCACCGTTGAGGGTCTAGCCATGTTGCTCGACTCGGGTCAGAAATCAGCGCGAGTGCGGCTCAAAGAGCGGGCGAGGGGGCGGAGACAGCAGCGCCACCCGGAAATGATGACAATCATATATGGCAACAACTAGTGTTTGATCCATGTCTTTCTGCGAATCAATCTCAAAGCAGAAAACCCTAGCCTGCTTATTCAAAAAACTGCCACTGACGGTAAGAAAGCGTGATCGCCGTCACACATTTACACAGCACGGGTTTGTGATGCCCTGACCCGCGTGTCGTCTCTCTCTCTCTCTCTGCGCGCGCTCTCTCGCTCTTTTTTTCGCCTTGTTGCGTGCGTTCTGCCGATTGGTCTGGTTTGTGCGGGCGCTCTTCCGTGAGGCTGAGCCGTCTGGCCGGGTCGAAAGGGAGGTGTTGGTAAAGGGACGCAGGATTTCTTCTCAAAGGCATATGTATTGTCTGCACAAGTGTAGCGATACTGTCATGTGCGCGCCACACTTGAGGCCTTTTTTTTTTTTTTTCCATGTCATTGACCGATCAGCTGAATTTGATTGCCCTGCCCTGCTTGCCCCACAGATTGCACCGCCACAATGCCAGCGAGCACTAGCACCGCTTGGAGCGAGGATGTGCAGGACTTGAACACCTCCACGGCCGAGTCCGTGACAAGCCCAGCCACTCAGGATCAGGATGTCCCGCCTTCGGAAACTGTCATGGTGGATGATAACACGAAGCGAGTGACTGAGTATCATCGAGATGAGGAAGGCCAGTTGGTAAAGAAGACGACCACTTACCGTGTCGAGTCGCGCACAACCAAGGCGTCCAAGGCCGTTATTGCGCGTCGCAAATGGACCAAGTTTGGTGCGGCCAAGGGCGCGGCTCCCGGTCCCGAGGCTGTGACTACCAGCGTCGGTGAGGAGGTGTACCTCATCCTCAAGACACACAAGCAAAAGGCTGAGCCCCAGGACGCTGAGCCCGAGAAACCCACTGGTATCACGTCTGTTTCGTGCCGTAAGTGCGGTGGTAGCCATTTCACCCACAGCTGCCCCCACGCCAACCTCGACACCAAGCCCGTCGCGCCTCAGGTGGATCCAGAGAGCGAGGGTGGCGCCATGGGCGCCTACGTGGCCCCGAACAAGCGTGGTGGCCAATCACAGGAACAGGAGAACTCGGTTCGCATTACCAACTTGCCCCCGGAGACACAGCACGAGGACTTGAAGGATTTGATCAGGGAAATGTGCAACCAGTTGCACATGGCCGGCATGCAGCGCATGTACTTGGCGCAGGAGACCGATGCCGTTACCGGCTTCAAGACAGCCAAGGGTTTTGCCTTTGTTACCTTCCATACCCGCAGCGACGCCGAGAAGGCCATCAAGCACCTTGATGGTCATCGTTACGGCCATGCCATTATTCACGCCGAGCTCTCCAAGCGCAACTAAGCCAAGCTCTACGGATCCGCTGTGCTTGTGATAGCTTCCTTGGTGCCGTGCATCGCCAACGTTCTAAACCCTTTCCTTGAGCAAATGGCCTCGCTGTGGTTCACGCCGCTGACCATGCACTTGTGCTGGCGTTGACGGGACGCGTGCGCGTCGGGTGATGGAGGGGATTTGTGCTCGCGTGTCGTACATTGAAGCAAGCTGTTCAGGCCCTGAACCACTCTATATGCGCGTGGTTTGGTAACTGAGCGTTTGTTTCCGACTGTGGGTGGTTCTATGCCTTTGCATGTGACTATGGTGATGGCCCTCGAGTTAGTGTTTGTTGTCTCCGATCTTACCTCTTCCCCCAATGTGCCTTGATTTGGGTTTTGTTGTTTGTATTGAGCGTGTACCTGCCGTGTCCATTTGTTGCTGTCCTCCTCGACCGCGCTCTCGTTTGTAACGAGCCACGCCGGTTACGTTTGGTCCAAGACGCTCTGTCTACTGTTTTGTCACACTTCTTTTTTTTTTTCCTTCTCCTTTCCCATCCAACCCTCTCCTTTGACTCGCTTCCTTGCTTGCTCTTAAATTTGAAATCAAAAGTCACAACTTTCCAGCTTAGACTCGAGACGTTGGGACCCGTGCGTGATGGTCTACCGAATCCTATCATTTAAGCTCGGGTTCAGTTAAAGATGACGTAGTCGCGACCCTCCACCAAATCGACGGCCATATGCGCTAGCGTAGCCTCGAAGACACCCTCCGTACGATCCAAGGCCAAACATGTGACAAAAGGTGGCACAAGCCCTTCGATCGGTAGGATGGGTATGCTGCGTAAAACATGTCGGGTTACGGGATCGTGGTGCCGGTACTCCTTGCCAAGCTACATCAGACGGTCGGCAATAAAATTGGCTGTCAGCTCGGAACCATTTCTGAGACTTTTGCCATTGAGACAAAGTGATGCGATGGCTAGAGTGGAGCATCCCGAACCTTTTTGGCGTCCACATCATAAAACGCGCGAACCCGCGCTTGTAAGTGTGCAGGCAGGGCCTGGAAAAACTGACGACCATTCTACGTCAAAATCCGCAGCCCACTTCATCAGGTGACAAATACTCCGATGCAGACCGGGATCGGATACTTTGTGCAGGTGAGAGCCCATATCACAATACCTTGCCGGCACTCCATATACCAAAGCGATCAGGCCACTTTGTCAGGACCTGATCCACTAATAACGCTGTGCGCATCTCGCGCAGATAGGCACGAGACACTCGAAAGCTACCCGAGGCTTCGCGAAAGCGATACATCATCAGTACCTCGGGGCAGCGATAGAGAGCAACCTCAGAGGTAGGAAGAACAAGCTGCTCTGCTGTAGGCATTCCTGCAGATATACGGGCTTCAGCTGTCGTTGAGCGATCCCTTGGATCGGCATCAGTGTGACCCACCACCGAGAGGGCAGATGTGCTGTGATCGAGGGGTCGGAAGGCTCGGCGGGCGATGGACCAAGCCTGAGCACCATCATGCCCGTGCTGATGAGCAAAGGCTGTGATGTGTGCATGTAGCAGCAGCAAATCCTCGGCCAACTCGGGGGAAAAGCCACCAGTGCTGGCAAAGACGCGGCGTGGCATGAACCAGGTTGGGGCGATCAGGGAGACATCTCGGAAGCGGTGGGTGACCAGTTCGCGCTGGGTCACGCCGTTGATCCAGTGTGTGTAGCGCGAAGTGGAGTCGGCTGGGACTCGCTCAACCCGACTACCAATCATGGCGTTGGGAAAACGCAGACTCGCCGCAAGCTGCACGCGCACGCGCTCGGGCTTCATGACATCGTCTGAATCAAGAAAGCACAGGTGCGCCCCGAGACTCTGCAGAGCTCCGATGATGACAGAGGGCATATGGGTTAGCCAAAGGTCCGCACAGGGCACACGTACGCATATGCACGCATTATGGCCCACATTCGCAGCTGGCCAATGGCAAAGACACGATTATCGGCACTATACCTGAGCAATGGCCTGGTTGCGGGCCGAGCCGATTCCTCGATTACAGCCTGCAGGCTCTCCGCGCTCACACGAACAAACCTATCAGATCAATGGAGTTGTACAAGGGCGACGAAAAGATGAACAAGGCAGAGTCCAGCACCACATTGCAACCATCCGCTGTCAACTCTAGCCCAAGCGCTCGCCTCCATGCTCTTCTTCGCAAACGCGAGGGGACGTACATAACTGCGGGTTCTGGGGTCACGGCGCGCTTGGTCGCAGCACTGGTGGCAGGTGTAGGCTACCAAAACATCAGCTGACCCCATGTGATCACATAGCACTTGTTGCACAATTGCAGCGCTATCATCCGTCGATGCATCATTGAAGATGCAGATATCTAGGCCGTGAGCGCAAGGGTGGTGAGCACCAGCACCAGCCAGTTTCAACCCACCCCCAACGACGCACGCACCAATGGGCCGATACTCTTGAGCAAAAACCGATGCAAGAGCCTCATATACATATTCCTCGACATTATGCACGGGCACTATTACGCTCACCAACCCCCTTTCCCCCTCCACCTCCCGCACCGCTGCTGCCGCCCCTGCCGCTGCCGCTGCTGCCGCTGCGGAAGCCGACATGCTGCTCAGAAACTGCATTGTCAGCATGTCATCATGTCAGCAATTCACGGCATCTTCTGTTGGAAATGTCAGCATAAATTCCCTCTCTGGCTCTGCTTCTCTCTCTCTCTCGTTGAACAACACGTTTACATGCATTTTTCTTTTGGAGGTTTGGTATTTGGCAGGCGCGCGTCGGAGCTGACGGCGGCTTGTGATGGCATCAGGCGTCATGGAAGGTGCGACAGCAGATGAGGAGCGAGGTCAGATGGATCGGGTGTTGAATGTGGAGGCCGAGGACCCAGACGACGATCAAGTCGAGGAGCAGGCCGAGGACCAAGACGACGATCAAGTCGAGGAGCAGGCCGAGGACCAAGACGACGATCAAGTCGAGGAGCAGGCCGAGGACCAAGACGACGATCAAGTCGAGGAGCAGGCCGAGGACCAAGACGACGATCAAGTCGAGGAGCAGGCCGAGGACCCAGACGACGATCAAGTCGAGGAGCAGGCCGAGGACCCAGACGACGATCAAGTCGAGGAGCAGGCCGAGGACCAAGACGACGATCAAGTCGAGGAGCAGACCTCTACTGATGATGATATACAACCCAATGCACCTCTAGGCCAACCTTCATCATCCGATGAAGCTGCAACTGCGGCAGATGCAGAGGCTGTATCAGCTGCACCGAGTACAGCTGCACCTGCACAAGCCGAGCATATTGATGAGCCACAGGCTGAGCCCAGGCTGGTCACACCAGGTTCAGAGCCAGCGCTGAAGAGTTCTACCGGCAATGTTGCAAAGCAACCTGCCCGTGACAACATTCTGGACACTGAGCAGATTGGTAGCTCGAGCCAGCCTGACCCTGAGGCTGTGCGTGAAGTCTTTCTACCCACGCCCGGCAAGCCTTCGGGGGTGCAGCTCGTGGGCCCGCGCCTTCAGCGATTGGTGGACGAGGAAGAGCAAGGCAAAGAGGCTGAGGCTTCGGGTATCTTTGTATCGGGCCTCAAGCCCGACTCGACCCTCAGCAGCGAGCTGGGCGTCGGAGATCGCGTCCTGGCCATGATCATTGATGGCCGCCCCTTTGATACCCTGGACGCTACCTTGGAGGTACCCTTCACTTGGTTGCGCGTGCCAATCGCAGTCTGTGCCGCGATGTGCCCACTAATTGCATTTTGTTGATGCTGTCCCCTCCTTAGGACGTCATCAACCTCTTCCGTTTGGCCCAGCAGGAGGTCAAATTGCACGTACGCTTTGAGCCCAAGAGTAAGGACTGAATCTCTCCAGCTCCGCACTCCCACCGCAACACTGACTGGGGCTGACACGCTGGATGCTTGACATTAACATAGACTATGAAGCCTTGCATGCATTTATGGCAGCCACTGCCGAGAATCAGGTTGAGCTGGCCTTTCCTTGGTGGCCTGCCACACCAGGTTGCACCAGAATATTCCACTCACTGTCTCGGTCTTTGTGTGTCTGCGCTACTTTGCTCAAATGACATACAGATCCAGCGACTGCCCAAGTCTGACCGGATGCGCCTAGTTGATCAAGGCACAAATACCACGACGGCTGGTATGAGGCCCGTACCGAACCCTACCCATTTCTCCCCACATCGATCCCAAAGCTTTGAACGAGCTCAATGGCAACTCTCAAAAATATTCGCCACCACTGCGCATGCCTTAGATATGATTGTACAACGATATGCAAACCAAGTTGTCATGGATCCGGACCACGAGCGTGAAAGCCTGCGAACCGCCCTTCTACACTGGCATAACCAGGAGTACGAGGTCTGTGTGCACCTGCGTGGGAAGGTGGGAGGGAAAGATGCTGGCTCAAGCCTCGCCGCCCCTTTGCACTCATCCCCATGTGCCATATTTGACCAACTGGATGCGTATATCCAGGCAGCTCGCGATGCCTGCCTTGACGCCATGAAGACTGTTTTATCGCCACGGATCGCAGAGCGGTGCGTCGAACGGGCTGTCCGACTGGGCGCGGCTTGCTGCCCTTGTTGTGAGGTTTTGCCTGTTGACCTGACTCACCTGCAATGTGCATACACACGCACGCAGGATGGCTACCATGGCCCAGGAAAAAACTCCCGCTCAGGCCAAGGCATATCAAGAGCAGGTTCTACAAACTGAGCGAAAACGCAAAGATCCATATTGGTACCTCCTTGGGCTCACTTGGCTGCGCTTGCACCGCATTCGCCTCTGCCAAGAAGCGTTTGCTCGTGTTCTGCAAAAAGTAAGACCACGCGTTTCTGTAACATGCTCATTCACCCATCCATTTATTTGGTTTTGTTTTTTGTGCGTTGCTCTTGTTGCGACGGTGGCGGCGGCTTCTCAAAAAAAATGCTGTTTCGTGTCCACACCCGCTTAGCTGTTGCCATGGGCCTACGCTGATCGAACTATTATCCATCCTTACGATGCCCCCTTTCACTATGCCGTGGCCTCGATGCTTCGCGACCGGAAACAGGTCGGTTGACCTGGCTCTGTCGTTGATGGCGCGTCACATGGTCTCTCACTGCCTACCATGGTTTTTTGGTTTTTTTTGACTTCACTAGTACGACTTGGCCCTTCTGGCATATGAGGAGTGTGTGCAGTTGCAACCAGATAACGTACGGTCCTTACGCAGCTGTTGGCCTGATCAGCTCTCGCGCGTGCTTCCCTGCGTGGCCCTCATCGTGCAATAATGTGCTGCTTAGACACGTTGGCACGATGAACATGCCCAGGTTCGACAGCTGGCCGCAGCAACTCGCCACTTGCAAGACCCGCATGCCACAAAAGTGCAGCCCCAGTCGCCCGCCATTGTTCTCGAGCGCCGCCATATCAATAGCAAGCTACCGCAGTGAACGTCCTTGTTTGATCGCGTGTGTGTGAGACAGCCGTGCTGTATCGTCCAGAATAGAGCCAATTGAAACCATTGAATTGCGTTGCACCTTGTGACCTCTCTCTGCACCATACTGATGGTACCCCGCATCCCTCTCTCAAACATCAACCACCCGATCCTCCCTCCCATATTCAGTGCGTCCATGTCCATGTCAATTTCTGATTCTTTTTTTCTCCCTTTTTGTCTCTCT